GGGGGGGGGGGGGGGGGGGGTTAAACGTGAATGTAAGGTATCGAGACCTCCGCCATGACTAAATACAAAAGCAAAAAAGGATGTTTTTTGATTGATGTTGAAACATGCGCAAGGAAACGGTTAGAGACAACGGTCGTCGTTGAAGCGGAAGCCCGCATCAAGTATTGGGAGCATGGCGTTAGGGAAAGAATGCAATATTTGCAAATAATGGTGTTACAGATAAACTCAGCACCGTTCACACCATGGAACTAACGGGACTCCTTTCTTTTTCTCGAGACATGGCTGACGTTGGTATGCAAGGCGATGATGTTGCTAGCCTATTCTTTCTTTGTAATGGGAGGGGAGAATTATGTGAGAAAATCATGTTCATTTTCCTTTTGGCGATAGGATGGGAAAGAAGAAACCCGAAATGGCCATCTTCTGTGTGAGGCATACACATATGGAACCATCCTTAGACCGTGTTCGTTCCGGCAGTAGTGCAGTAAGAGAAGCTCTTCTATCCCTAACCCAAGGCGAGTCGGCCACCAGAAAAAAAGGCTTCTGTCACTGTGCTACTGCCTGAACGAACTACGCCCTATGTCTATATAGTCGTAATGTATGTATCTATAATGCCTTGATGGGATATCCCTCTTTGTGATTGCCCAGAGTCCTTCAAGCACCTAGCTTGAGACGATCGAGCAACTTATCGATCTTTTCCAGCGCAAGATGTGGTAGTTGACCGCATCCGATACGAACTCATCCTCAACCAGCTTCCCGTCTAGTGTTCGTACACCACCACCACCACCACCACCACCACCCTCCTGAGCATCACGTTCAGTGCTTCTTCCCTCGTCCTCTCCTTCTGGTTCCCTGTGCCCGTCCGAAGGCTGTTCAGGACGAATTTCCCCATCCTCGGCCTCTGCTGCCAGTCCTTCTACCTGGGCAGCATCAATCTCGCCCTCCTCATTCAACATCTCTTCAATGCCATCACCCTCGAACCGGAACCGGAACCGCTCACCCAGATAATACCTTATATCGTCTAGTAACTCGATAGTGTCCGTCTCCTCACGTCTCTTGAGCCGGGATGCACTTTCCTGGATCAACTCGGCGAATTCTTCTTCGTCAATGTAGTCCTCCAATCGGCTGGCTAGGTACCGGGCGGCGAAATCTTCCAGACGCTGGACCTTGAGATCCCAGGCGGCGTGGATGACGTCGTAGACATTGATAGGTTCCACTTCGACTGGCTGTCCATCCGCTTCAGTCAATCCGTTTGAAGGCGTCGAAACCGAGGTTGCAGATGGTGGTGATTGTAGCTCTTCCGCAGCCCCGCCGTGGGTTCGGTCTACTAGCGCGTTGCTGGTGCCGCTACCTAAGGTGCTGATTGCCACGGCGGCTTTGGTCTTAAGCTTATCCAGTAGTAACATATCCGCCGCGTAGAGAAGATCGAGGGCCAGTTCAAGCGGGCAGTCGGACTTCTCGGTGTAGAGAAATTCAAGGATGATCTCAAGGACTTCAGGAAGACAGTCCATCTTGATGACATGGAGATGCTCGGTTTCCTTGGCTTCCATGAACTCAGACGAGAACATAGTTGCGAAATAGGGACTACGGATGAGAAAGGCTTTGTGCACCGGGAAGACGACTGAGCGTCTAGGCTTTTTCTTCCCATTCGAAACACCATTTATCGAGTTTAACGCCGCTGTTGGACCAATGGGGATGCCGATGCCATTACTCGATATGGTAAACCCTTCCATCGGCTCGACGGCAGTTTCCTCTTCCTCGTCGTATTCGTCCGCACGCAGCAAACAGTTTGCCGAAATGGCGTTGTCTCGCGGCCATTTCACATCACCCACCCTACGAGTGTCAACCGTAAACTTGTGCTTCAGGACCGTGTCCCGAAAATAGGCCGCTACCTGAGCCTGAGCACGCTGAACCTCATCTTGGTGCCTCTGGCGCGCCAAGCGTCGGTCGGTCGTAGAAAGAACGGCTTCCCACAAGTGAGCGATTTCGAGCTGTTTGCAGAGCCTGTCGATCCCTTTGAAGACCTCTTCCTCGGTGGCTTTACTCTGAGGTCCCACAATGTCGCGTGGCAGCTCAGCAAGGTAGAGATATCTTATAACCACCCGGAAAGCCTCAACCGGAATGGAATTTGGGAGTTTCCACGTAGCAGTTTCAGGAGCTTCGGCGAACTTCTCCCGGAAATAGGGCGACCTGGAAGAGAGGATGAATTTATGCAGCTGGAATGATTCGGAAGCTGTGAGGAGCGTGATGTCGGTTGTCTTCGGAATCTCGCGGGCAAGTAGTGAGGTGATATGTGACGACCACGCCTGTAAAGGATCCGCACTCTTGGTGTAATCGTAGGAAAGAAGCAGATTCCGGATCTTATTATTCAGAGCGTTGTAGACCGCACGCTCTCGCTCGAATGAATCGGGATCGGCCAGAGCACCTGGGCTTTCGTGTAAGTGACTGAATGGTGGAGTATTGGCACTTTACAAAACAACATACCGGATTCTAGCAGGAGTTGCACCAGTTCATAATGTCCACATAGACTTGCCTTTTGAAATATCAGCATTACTTTAAAATGAAAGAATTATGGCGTAACTTGTAAAGCAAAAACATCACGTACAATAATGAGCGGAGTATAATCGTACTTGTCTTTGCCATTGATGTTGACGCCACCTGAGATCAACTCCTGACAATGCTTCAGATCGCCTCGACGGCACGCTTGTATGAACTCATGAAACTTTGGGGAATCATCAAAGGGATGTTCGTTGCGAAGGACGCCTTGGCGAATAAGTTGTTCATCGTCTTTGAGCTTGAGCTCGAGCTGGTCTTTGCGGAGTACCATATTCTTTTGTGTATATTACAAGGAATGGGCATCGACATCTAGGGTCCAAGGAAGAACGAGAAGTTTATATCTAAGAGAGAATTGAACCAAAGGAGGGTGGCGGCACTTCAAAATGGTATACCGGGTGCTGGGGATATGTAAGCAGACGGAGGACCAACACAATCGGGTCGGGAACGGGGCGCTAGCACGGACCCGATGGAAAGAGAACCCATGAAGTCGTGATGTTCAAAGTGGAAGTCGCCGCCACCGGATGGTCGATGACGGCCGGCAAATTCGTATCTAATCTTATCTTATCGCGTCTCACAACAGATCCAGATTTAATCGATAAGGTTTGCTGGCCGGCGGCGGCTAACGTTTAAGTGGGTACGGCTTCACCGCCCCGCGCCAGTTGCTGGGCAACGCCATGTTGACCGGTAGGGATTCTCCCTTTGACAGGTTCGCAGGCGGCAGCCCATCCGAAGCGTCCACGAACAAACTGGGGAACCCAACAAGACCCGGAACACAACTTCAATTGGCTACACGCAATCCTGCGCATCCTTTCTCGACACTAGATTACACTATCCCAATCGCCATAACCATCGCATTCATCGCATCCATCGCATACAACGCATCAATTGCATTACTACCTCTCAGACGACCGGGCATATCCTCCCACGCGCTCCGCTTCCCAAAACAATTGTCTTCTTATGGATCAGGCGGCATATTCTTCCCAATTCATGATAGCCTGTCAGAGGTCCCGTTGATCTAGTCAACCGCCAAAATGTCGGAGAGCGACAAATACGACCTTCTAGAAAAGATCGGTATGTATGCGATAATGCCCTCCCCCAACCCTCCAACGGCGCTCTCCACATGCACATGCACAAAGGGTAGCAGTGGAATTGCTGGCTGACAACCGACTTGCTTGACAACCACAGGCCATGGCTCGTTTGGCATCATCCGAAAGGTGCGGCGCAAGGCCGACGGCATGATCCTCTGCCGCAAGGAAATCAGCTACCTCAAGATGTCGCAAAAGGAGCGCGAACAGTTACACGCCGAGTTCTCGATCCTCTCGACCCTACGTCATCCCAACATTGTCGGATACTACCACCGCGAACATCTCAAAGCGACCCAAGACCTACATCTCTACATGGAATACTGTGGCAATGGCGACCTGGGCCGTGTTATCCGCAACCTTATTAAGAATAACCAGTATGCGGAGGAATCGTTCGTCTGGAGCATCTTTGCCCAGCTTGTCTCCGCTTTGTACCGCTGCCACTACGGCGTCGACCCTCCGGAAGTCGGCAAGACTGTCCTTGGCTTGGGCGCAACAGCAAAGCCAAAGCCTCCTTCTAGTGGCACAACTATTCTGCACCGCGATCTCAAGCCCGAGAACGGTAGGCAACCCTGTGATACGTATGTGGACTGGTCTAACGTGTTGCCTCGTAGTGTTCCTCGGCGAAGACAACTCGGTAAAGCTTGGTGACTTTGGACTCTCCAAGGTCATGTCGTCGCACGATTTTGCCTCGACCTACGTTGGGACCCCCTTCTACATGTCGCCGGAAATCTGCGCGGCAGAGAAATACACATTAAAGTCGGACATTTGGTCATTAGGATGCATCATATACGAGCTTTGCGCCCGAGAGCCCCCATTCAATGCCAAGACGCACTACCAGCTGGTCCAGAAGATCAAGGAGGGAAAGATCGCGCCATTACCTTCCGTTTACTCCGGTGAACTCTTTGCTACCATCAAGGATTGCCTGCGAGTGAACCCCGACCGGAGACCGGACACAGCCACACTTCTCAACCTGCCGATTGTTCGATTGATGAGGAAAGAAAAGGAAGTTGTGGAATTCAGCAGGACGCTCAGAACGAAAGAGGAGACCCTTAACAAGCGCATCCGCGAGCTTGACAGCAAGTTGTTCGCGCTCGAAACCGAAAAATCGTCCATACGCGCCGAGATCGATGCGTCACTGAGAAGGGAATGGGAAGTCAAGGCGCGGTTGGAGATTGACCGTCTGGTGGCTCAGGAAATCGAATGTCTACAACAAAAGTTCGAGCAGGAGGTCCAGGCGCGGGTAGAAGCAGAGCTACAACGACATGGGAGAGGACTCATGTTCACCAGTCATGGCCAGCAAGGCTCATTTTCTTCGACTGCTGCTACATTGGTGTCTGACTTCAACCAGTCCTCAGTTGGTTGCGGCGACGGCGACTTTCCTTCCACCACAGACATTACCGATATCTCGATTGCTGGGTCTACCGATGGCTTTGATATCACAAAGAAGATCCCACGAACACCTTTCCACAGAGCGCAGACCTATTCTTCGGCCCCCGCCGAATCTGTTCTTGGCACGCCAATGGACATCGAAATGGCCTCACCATCACCTATCACGATCGCTTCCCTCTCCCTTTCGCCCCGTCGGCTGGCTTTGGCAAAAGCGCCGACCACACAGCCCAGGATGATCTTTGGCGGCGAGCCAACTCCGAGGGAGAAGAGCAACTGGGACGTTCCAAGGGAAACAGATATGATGGACTCTGGCGACGAGTCCGAGGCGGAGGCTCTAGTTCCTTCACCGAAACCTATCGTTAAATCCAACAAGAATCCCTTCAATGGCATCACGACCAGGTCAAGGCCGTCACTTAACTCGCAACAAAAGTCCAATCCTCTTCCTATACACGGCCTGCGCTCCAAACAGACGTTAGCCACCCGCTCTAAGACAGTTAGTGGAGTTTCGTCAGTAGGACAACAGCATCCCCTTCGTTCCGCACCCAGCGCTCCCGCCCTGCGTGATCGCAAACCCAGCCCAACCCGACGGCTCAGTAGGATACCATCGGTAACAGGCGTGGGCAGGAGACTCAGCGCGAACAACAACAACAACAACAACAACAACAACAATAGCAACAGTGGCAGCGATACGGTATCCATCACGTCCAACATAACCGTCAGAACAAGAGGCCTTAAACGGATGTCATCCACGTGCGATGAGTCGTCGTTTTCCCAGCAGCAAAGTAACCAACCACAACAACCACTGCCACAAGCTCCGCCTCTTAAGAAGATCGGACTTAGTATGGCCACCAAGAACATCCGCGGAAGCTCGCTCGTCGAGCTGCACCAGGCTCGCGCCGGTGGTAGGCCCATCAGCGCGATCATGTCCAATGAAGCCAAACTACGCGCATTTAAGGAACATGCGACGATTGCCACGTCGGACAGCAGCAGTACCACTAGCAGCGGCAGCGGCAGCAGCCTACTACCGACGCGGCCACGATCACAACCTCAACCGATAACCGCCAATTTCGAGCCGCAGCAGCAGCAGCTAAGTAATACCAACATCATCTCCTCTTCCAACAGTGCAGGCAGCAGCAGCGCCACCGGAACTGGAACAGGAACTGTTACTGGGGCTGGGACTGCTCCAAAGTCGATTCCATGGCCGGTAGCTCCCGTATGGACTCGGGAGCTGAAAGAGGATGAGGAGATGCCCAGTCCGTTCATTGTGAAGACCCAGAAAAAACCGGAGAGCTTTGAGAAGCCGACAAGCTTTGTGAGGCCGGCGTCGAACTTGAGTCATCAGAGCTGATTGAAATCTTCGTCCGTCCCGCTTGCTGCATCATCAACATCATCATCATCATTATACCATCAACATCATCTATGGCTCCTTCCCTCTTTCCCTTTGCTCATTTTCATTCCGGGTTCATCAAAGCGTTTTCTTTCTGGTTCTGGTTATGGTTCTGGTATAGGTTTCAAGTTGGATTCAGGCAAATGCATAGCATCAATCAATCATCGCACGGCGTCAAGGCAAAGGGGGAAAATCAGACGGCGGGGCAAAAGACGTGGAGGGGGTTGAAAGAAGCGAGAAAGTAAGGCAGAGACGGTATGCAATTTGCGAAGAGAACAATGACCATACTGTATTGTGCTTGGGCCCATTGGGTCTGTACCAGCAAGTGACGAAATGGAATGGTTCCTCTCTGTTTCTGCGAGCTTCTTATGTCACTGGACGGTTATTGTAAAGTCATCTTTTGGCTACGGCGTTGGCTGATCGTTCTAGGGTGATCAAATGGCAACGTAATCGAAGCAGACGACAACGATTCACGAGCATTTAGACCTTTCTTTGGGAGTTGTTGTGGCGTTGGGGGAGTCAGGAATGGCCTGGGGATGAGTATGATGAATGTCATGACATGACGTGGGATTCGCATTGCTGTGTGTGTGCGAGGTGCCAGGAGACGCAAACAACTACTAGTGTCCAAAATGACTTTCACTGCAGAATGGAAGAACCCACAATCGTTCGTTCACAAGTGCACTTTTAGTGCTTTTTTCATGGTATTTGTATACTACAACCAACGTATTCGCCTAGATAAAAAAACTTCTTGTGATCCTTCCTGCTTTTCCCGACCAGCCTGGTATCCCAACACCTCAAAAAGAGATAGCTAACCATCCTTAACCTTTAAACCATAATTTTCCTAGCTCCTTGGTAATAACCCCTAAGAACTATCCTGAAGCTTCATCAGTAGTTCGTCCGAAAACCCCACCTAACCTGTTCTCCCTTCTAATCCCCTCAGATCTTTCAATAGCCTGCGCTCTCCTCCTGCCACCCAGCTGGGATTCCGCCTTCTCGGCTGCCTCCTCCATCCTGTTGAGCGGAGAACCCAGAATCCTTCCGATCACCTAGTTTGGCACGGCGGGGTTCTGGATGCCAATCACCTCGATACCGCCACCCTGCCTCGCGGGGACTTCCTTAGTCGTCTGCTGAATCTCCTCAAGCGGGAGGAGCTTGTCACTCTGGATGGGCTCGAGCAGGTAACGTCTGTGCCAGGGGCCGACAAACATGCCGTCCGGGTCAACGCTCTCGCGGACGGCGCCCCACCGCTGGAAGTCCTCGCCGTACCACTTTGCCAGATCGGCCTGGGTCGCGGTGAAGGTCTTGGCCCAGTGCGGCTTGCCGCCGAGCTCGCGCATGAGCCACTCGAAGCCGAGGTAGTAGCGCTCCGTGGCGTTGTAGGTCGGCTCACGGTGGTAGGGGCGGTACATGATGGCGTTGAGGTAGAGGGTTGGGCCGTCGGATTGCGTCGGGTCGAGGAAGGGCCGCGTGTTGGCTTCCCGCGAGGTGTACACAGTCGAGTCGCTCGCGCGCACCTCGACGGGGCTGTGCACCCAGAGACCCTCGGCGCTGTAGGGGATGCCGTGCTCGACGTAACCGTCGTCGCCGGGCTTGAGGTTTTGAAGCCAGGCACCGAGACGCTGCAAAGCCTCGGGACCCTTGTGGAGAGGGATGGCCCATTCGTTGACGGACTGACTGTACAGGCAGTTCAGAAGGAAGGCCTTCTGGCTGGGCTGGATAGCGCCGATCCTCGTGGCTTCGCCATTCTTGAAACCGTACTGCATGCCAAAAACGAACCATTCGATCCAAGGGGTAATGCGCGGGATCCACCTGGAAAGAGCAAGGAGGTTGTGATAGACGTAGTAGCCCAGCCAGCTATCGTAGTAGCTAGTGGGTGGCTCACGGTGCTTGACGGCGCCGGTCTTCAAGTCGACCGGGTCGACAACGTCGGCGGTCCAAACAGCTGCGCGGCGCATGTATGGGAACCACCAGATACGCACAAACTCGGCTTGGCCCCAGAGATCCTTCTCCCAACGCTCAAAGATGCGCTTGTCCAAGTCGATCGCCTGGCTCCAGGCAAGCGAAAAAGCAGGGACGGCCTTAAAGGTAACCTCGGTGATGATACCCAATGCTCCAAGAGAGATCAAAGCAGCACGGAAGAGATCCGGCTTGTCCTCGGGGGAGCACGACAAGGTCTCGCCATTGGCAAGGGTGATCTTGAGCTCGGTGATGTTTTCACCGACGAGACCGTGCCTGATACTGCTGCCGTGTGTGCCCGTGCTGATGGCACCAGCAATGCTCTGCTCGTTGATGCTGCCGAGACTAGGCAAAGCAAGTCCGCGGCGGTCCAGCTCGTCACTGAGCTGGTAAAGACGGATACCAGCTTGCACAGTAACGAGGCCGGTCAAGTGATCAACGGAGATGATCTTGTTGAAGTTGTCCAGATTGACGAGCCAAGACGATGTGCAGGTGATGTCGGAAGGAGAGTGACCACAGCCGGTGGTAGTGACACGGCGCCGGGCGTGACGGGCCAAACGGACGACCTTTTGAACTTCTTGGACGGATTCGGGCTGGATATAGAGCTCGGGCAAGCTGGTAAAGGTGCCGGCCCAGGTCCTGTGGACATGGGCAGTCTTTGCCCGGAAAGGAATGCCGCCATCGCGCAGACTGGCGAGCTCAATGATCTCGCGCACGTTGGACGGGAGGGAGGCGAGCGCCGGGTTGCTCTCGGTCGCCATGTTGAGCGGTTGGGTTTCCCCAGATAATGTTGTATGAAAAATTTTGCCCAGCCGAAGCAAGGAATGGAAACAGAGAGAAATATAGGTCTTTTATTTAGTTACTATGATGGGACAGGGGAAGCGAGAAAGTTGCAATGACATGCATGTGTTCCTATACGATCGATGGCGAAAGCGGCCGGAGTGGAGATCCCGATATTTTTCTACTGCGTATAACCGGAAGGAGCTAATACATACCACCGCGTGCCGGGGGCGGGGAGGTCAAAGAGGAAATCACGGCCGAAGCGCCCAAAAGGTGTGAACCTCGATGATGGTGGAAGATAATACAAACTATCGGATTGTCCAAGGATTGATGAGTCCGTCAATAATCGATGGGGCTGTCTGAGGAAACTGAGAAGATAAAAAATGTGAAATGATGGTTGTCGTTGCATCAGACAGAGGGGTCTCGATCGGAGGGGTCCGCGATAAGTTGACCAATCATCGCCTTCTCTGATTGGCCAGGACCTCAATGTCTAGACTCCTTGGCTTTGTGACCCTTGGTGATGTTGTGGTGCATGAGCACTGACGACATTTGTTTACTTTCTCAAGCCAACTATTGTGTGACTCTTGAGGCAATTCGCATTTCACTTTGTAATAATATAATGTGAACAAGGAGTATCTGTCGAAGATTCATTAGAGGAAGATATTTTCTCAATCTACCTATGGAATGTAATTTCTCAACAACATCTTGATAGCGTTCTAATGTATTAGTGCACCCTTCCGCCAAACCGTGCCTGATCGTCATCTCACTAAACTCTTGGTCCCGCCCAATGTTATTTACCCCTGAGCCGCAGGAACAACGCCGCATCATCGAGAAATCCACCACCGAAGACCCTTATGAGAAGATCAAACCCGGGTTTCCTGGATATAGTAGCGCGGAGGGCTGTAATGAGGGCCCAAAGCACAAAACTCTTCCTCGACAAGCCGACCATGTCATCTTGTTCCTTGGATATGAAACAGCCAGCACAGAATGGCAAACTCCCGGTTGTCAAAGTCCCCAAGCTCCGAGCAGGCCCAGAGCACTCTCGCAGGTGTGAGAACCAACACTTTGGCCACAAGCTAGCCGAGAAGCTTTAAACCCTCAAGGTACCAACTTCCCGATACAGGGCGACCCGGCCGTGCCTGGGCTTGATCTGATAGCAAAGAGTGACCGGATCACCAGAGAGATTCTTCTTGCAGTACTTGCAATCGATGTCTCGGGTTGCCATCGACACTGGGCCCTCCCACTTGTTGTCGCACATCGCCTTGATGCAAAGCCACTGACCCTGGTATTCATCCTTGCCCAGCTGCTTGTGGACGTACTCGGGGTTGCCTGGATGACTGGACAAGCACTTCATGATGTGCTGAATCATGGTCTCATTGGTGGCGGGCGGCTGATTGGAATCAGGAACGACATTCTGGATGATGTGGCTGACCTTGCGAGCAAGGTCCTGGTACTCGTTCTGTTCCTTGCTGGTGAAGACAGCCTCAGCACTAGGCTGCTTGTTGTCCTTCTGGTTGTCCTTCTTGTCGGAGTTCAGCGGACAGGTCTTAGCAGTGTGATCGTGCCAGTCGCAGAGCTGGCACGCGGCGCTCTTATCACCCGGTGCAGGATAGCCAATCGAAGCCGATGAGGGTAGATTGTCCAACTTGAGCGACTTGATGGGGATACGGAAAGTTTCCGGGCTGGGAGGCGGAGGTTTGGGAACTTCAGGGGTGGTGGCATGAAATGTGCTCAAGCCCTTCTGGGGCGGAGGGATCGGAGAACCGTTCGCATTCTTTGGCGGAGAGTAGGCAGGCTCCTTGTCGGACTCTTGCTCGTAGTCTGGGGTAGAAACCCGTGAAAACGAAGTCGGGGGAGTGGTGAACTGGATAGTCTTGCGCTTGGGAGCAGAAGGATTGTAGTCAATACTGTCGAATTGTTCCCAGCGCTGGGGTGCACTTGTCGCACGAGGAAAGCTGGTGTAAGGCGTCGGAATCGTTCCGAACAGGCACTCGGGGTAGGCAACAGCGCTCTGCGGGGGACACTGGTTCGCCAAAGGAGGGACGTATCCCACGGCTCCCGGTGGAAGCTGAGGTCCAGATGGATATTGAGGCCCTGATAGAACCTGAACCTGAGGTACCGGCGGAAACTGAGTTGGAATATACTGCGGTTGCGGGTTTGGCGCGGCAGAATTGGTCGCATAGCTAGCGTACGGAACATAGTATTCCTCGCGATCGGTGACCACAGGGCCGCGGCGGCCGCGGCGGGGTTGATTGTCGCTCATGGCGAGGTTGTCAGAGGAGGAGTTGCTAGAGGCTGTCGTCGGCGAGAGTGCTTCTGGGTGCGATCGTGTCCCGCAGAACTAGCCAGCAGGGCCGGATACAGGACGACTTGTTTGGCAGGATGACAGAGAGCCTTCGGAAAAGAAAGAATTGGGTCCGGAGTTGTTGTCCGGCAAACCCTTTGCCCTGAACAAATAAAGTGTCCTGGGAAGAAAATGTTGTGGCGAAGGTGAGTGTCTGCAGCTGATTTTTGGAAAAACAAGAAGACGGGGGATGGTATTTGTGGGAGGTCGGCCGATGGCCTAGGGCGACGAAAACGACTTGATCCAGTGAATGGATGGTGTCTGTCTGAAGCTCAGACCACGAAGGGCCGAAAGTATTCGACTTGAAGACGGAAGGTGCGAGTGAATTGGGTTGCGAGCCGCTCCTTCCTTTTCTGAAAAAGAGAGACACCCAAGTATCCCGAATTGTGGGAGGAAAAACGTGATCCGACCACGTCGTCGATACCAGCCCTGCGTTTCAATTTGGACAGCCCACCGTAATCTTCATCCCGTTGAATTGGTCGCCTCAGATACCACCCATTGTACTCCGGTCGAGTCGTTGTTTGCTCGTCCTTCCATCTCATCTCGACCATGTCCACGTAGAACCCGTCAAGCTCTCGCACCCGGCCCCGAGCATCTTTTAACCCGCTACCCCTCTTCACCCGCATTCACACACTTTTTTCTCCCCAAGGTTCTCCTTTGTAACCTTTGTTTTCTCGATATCTCCATTCAAACCTTATCATCAACCTTCACACGCACTACAACCTTCAAGGTTGTAGCCTCCTTCACCAAGTAACGCTTGAGGATAACAACTTCTCAGTCTTACGCAACCGTTCCTTGCCGCCATGTTTTACAGTCACGAAAGTGAGTAGATTCACTCCTCTTTCAGCTGAGAGGCGACGATGAGGTTGTACTAACCCCTTCACCAGTCCTGACCAACCAGCAGTATGGCGTTGCTACCGTGTGGTAAGTGCACCTGAGTCAACCTTCGCGAACCTTTCTGTGACTTCAAGGTGAGACGGCTCAAACTAACGTTGCCATTCTCTCTCTAGGTTGGTGTCCACCTTTGGACTCAGATCAAGCAACAGGAAGATCTCGCGCAAGGCAATCCAGGAAGTCAACGTCCGTAAAGCCTGCGAGACCATTCTCCAGCCGGGCGCCCCCATCGCGTTGCGACTGCAGGGAAGTCTGCTATATGGCGTCTCTAGGGTCTTCTCCCAGCAGTGCTCCTATGTGCTCACCGACGCCGAGAAGATTCATATGCACATGAGATGCTTCTACAATGTCTTGGGAGGCAGCGGGAATGCCCTTGATCCGCAAGCCGGAAAGGCAAAGTATGTTTTTTCACTTTGCCGACAACCAGATAGATGTGACGATCTAACCTCACATTCGCAGGCGCAACCAACTCATCCTCCCCGATGATCCAGACTTCGAGGTCAACATGGGGCTTCCAGCCTTCCACTTCGACGAGGAGGGAAATCTGGCTACCCAATTCCAGAGTCAAGCCTCACGCAAAACTTCGTCCCAATTCTCGCCGCTTGACAGATTCAACCTCACACCGGATGGCAACGGCTCCTTTATCATCGGCCTCGATCTACCTCAATCTTCTCCTACCAATCCCTTGTACTCTCAGCACTCTTCCTATTCCCTCGGACCTCTTTCTCAACACAAGCCTGACGACGATATGATGCAGTTCGGCGAGCCTGAGGCCAACGCTGAGATCTTCGGCGACTGGGGAATTGAGATCGACGCTGACGGCAACGTGATGGCAACTGTGGACGAGCCTGAGCTGCCCATTCTGCCGCGACCGGAGGAAGAGAGAGCTTATGCCACTGCCTCTGGCCAAGTTCATGATGAGCCGGAATTCCACTTTGACGACCAAGATGACCTGCTGATAAACGGAGGCACTGCTCCTCCACCCGAGGCCGACGAAGTTCCAGGCCTTGTCCCCGACCAAGTTGAGCAAGCTCAGGAAAACCAAGTCATGGCAGAAGCCGAGGAAGAACAGGTCATTGCGGAGGAGGAGCCTGTGGCTGAGGCATCTGCCGCACCTGTCCGTCGTCGCCAGCGTCGCCGCGTTGTGCTGGCACCCGACGAGGACACAAAAATCAGTCGCCATGAACTGAAGTCGTGGAGCAACGATTACCTCGCCAATGCCGAGCGGACTAACAACGCTGCCAGACGCGCGGCCGCCACGAACCCAGCTGCTGCCAAGAAACACGCATACGATCTGGTATTTGGTCGTGGAGTTGGCGGTGTCGGAAGCTTTGATGACGGTTTGAACTCCGGAAACCATCGCAGCCACCCACTGGCAGCTCTCTTCGCAGGCGTTGACTTTGCTGCCGAAGTCTTGGACATTGACATTGACATTGACGAGGGGCATGAAGCCGGAGGAAGACGTGGTCGTCGCCGCTCAGCCCTCGAAGCCCTCGAGCTAGAGGAAGAAGACGCCGAGAGACGAGTCCGTCGTCGCCTCAGCGATGAGAACGAAGAAGAACATCACGCACAGTCGCAGCAGAATGTCGCCGAGCCGCAGGCAGAGGCAGGCCGTGGCTTGCTTACCGGAGAAGCCGAAGAAGACGCCGAGATTGGAAGAAGAGATGGCTCAGCACTCCCCGACCCCGACATTCCCTCCGACGCTCCCTGGAACCGGGCCCCATCCCTCGTGCCGGGCTCATCAGTCAAAGGCGACAGTCACATGCCCGGATCCAGCCGCCAAGTGAGCGCCAGTCCTCTCCACAGCCGCGGCAGCCACTTGGCTCACCTCCCGCCCATCGATCGCTTCAGCGACACCGGATCCTACGCGCCCCTCTTGCACTCCGGTGGCGTCCCCGATTTCTCATCTGACCCCGTCATGCCTCCCGGAGAGGATGAGCCGGAGCTTCCGCACCTGCCTGGAGGCAATCATGGTAGCCAGCTCCTGCGCCGTTCTCCTTCCAGCGAAGCTGGAGCCGCTACAGAAGTTATGGCCGAAACCTCTCAAGTCATGAAAGACGCTCTAGACCGCGACGGCCGCAACTTCTTGACTTACGTCAACATGGTAGCGAAAACCAGGGGTGAGACTCGCTCCCTCGGTGGCGGCACACCCTCCCAAGCCGTGGGTGACGGAGACGGAAACAGGCGTCTCAGGCAGTGGGTTGCCTTTGACGAGCTGTTGGATGAACCTAGGGACAGAACCCGACAGGTGGCGACGCAGGCTTTCTACAACGTTCTGGTATTGGCGACCAAGAACGCTATCAAGGTGGAGCAGGATATGGAAGACTTTCAGCCTTTTGGCGAGATTCGCGTGGGTGTTGAGGTATCGGAGGCGGAGATGTTGGCTATGATGGAGGAGGATGGCGATGCGTGAGTGGTTGATGCGGTGGGTTTTGCAGACATCACTTGTTGGTGCAATCGGCGCTAATCTTGCGGTCCGTTTATTTTTATTTTTATCTCGTGGTACGAGATTTCGGGGTAATGCGGAAGGGGATTATGTGCTCCCTAGTTGGGTTGGTCATGATGAGAGAAAAGCAAGTTGGGATACCGTCAGGGGTTGTTTGCCAGGGATTCGTCTCTGGCGACAACTGTTCAGAGTATATGGTGGATGGGATCACAGCTTCTGTTGAGGATAGAGGGGGCTGATATTCGGAAAGGTATGGCAATGGGGAACTGATTTCAGGCGAACGACAACTCTTCGACACGCTGGGGCTCAATCTGAGAGAAGGGAAGAGTCATTTCACGACTGAGCAATATCACAACGAATCAGGTAGAAGATAGCACGAAGATGAGAAGTACGAATTTTAATCTTTCTTAGAAATATGCTAATATGTGCAAAAGCTGTGCATGAGACAGTAAAGAGACCAGCCCTTACCATGGTCATCACCGAGAATCATTCGAGTTCATCATCATCATCCACAGGTTCACGATCTGTGAAAATCATGTACTCTGCATCATCAGCTGTGTCGCTAGCGACCTTCTTCCACGCCTCACGGACATGCTTCAGCAACAAATCGTCCATCGAGAGGGAAAGAGAAGGGCCGGGCAGATCAATGGTCAACTCATCAAGTCGACTTTGCTTCACACCAGCAGCCTGCTCGTAGTATAACTGATACAAGCACTGGGGAACTTGATCATGGTCCATGGCGGAGAGAAAGGATTCAAGAGCACGGCTCAAGACCTCCTTGGAGTTGGAAGTAGCCATTGTGGTCAAGTACAAGACACCTATTGATTTCCAGTTAGCCTTTGCTCCTAACATGTGATGAACGATGCCCAAGGGTTAAGTGGATGAGAGTACGATCAGAATGTCAGAGGTAGTTATCGTCAACGCCGAAGCTTGGACAATGTAGATAAGTATTCAAGATGTGGATCATCATAGTACTCGGGAAGGAAGTGGTGTGAGGAGAACGGGATAGGTTAAAACTTACTCTGACCCTTGGGACATTCGCCAGTATCGCTAGAGTGAGCGAAAACATAGACTGGGGAAGTGTTTGCTTCGCCGCATGTTGTTAGTGAGCCCACAGGCAGAGCGACGACAGCAACGCATGGTGTCGGTGCCCCTTCGATAGTGACCTTAAACAGCTCTTGAGCGGAGAACCAACAACGGCCACTAGCCTGCTGATGCTCGGCCCATCGCCAACGCTTTCATTCCCTCGCACGAGCAACTTGGTTTTCACCATGTCGCCGCTGGTCAGCTCGAGCTCAACCTCATCGGTAGCAGTAGCCATCGACTTGATACCAGCGCCAAGCATGTACACAGCACCACCAACCGCACCAGCTCGACAGGCAACCTGAGCAACCTCGGAAATGCCGCCCCATTTGGGATAGAGAGCAGCGAAGCCGGGGCCAAAGTGACCCATGGAGGTCAGGTGACGATAGATGGTAGACAATCCGTCCTCGGTGGTGATCTTGCCATCCAGCGAGAGCGTGAGGGTGATGATGTAGGTCTTGAGCTCGGCATCCATCTTGAAGTGCTCCTGGAGGAAGTCCACTAAGGGTCTGCCGGCAAAAGTCTTCCAAACATCTCTCTGCTCGAGACGGTCGTAGTCCAGCACGAACTTGAGAAACTTCATCAGTCCGCGCTTGGCCTTGGCCGAGATGGCCGTGGTCGAGAAGACGTCTTCACGAGTTGAGGGGATGCGGACGAGACTGGGTTGCTGTTCGGGGCCGGAGGGTGCTTTGAAGATGTAGAATGATCCGACGGCGAGGAATTCCACCTGCCGGTACGCCCGGGAAGAAACCAATTGAGATAGCAGCTCCGAGCGGGCGTGGATCAATTGCGGTGCCAGTGCCAGCGAGTACGCTCTGGGGAAGGAGAGACCTGCGACATCCGGCTTGGTGATAGATGCGGACCTGAAGAAGCCTTTGTCCTCAGTAGCCAGACGGTCAACCCAGGACTCAGCTTCTTGCAGGTTGAAAGCCGCTTCCGCCCCGCCATAGTAGTCGTTGGGGTCTATGTGCAAAATGTTCTTGCCCGATCGCGAGAGGGATCTTCAAGGCGGAGAACAGCTATGTCAGTCGGTCAGTTAGACAGGAGAACGATGGAAGTCGGATGGAGAAGAGTGGGCGTTTGCTTACAGTGCAAGCAGAGACTGCTGCAGTCCGGTGCCGCAGATGACGACATCCCAGAGGGTGTCGCTGACAGATCCCATCGCCATGACTAGGGACTCTGTGGTTCGCGGAACTGGCAGTCTGTTGAGGAAGAAGAGTTGGGAAGAGGAAGCGAGGGTTGCAGCGGAATTTTTGAAATGGGAGTAAAAGTGTTGGTTCTTGCGGAGCCGGCAGTTCCTCGGGCCGGTGGTGATTTTTATCTGCCCCTCCAAAGCTTTCACTTTTGTGGGTCTTGCTCTGCCCCCCCCCTGCCAGGCAAACACAGGCGCACGAGCCACTGGCCAAGCTTCGAAATTGTCAAAAACTCGACGGCCACTCGCTCAAAATTTCCCTTTCCTTTCATCAACCACTCAACGAAGAGACGCGATCGCTGCTGCTGCTTCGGCAGCCCAACAGTATCGCGGGAGTCTTGGAGAGCCTTTCATTAGGTCTCTTCGAAGTTGAGTGGCAGATTGATGCCACAAACAGCCCTTCCGTATCTCCTGCCTTAGAATCACCACATGTGAGGGCGGGTCGAAGTATCGGCACATTTCTCCAACTGCTATGATGTTGTTTATGCCTTCAATTGTTCGTGATACCAAGTGTGAAAGGTTGCACGTTGGAATGTCATGTACCCAGGCAAACCGATGGTCGGGACTATAATGTTATCCGTCGGCTCTTTCAGAGTCGTATGTCTCCATCCGCAGTCACCATGGGTCGTCACTACGAACTTCAACGCAATCATGATGGCTGAAGGAGGAGTTGGAAGTCAAGACACTGTCTCCTTGCAGGATGATGTGACTGGGTATCTATTACCTATATTGCATGTTGTTCGAGCATGGACGAGACTGGATGGCTGGGCTCTGGTCGGCTCTACGAGCAACAGGCAGCCTCCATCTTTCCATAAGAGTGGTGGTGGTTTCCTAGTTCCTTCTCTGGCTGTCACCGTTGACTATCCGAGCAAGGGATATTTTCAATTCCCCGGCCTGTATCTCGTGTCTCCTTCGGCCTGACCAAGCCGAGATCCTCCGTCCCTCCTTGAGTCCATGTCCATAGTCGGCAGTGGAGGGCCGCAAGATCATGAAGCCTTCCTGACCATGCCCACCGTCCATCTATCCCATCACCAACCAGCGTCCTCTTCATCATCAACATTCGCCCCGAACCCATACCCCATAATCCGCCCACAACGCAGCGTCATCATCGTCAAGTCGTTGTCACGGCTCCCAGCATCAAGCTCTCTGAATCAGCCGAGGAGGAATGCTATAGTCGCGGTCCATCCTTTAACCCTTCTTCGTGTTACGAAGGGGTCTATAACTGATGTTAGTCTTCATCCAAAGGGACGAGATAGAGACAAAACGTACCCGCAACCTTGAGGGGTAGTCACACCAAAATAGCAGTCATCTGCGTTCTTGGGTACGACTTGCTCGGGCTTGATGGGGGTGATGACAACGCCGGCACTGACGAGAGAAGCGCAAAGGGAGAGGAGGGCGGCGGCGAGTGTGACTGGCTTCATGTTGACTTTTGTCGTAGGAAAATAGTAATATCCTTAGGTTGAGTTGGGATGTCTTGTTGGGAAATGGTAGTGAGTGGAGGATGCCTTTGATCGGTAAGGTGTCTCGTTTGAGGGATTGGAGTTATTAGGCTTGGTGTTCAGTCCAGCTGATGATACTATCGAATAATTATAGTATTAAATGAAGGAAGCCGATGTGAGAAACAGGTAGCGGTACGTGTTGACAAAGTGTTCCGCGGTGTCTTCAATCAACTTAGGACGAACGAGCACGCAAAAAGAAACATGAAAGATCGGGGAGGCGAAAAAATAGTGACAAAGAGCGAGGAAAGAGCTAGAAAATAAGACGAAATGAAGCGAAACAACATAATTCGACTTGTAAGAGACCAGGTTGTATCGCTTGGACCTCGAAGGTATCTCCTGACAGAGATTGGTAGTGGAAGGCCATAGGATAATGTCACGTTGACCACTCGAGACGTCGCATCTGAAACTCCGTGAGTGGACGGGCGCTTAACAGCCCCCTGACGACCTCGGTGTTTCATCATGACAGGCTACGTTATCCCAAGACACAGGAGAAAGGTAACCCATGCTAGAGAGCAAAATGGAGAAGACAAAAGAATGATGACGTTTGGTGTCCGATTGAGTGTGTGTTATTGATAGGAATATGGCCCTATGGGTTATCAACTTTAGCGATACTTCGTCATGCTACTATATACCAGCTAGCGACCAAGCAATCAATCCTAGGACAACTGTAGCGCCTATATATTCCTGAGTCAAGAATACGTAAGATCAGTTATAACAGCTGTTCGACAAACTTACACTGACCAACTTGTCTGGAAAAGGGTCACCTAAATAAAGACGATATCCCTTTTTTTTCAGTATCCTGTACCATCAGACATCAATCAGGGCCATTCCCCTGGATTCGCCCTTCCTCAAGCCCAAATCCGCATACCTAAGAACCGAGTTGGCGGAGCGAATAACCCATCGTTTTCGAAAGGTTGCGATGGCCTTGAATCAACTTCCATTGCATCATAAGCACAATAGATACCGGACTGGAGCACAAACCCGACTTCTCCAATCTTTCTGAACCTCGAAATTCGGTGTCTATTTTCAAAGTGACATCCAGTACCCAAGCCTCGTCCTCTCATTTTCGTCGTTAATAACATCATTACATCCTCGGAATTAATTGGGTATTATAATATGGTGTACAGATTTCGTGTTCCGGGCCTTTCCTCGTCCGGCTCGCCCAGGCTTCATGAATTCTTTCGGTGTCGGGAAGACCTGTCTCTCCAAGAAAACGAGAGACTCCGTTCGTCGAGAGCGTTGGGAAAAGATTCTGTTGTTATGGGAAATGACCTGCTTGTCGGTTTAGGCAGTGACAGGAGGAGGAGCGGCATCGGTGGCGCTGCCCTGTTGCATGCCCGGTTGTGGGGGAAGGAAGAGCGGGAGGTAGGTGACGAGGAGAGACATCACTAGACATAGGCGTTAGCAGACTTCCAACGATCAGTTGCTTCGTTTGCCCGGGTAAACGTACGCGACATGCCCACCGAGAAGTATCCGGGTGTGCTGGAGCTCTTCTTGCTATCTTCGCTCTCGCCGAGCCAGCTCTGGACGGCAAAGACGACGGCAGCCCTGTATCATATGATTCGCAATCAGCGGACCGCCCCAACCTAAACTTTTATCCGATATTCACATCCAAAGAGCACATGGCAAACGCCACATGGCTGCCGTTGGGTTATCGATGGCGGGTAGCTTTTGTTGGAAGCTACCCCCATAGCGGTGATCGGAGTCGCATGGAGTGTGTTGCGTGCGCATCGAGCGGATCCTATTTACCATCCAATGTAGCGGTTGCGCATAAAGATAGCAGCCATGGGCAATGTTGACGAGAGAGTCGACTGGAATTCAGCGACATCGCTCTTCGCGGCCGGCTCCTGATAGGGGATAACTACGCCAAATCCCCGGGTCAGCTTGATATTCCACGGCTTTGACATTGGACAGAGTCAACTTTGGCAACTGGAATGGGTAACTTACTCAGGTCCGCCCTGCGCATATCCTTCTTGGAAGACATCTTGGCTGAGTATGTAAAAGGAAACTTGAAGCCAGTCTCGGAACTTGTTGCGTGAGGTTGATGGTCGTCCGGACGGTGACGTTCGTAGCTGGGGACAAGTTGGAGACACCTCTCCGGGGAAGCTCTGGACCTCCGTTGGCGGGACCCTGCCGCAGCCGTCGCGTGCACGGTCCACCCACGGGCCCCGTAGGGAGTCTTGGCAGCAAACTCGCGATGGAGGCAGTCACAAACGCCTTGTCAAATTTCAGGGGATACCTGGACTGGTTGACTTACACGCATCTCGTACCTTTGGAGCTTCACCTCCGAGAGCCAGATGCTCATTTTGTTTTTAACATCGACTGAGAAAAGCTAAAATGCTGCTGCAATACGTATCGTGCTGACATTCCATCGAACAGTCATAACCGCCGTGTACTCCGTGACGTTTTCTTTCCTTGAACTTCCCGGGTATAATCATTCCTTTTCCTTCTTGTCCGTGTTAAACCATAACCTTCAAGACCCGCTGAACCCGGTCCTGTTTTTGTTCGTTCATACCAAATATATCCCCGCGCGAGTTGAATCGTCATCATATATACATTGAAGACTGCGCATCTCATCATCCCAGCGGCCCCCATAGGCCACTACCCCTACATGCCTTTTATTTGGCCTTCTTCATGCCTTCGAGATAGGCAACATCGCCTCCTATGCGCAACTTTTCACCCTTCTCAATCACGCCCTCCTCCATCTGAAGCTGATATCTGCTCATGTGCTCCTGGTACTGAGGGATGAAGGAACCCAAGATCCTGATGGCGAGAAGGGCGGCGTTGGTAGAGTTGTTGATGCCGACGGTGGCAGTGGGGACGCCCCTCTGTTAACAGTTAGTGACGGGACGGAATTTCATTGGCATCGTGGATTTGAAACTTACCGGCATCTGAACGATGCTCAAAAGACTGTCGAGACCATCAAGGTGTGTCGCCTTGACAGGAACACCGATCACGGGCAGCGGGGTCTCCGAAGAGATCATGCCGGGAAGATGAGCAGCTCCGCCAGCGGCAGCAATGATAACCTTGATGCCCTTCTTCGCCGCCTCACCGGCAACCTTCATCATGTACCTGGGAGTACGATGGGCAGAGGTGATGTCGAGAGCATAAGGGACCTTGAATTCTTTCAGGATATCAAGACCAGCCTTGAGGACGGGCAAGTCGGAGTCAGAGCCCATTGTGACCAATACCAAAGGCTGGTCCGAGTTGTGTACCTCCGCAGGGCTAACCCCTCCGGAGGATGGCTTGCTCTTGGCTTCCTCCTGGGGACGGAGTTGCTCAGCAGAAGCAGCAAGACGCTCCTCCCTAATTTGATCGACCAATTTGATGAAAGGCTCAGCAGCCTGCTCGAGATCCTCAATAGAGGAGAATCCGGTCAAAGTGATATGGCCGATCTTGCGGGTAGGTTTGGACTCCTTGTTGTAGAGATGGAGATAGACATCGACATCATCGCCGTACGTCGTCCTGGCAAGACGAGCGAGCTTGTGATGGGAGTTGGAGGCGGCACCACCCAAGATGTTGAGCATGATAGAAGATGCAACTCTTGGGGTGAGCTCATCAGGGATAGGTAGGTCAAGGACGGCATAGAGCTGGGCCTTGTACTGGGACATGTAGGGAACGGCCTCAATGGTGTAGTGGCCGGAGTTGTGGGGGCGAGGCGCGACTTCATTGATCATCAACGATCCTGACCAAATGTTAGCAAGATATCCAGCGATATCGAGTTCAACCACTGCTACTTACCGTCCTCGAGGAGGAACATCTCGACGGCAAAGACACCTCTTCCCCACAAAGTGCTAATCACATCACAGGCCAGCTTCCTAGCCTCCATGCAGACATCATCATCCACTTCTCTGGGCGGCATGAAGACCTTGGTGCAGATGCTGTCCTCATGGATCGTCTCAACGGCAGGGTAGGCGACGCATTTCCTCAAGTTGCCTTCATCATCCTCGGTACGGATGACCATGACTGCAAGCTCCTTCACGAAAGGGGCCCACTTTTCCGCGTAGAGAGGAAGCTTGCCCAACGCCTCGATAGCAGGGGCAAAGTCCTCCTCACTGTCAACCTTAAAGTTTCCTCTTCCGTCATAGCTACCCTTTCTCGCCTTGAGCATGAAAGGGAAGCCGAACTTGTCAGCAGCTTCCTGGAGGGATTTGAGAGCCGACTCGCCCGACTCGATGGCCATCTGATCAGCAATGGGGATCTTGGTCTTGCTAGTGCGGAAGTGCTCCTTCTGGAGGTACTTGTCCTGAATCAGGCGGATGGTTCTCCAGGAAGGATGAATGGGCGGCTTGTGAATAGCAACGGAGCCATCGGCGAGCTTGATCTCGACGCCATTCTTCTCGATATCCTCGAGAACCTCGGTCTCGACGTGCTCGATTTCGACAGAAAGGTAGTCGGAACGAGCAGCGAGCTCTCGGATTTTGGCCGGGTCCTTGAAGGAACCAGTGACATGGCGGTTGGTGTTGTGGGCTTGCTTAGCAGGGGCGTTCTTCTCGTCGAGGATGGCGATGTCGATGCCCAGGGGGTTCGCAGCCTCACAGAGCATACGGCCCAGTTGGCCGCCACCGAGAAGGCCAATGACTGGGTTGCTGCCTCCCATCTTGTCGGAATGTGGTCTCATGCTCATCGGATGTTTTGGCGTGACCAGAATGACTCTTGCCTGAGGAAAAAGCTGAAGATGAGTTGCAAGTCAACGTGCTGAAGGAAAGCGATGACGGCCGCTGGGGGGCCGCTAAGAGTCATATAAGACAGGGGTCTTGTGCCTTGTTGAAACCGTGAAACTGGGGCAACTGGAGCTGGTAGTGGAGCCTGGTCAGGCACGTATAGTGGGGGGATGGAGCACCGATAGCGGGAACTGTTAGGGTTGGGGTTAATTTCATAGAGGGACGGGAACCACTCGACGGGATTCTCCAATATGTGGCTTCGATGTTTGCTCCTCGAAATCAAGTTTTGGATTTGTTTGTTGAAAGAAGGCAAATCATGATTGCCATTAGGAAAGATATTACTTCCTGTGATTGGGGGGTTTCAGGTTGTGATATCGCAGGCTTTGCATACCTACCTATCGTCGGCTTGTGAACCACACAAAAAGTTAACTGCCGTAGCGGCTATCAAAGGTTCAAAACCCCCACTGTAAAAAAAAGCGGATGTTGATCGTGAACACCTTCACTTGCGACCACTTCTTCACCATCCGTCCGGCGCAACCACGGAAGTCGCTCGCTCTTACTCTATCCTCCACTCGTTATTAAAGAGCTTGGAACTCATCAAGATGGAGGCCACTATGGAAGACTTTCCCCAGGATATTGTCCAGTAAGGCCTGCCGACCCTTTTCTCTTATTCCTATTTATGCAGCAAGTGCTACGTCCAAGAATGTTCTTTCCCAAGCGTCCTGGCTGAGGGGGCTTATAAAATCTCAAGCTGTTCGATTTGGTGCTTCTCCTTCATACGTAGACTACACAGTTCTGAGACAAGATGCGTTTAACTGACTTGAGAAAGTCCGCTCAAGCTCTTTGACATTGCGAAGAGTGAAAAGAGACTTCTTTACACTTTGGCGCCCATGGTGAGGTATGGCAAGGCAAGTAGCCTCCTCCTCCTCTTCCTTTAACATCTTGTTTGAGAAAGTTCCCATCATAGTAGTCACAATATTCTAACAAGCCGGACAGCTTGCTTTTCGCCAAACAGTCCATGACTACGGCACAGATCTTTGTTGGACGCCCATGATCCTGGCCAAAGAGTTCAACAGAAACCGATTTGCCAGAGATAGCGATCTCACCATCTCCACGAACGGCCACCAGCCTCCAACAGTGGTGCAATTTGGCGCCAACGTTCCCCAAGAGTTAGCCCGGGCGTCTACCCTCGTGGCCCCTTATGCCGGCGGCGTGGACCTGAACTGCGGATGCCCTCAGTCATGGGCGTGCGCCGAGACCCTCGGTGCCGCGCTGATGGAAAAGCGAGAACTAGTACGGGACATGGTGGTTGAGACTCGGGAGTATCTGAGGCGAGATGGATGGGGCGTTGGTAAGGAGAAGGATATCGACAACCCCAAGGGAAGGAGTGTCAGCGTTAAGATCCGTGTTCATAAGGATCTGAGGTGAGTTTCCACAGCCGCGATGAAAATGGGGTGTCAGGATAAGGTCTCGTGGATACCTAGAAATAACTAACCTCTCAACACCACAGAAAAACAATGGACTTCATCACCACCGTCCTCGGCCCCTCTCAAGACCGACACATAGACTGGCTGACCATCCACCCCCGCACGCGTCAAACCCCCTCCAGCACACCCATCAACGTCGAAGCGCTCGAGATCTTGACTTCCACCTTCGGCGACCAGGTCCCCATCCTTTTGTCAGGGGACGTCTTCACCCTCAACTCCCTGCCTTTCACCTCCCCCCTCTTAGACCCAGCCAACACCCCGACCTTCACCAGCAAGTCCATCTCCACCGACAATGTCGAGAAGAAGAAACAGCCAAACCAGCCTGTGCTCAACATTCCCAAACTCTCGGGGCTAATGTCCGCCCGCGCCATCCTCGCCAACCCGGCCCTCTACGCGGGCTACGACGCCTGCCCGTGGGAAGCGCTCGAGACGTTCATGAGCCACTTGGCAAGGGCGCCGCTGCCGTTCAAGCTTGTACAGCACCATCTCAGTGAGATGTGTGCGCCGGGCATGGGGCCAAACAAGAATGCGCTGCTGGGCAAGGCGGAAAGAAACGCCATGTTGAGTTGCACGAATATGGTTGATCTAGTGGACTTTTTGGATGAGAAGGCGAGGGAGAAGGGGTATGGGGATGAGTTTGGGATGAGGAGGTTGGTGTGAGTGAGTTGTTTTGGGCGGAGAGATTGACGGGATGAGTTGTCTTGGGGTGCTTGGTTTACGTAGATAGGTGGCAATTCCTGAGTAGAATAACTTGAGGGATCAAAAATATTGAGCCATGGTCAGGGTGTCAAATGATGTTGATCTATACCTTGGATTTTTTGCCGGCAGGTCGTGACATAGCCTCGATCTGCTTGCCGTATCCTATGCTAAAGGTGATAATAACCTTACCTCTGTCATATGTATTTTTACAGGATATCATACAATTAACACCCTCCCGATATGCCGCCACACTCCTCGGTCAGTGGAGCCCCCTTTACACCCACGAGTCTGGGCAAGTATGATCAAAGAATACCCAGTGCGTTTTCCATGCTCGCCAACCGATTCATTCCATGTAATTTCAAGAGCGCCTCCTGTAAAGTCCCCCACCGCTGACGCCTGAAACCGCCGACTACCCTATAAGCCAAAGTAACAAACCCGAATTCGAAGCAACAACAGTAAAATCCGGCGGAGGCAGGCAGAAACCCCGACGCGCAACGTTAATTCCCGCTGATCTCCCCTTCATCCTCATCGCTCGCAACGGTCCGAGTCCGCTTCCTCTCCGGTTCGCCTTCCGCCGCCGGCTCAGACACGGAGTTCTTACGCTTCGCTCCGGAAGGAGACCGTAGTCCGCTGTCGCCTGGCCTTCCATTGTGTATCGCCAAGTTATTGGCGGCCTCTTTTAGTGACGCATCGGAATCTCCTCTCTCCGACTGGAAAGATGCCTCCGGCGCCTGCTCTGTCCTTGCATCGAGACCAGAAGTAGCGCTGTCCGGTTCGCTCTTGATGAGCGAAGATGCCTTTGCCTCTGAAGAATATTTTATTGTTGAACCGTTCTGGGCCTCCGAAGCTGTTCTCCCATCTTCCTGCTTGATGTGCTGTCGCTGCGAACTCTGCTCCTCATCCTCCAATGTGCCGTTGGTGTTGCCGTTAGCACGCCCGCGGTCACTGGAGCTTCTAGGACTCTGTGTGCCGCGGTCTGTCCCCATCGGAGTGCCGTCGCCCTCTTGCTGACTTGATGCTGTTCCGAGCCTGCGCCTTGTACCCTCCAAGTTGAACGTAGGAGACGGAGACATCCTGTTATCCTGTTTCCTCAACGGGTTCTCCTTGTAGAACTCGGTAATGACTTCCATAGCCATGCAGATCTTGCCCTCGTCCCCCTTAAGGTATTTCCACCACGCCTCACCGTCGACGTCGTCAACTTTCTCCTTAAGAATGGAGGCGGAGAAAAAGATGGCACTGATGGCGACGTCGCGGGCATTCAGTAGCAAGGGCAAGACTGTGAGGCACAGGTCGTTGCAATAAGTCCATGCGGCGTTACGGAAGGCTTTGTTGCGAACCAGGTGCTGCTTTTGCTTGGAGGCATCTTGCGACTGTTGGCTGCTTTCTTGTTGCTGTAGAGGAATGTCCTGCTCCAGCGTATTAATGAACTCGTATAATGGGTGGTATGGAATTCCCACCATTAGATCGAATGTCAACTGTTCCAGCATCACTTCCTCGTAATTGAGAATACTGTCGCGCCATCGCCAATATTCTTTACTTTGTTCGTCGATGATTAGCTTCGCATTCTTCTGGGCGACTTTTGCGACCGCGATGATCAGATCTTTCGTTTTTCGGCAGTTTTCTTCTGTCTTGTTCGCGAGGAAGAGCGCGGTAGCAGCGATGTTCTGCATATTCAATATGGGGTTAGTCCGTGTTGCACATCTTCAAGACTCAATGACCACATCTGGGCTGCTAAAGATGACCGCCGACACAGGCGACAAAGGATAAGCAGAGGACACGAAGAGACATACGTAATGATGGATGCCACCCTTCTCTTCCACCATGCTTCTTCGCATGTAAAAGCGGTGGAAAAAGACGCCAGCAACCCACAATGTAATCTGCGGGAGATCGAGCATGATGCCAGCTTGGAAGATGAAGTTAACACCTTTGGCCCTCCTTAGGCGCTCCTCCGACACAGAGAGTCCATCTATGATGCTGGGTGTGCTCGCTACTTCGTCGGGCGTGAAGTACCACTGGTCGGGACGCGCGACCGGTAGTTTTTGGGGACTCGACGGCGGACGTGCTGTTGATGGTGACGCCACACTCTTAATCGAGAGCGGCCGAGGAGGTGACGTCCGGGTCGAGTGTGAAGGTGGCGACGGCACGGCAGGGGGCACATCGCGTCTTCTCGCCGGCGACTTGGACAAATGATTGTCAACCGGCGGCGGAGGCTTTGCCGGGAGCCCGAGAGATGGCGGCTGGTAGCCTTCCCGCGGAGGACGATATGACATGATGCAATGCGGTGGTCGACGTTCTGGCTGGTTCCCAAATAAGCGAATCCTCCCCGTGTCGCCCTTCAGATAGCTCGGCCGAGTTGATGCGCATGGGGACTTGAGCTGCCCGGATGCTGTGGGTTGAGAGTATGGTGACTGTGTCTCTCGCGTGAGTATCGGTTGGGAAAAGAACGATTGAGAGTTCAGAATAACACAAACGGAGAAGTCAAAAGTTCGAAATCAACCCAACCCTCAAAAGTGAATTGCGATGGCATCCGCTGCCATTGTTTTATCGCCCATTATCAGAAAGCCAAGCTTCGCACGATGGACCGTGCGTCACCACTTCCAAGGGTGACTTTACCATCGCCAGCCAACGCGGGCGGCAGGTGTCCCGCCCACCCCTGCCCGCGTCACTGCAGAACAAAGGAAAGCAGGAAGAAGGATCGCAGCAGGCCCACTTTCCCGGTCAGGTGACCCCCCTATTCTTAGCAGGTCAGTGAGATGCAACCACGAAGCAACTCAAATTTATGCGATGAATTCAACTTTATATGGACATCCGGTCATGTTTGTTTATCTACAGAATCCTTATAGCTTCCATGCAATCTATTTGCTGGTACTATCTCTCGACGAGCGGTGAACCAAGCCCTGGCATGTTTACTGGCTAAACGCCCTCGTTGTTTTGGTACCTCTAGAGGCAATGACCAGTTAAGCGTATCTCTACCCTCTGATCAGGATTCATACAAGCCCTTGGAGTCGTTTCGTCCCCAAAGTTTGACCGTCCGATCATGCCCACCGCTTACAATCCACTTTCCATCCCCGCTAACGTCGACACTCGAAACAGGCCCTGTGTGGCCGCTGAGGGACTGGACCAAGGCCCAGTCGTCGGCGGAAAATATGTTTACCTTGTGGTCAAAGCCTGCCGAAACCATAAAGGTGCCGGATTTCTTGGGAATTTGCATTCCCTTCTCATCCTCGCCAGGAGCTACTCCTTCTAACGGATCATCCAACCCCTTAAACCACCGCACGTCGGCCACCGCACTTGTGTGTGCACCAATTCCTCCTATCCTTTCCACTTTCCTAACATCCCAGCACTTGATCCAGCCATCAGCAGACGCCGTGAGCACCCTGTAACCGTCCGAGCCCCAGTCCAAGCCATAAATAGGCTTGATATGGCCGTCCTGGTGCCCATCAAGAATCATGGCAGTCCGTCCTGTCCGCAAATCCCAGATTCTTCCAATGCTGTCCAACCCCGCGCTCGCAAGTAGCGATCCGTCAGTGTTGTAGCTGACGGCGTAGACACCGCGAGAGTGGCCTTCCTGGAGAAGAAGCTCGGTGCCGGTTTCCACATCCCACATCCTCCACGAGGTGTCTTCCGAGGCAGAAGCCAGATACCTGCCCGAAGGGTGGAACTCTACACGACACACTCGTTGAGAATGTCCCGTAAGAGTTCTGAGCGGAGTATCCTGGTTCAGAGACCAGAGATGAACCAGGCCTTCCGCACCTCCAGAAGCGAGGTTGACCGTATCGGGAGAAACATTGCGCTCAGGCAGTGTAGCTCCAGGCATCCAGCATAGACCGCTCACTTTGTTGGTATGACCCCTCAAAGTCTTCTTTGGTTCAAGGGTCGGGATCTCGATAAGTTTGACCTGTCCACCCCAGTTGCCAGTTGCGACCATGTTTCCATCGGGGGAAATCCTCGTCATGCTGATGTGCCGCTCTCCTGCCGTTTGACTGCCTTGTAGCTCAAATCCCTGAAGCTTTTCCTTGATCTCTTTTCGGTGTTTGACATGCGTTCGCAGTGGAATGGTGGACTCCTTCTTCTGGAATTCGATGCGCTTCTTGGCTCTGGGGATTGAGTATTGGGCGATATCGATGCGGGCCTGAAGCAGCTCCGGGGTTCCAGTGGTGTAGAATTCTTCCTCTTGGTCGCCGGCTTCGTCATCATCATTGTCGGCGTCTTGCATTTCCACATCGGCGTTTTCTTGGCCTCCCTTCTCGGCTTGTAGTGTCATAAGTTCTCGTAATCTGTCGCGTCTGTCTGCCGGACCCTCGCCGAAGAGGGTGACGGGCTCGCCCATCTCTCGCAATTTGGCTCGCACCCGGCCATCGTCGGTAGGAACGGCAATCGAAGCTGCTAATCGTTTTCGCTCGAACTGTGAAAGGAGTACAGATGCCTTCTCTGGGGCAATACCAGCCCCAGCACCTGGAATGTCATAGTCGCGATCAAGAGCTAGAAGGCGAGTTAGTCGTGGGTCGGACGCAGTCCATAAAGTGTTTTTCAAGACTTACGAACAGAGTCGAGATCAATGCCTCCGCGATCCTGCTTTAGGTGGGTTAGTACGGGCTCTGTTTGGAAAGTTGAGCAGGTGCCTTCAATGTTGCGAGGGGCGTAAACGGGGTATGTCTTACCTCAGGCTCGGCCTCCTCTACGTAGGCTCTACGCGACGGATGCATCTTGCTAAGCTTTTTGGTAGTTGGTCCCTCGCTGTAACTTTTGTGCAATTGGAAACGAGTAAAATGGGGTATTTCGGATTCGGATGTTTGTTGCTAAATAATGGTTTGATGCGCGAGTCTGGTGTTTTGCTTCCCGTCTTGATTTGAAGCTGGTAGGTGATGCAATCACAGGAAGTTTACAATGCTGGCGGCGTTGCTGTTTCTGGAGCTCCACTGGAATTTCCGGGATACGTCCAACCCTAACCCTCTATGACATGTCCCATCAGAACGTTCTCGTCCCACAGCTTCCTATAACGACCGCAGTCCTAGCATCGCCTCATATGAAAACTGAACCAACGAATCATCAAAATGGCTTTCCGAACATTCATAGGTACGTACAGTTCCTGTGTTTTCATGTGATGGATTTCCTGTTGGTATCAACAGGTGTGGGTACCTGCTTCGCACACAGGCTGTCCAAGGTGACATGGAAGTGCAATCCCAAAATGGTGCGGCCAGTTCCCCCTTCCCAGCCGTTGACCAATGCGGTAATGACCGCCAATCGAGCCCCAGCTGTTCGGATCCCCCAGACTTGTCAAAATGAAGATCGGGGTCGGCATTCAGCGGCCTTGGTACACACACTGCCTTCAGCGAGTGTGGTATTGGAAGTTTGGACAGTCTGACAGTGCAGCATGGGGCGATTCCAGGCTGAAAGCTAGAAAAAGCCTGGAAAATGGTGCACTCCCTTTTATGCGGGGGACACGCCATGGCCAATCACCGATTCTCAGGTGCTCATGCCAATTCCCGTTTCCCTGGGACAACGCCCGCCTTTTCCTCCCTTTCCTTCCACCAGACCAGTCCTGCTGGCCTTTCCGCCCTTCCTGTTGCTCGCCTGTCCGGCCTGCCCAGACCGTGACACATGCGAGCATGCAGTTTCTCTTGATCGCAGTTGGCTCAATGGCAGGAAAGTCATGAGGCGGGCGCAGCCCCTGGTTAGTGCATGCTCCTAGGAGTAATTGTACATAATACCCAAGGTAACAACCCCGGTCCAGGCCATCCATCCCCTTCACTGCAGCTCCAAAAGGTCCGGGCTCCATTTTATTTTAACTTCTGCTTCCCACAACTTTCATTGTCTCCAGAGTTGACCTCTTCCTTCGCACGCTCCCCAGCTACAACTTTCTCCTCTTTTTCTCTCTTGATACTAAAACCGCATCTTATCAAGCCTGTTCACCCTCAATGCATATCGAGAAGACCGTCGACGACAATTCCACTTCCTTCTTCAAGTACCAGATGCGTGCGATTCCAAGCCACCAAGGACCCAGTTTGACCACCGAACACCGCGCCGACGCCCAACGACGCAGAGGCGAGCCTTGAATACGAAGGCCGACAGAGGTTTTGAGGGATTGATCTTGTCGAGCTGTAACGGGAGTCTTCTAGTTTCCCGATTATTATCGATCATACCAACACCATCCCACTACTAGCTAGCCCATCAAACGACTACCATACGACAAACATGTTGAGATCTCCAGCAACTCCCGCACTCAAGACGGTGCGTGGCTTCCACAATACCCCGGCTGCATCCGGCGATGAGGACTCCGACTACTGCCTCTCGCCCGACCCCCGTAGGGGATTGACAACCAAGAGCAGCAGAAGCACGCTCATGGTCGACGACGTTGTCAGTGCCAATTGCAGCCCGGCTATGAGGCCCGTTCTTTCGCCCGCCATGAGTGGGATTAGCATGCTACGGATGCACCAGGATATTCAGTCCCTCAGCCTGGACACTGCTGCCTCTTCACGTGCGAGCTCCATGACGTCGAAGCTTGGTCGCCGTGTTCTTTCTGGTGGCCTGGTCCGCCAAAGTGGTTACAAGCGCAGCAACAGCAGCGGCACCAGCTCCGGGGACGAGACGGCATCTGTGGCCACCGAGGCCTACGAAATCAACCTCGAGCACGATTTTGCCGTCGATGGGAATGTTACCACTACAATTGGATCTACTGAAGCCGTGGAGATTGGCCCTGAGGGTGGTGTTGCCCGCTCGCAGAAGATGACTGCGGATGATTTTGAGCCCCTGCGGTGCTTGGGCAAGGGAACATACGGCACTGTCCTGCTGGTGAAGCAACGTACCACTGGTCGTCTATTTGCGCAGAAGCAGTTCAAGAAGGCTTCCCTCGTCGTGCATAAGAAGTTGGTTGAGCAGACCAAGACGGAACGCCAGATTTTGGAAAGCGTCAATCGTCACCCTTTTGTGGTTAAGCTCTTCTACGCTTTTCAGGATCAAGAGAAGTTGTATCTTATTCTTGAATACGGCCAAGGCGGTGAGCTCTTCACCCACCTTAACACCGAAAAGATGTTCTCGGAGCCGACGGCGGCCTTTTACATGGCGGAAATGGTTCTTGCCCTGAGCCACCTTCATACCACACTAGGTGTCGTCTATCGAGACCTCAAGCCCGAGAACTGCCTCCTCGACTCCGAAGGCCACCTTCTTTTGACCGACTTTGGCCTTTCCAAGGTGGCGGTTGAGTCTGAGGAGTGCAACTCGATGCTTGGTACCGTGGAGTACATGGCTCCCGAGGTTATCCAAGGCAAGAAGTACGGCCGCTCGGTTGATTGGTGGTCTCTTGGTGCCCTTGGCTACGACCTGATGACGGGCAACCCTCCGTTCCGTGGAGGGAACAACGCCAAGATCCAGGAGAACATTGTCAAGCAGAAGCTCATCATGCCCTACTTCCTGACTGCGGAGGCCAAGGACCTGTTGACGCGGTTACTGCGCAAGGATCCTGCTAAGCGTCTGGGCTCAAACATGCCCAAGGATCTGGACACTATCAAGAAGCACCGGTTCTTCCGCAAGATCGACTGGAAGAAGCTTGCCGCTCGTGAAATCGAGCCTCCTATTCAGCCCATGATTACGGATCCAGAGCTCGCTGAAAACTTTGCGCCCGAATTCACTGAGCTGAACCTCAGTCCAGTTGTTAGCCGGTTCGAGGAGCGATATGCGGCCGCCCATGCTAATGACGACCTTTTTGGAGGATTCAGCTTTGTTGCGTCGAACAGCCTCTTGGATGGCGATGGTTTTGGAATGCGCGTCTAGACCAACGTGCTCTTACACTTGGTTGCAGGGAAAAAAATCAGTTTTTCGATACAGTTTGCCATAAGTATCAGGGCTGAGGTTGAGACAAAAGAGGAGGAAACCAAAGATCATTCTCGATCTGTTTTTGAATGGGATTTAGGAGTTAAGAAAGGTATGGGAAAAGTGTTATTCAGCTGGTGCGCCATGAACCATGGCAAAGGTACCAGCGCAGGAGGAGAAATGTAGTGGTGACGGACCACAAGCGATAACAGTGCTACGAGTTCAGTCTGCCCTCGGTTCGTGTTTTTCATTTCTCGTTTCTTTCATTCTCAATGGTTGAGTGTTCCATTTAGTTATGGACCAAGACAAATAGACAGGTCAGGCAATAGACTCATGGGCTCCGTTCCATTTGATATCAAATGCTCGGTCAAAGATAAGAAGGAACTTGGAGTGTGTCTTGAAGATATCTCGTTTACCACCTTGGCGCAAGGCAGTAGCGACAACTCATTCCAATGGCAAATTTTCTTGTTTTTTTTTTTTTTTTCCCTTGAGAATTGTCGATATCTGTTCGATGGACGCGCGTCCTCTCAATATTGTCTGTCAATTCTCGGTCTATCAATCCTCAGTCGTCAATCCTTCCCACCATTCACCGGACGCAACAAATCAACAGCGCGTTTTAGGTACTCAGCCACCACCAACACCACCACCGGCACTCACGCGCATCAGCACCGCAGCTCTTGGCCGATATCCTACCGTCCCTGCCACCCAACGCCAACGCCCCGAGGTACCCTCAACACCCTTAGGACAAATCGGCCAAGAGCCGGAGACCGCAAAAGCCGCGCGGCTTATCGGGCTTTCTAATGCTTACCTTAACAGCTCTGCTCTGCTCTGCTGCCGGGTCTCCCCCTTCGAAAGTCCGATTCGAAGCTGCTGCTACCAACCATTGGGGGGTGCGAAGAACGCACGCGTGTACACAGGGCATATGTGAAGATATGCATTTCTGACTGACGTGACCTGGCAAAAGACGAAAAATTATAGAAGATAACAAGCTTAAAGAGGACGGCAATTGGGGATGGATGATCGACGGGGGATGTACTCTATGGTACCTAACCTTGATTGTTCTGCAGATGTAAACCGAGTGTCAATACCACCGTGACTTTATACCTTGTTACGGTATGCATCTCAGCCCTAGACCTAGAAACCTAGCTATGGTAGTTGGTTCCAGACCCGGGGTGATAAAAGCGTTATCGTAGGTACCTATGTGTATACTTGAGTTGTATGTTTAAACGCGGAAAGAACGCCCGAAGTGTACTTTCCCTGATTCAGGGGATTCCTTTATTGCCATGTACATGATATTATATGCATTACAGGTAGCTAGGCAGTTGTTGATACCAAGAGTGGTCTTCTTGATAGGTAAGTGTATTAAATACTCCTGGGTATCCGAATAAAGACTCATGACGGGAATTATCGACAGCCCTTATCAGTGGTCCTTCCTTACTAACAGGACAAATGCCTGAGGGCTCGGGCTGTGTGCTGTGTGCAACCACGTCAGCTGGAAGAAGTAGGTGCGGCCCGGTATGATACGGGTTTCTTTCCGGTGGTGGTGGTGCGGCTGTGCCTGCGCCGTGGTGTTGTAGTACTGTAGAGACAGACCGTGACGGATACCGAAGTGATTGGCCAGACAGACTTAATCTTCTCTCTTTTGGGATCAATTTTCTGGGCGGAACCAACGTATAAACTGGGAGTTATGAAACAATGGCTTTTTGTGTAGCAAGCAGGTCAGCGTTCTTGGTTGTCTGTGACCCAGGTACAGCAGGAACCCAACTGAACTGACTTGAACCCTTTTTCTGATGGTAAGATCTGTGATGTCAGAAAACGGGTTGTTGCACTCACGTTGCACGACCAAGAGAAGGTATGCAGAGGGGGTAAACGGAGAGAAACCTGACCTGGAACTGTGTGGAATGACAATCCCATGACAGGTCCCAAGTTCCCCAATTTTTCCCAAGTCAAGGACTGACTCCGCCAAATGCAATAAACCGATGCATTCGCGCGTTCCAGCCATGGCTTGAATGGGCTTGGGAAAGTGCTGCAGCTGGCGTCGTTCGGGTCGCAAAGCCCGCAAAAGTCAGCCATCAGCCATCAGCATGTGCGACGCCCTGCATTCCACAAAGTCTTCTGCAAGTCAACATCCACCAAAAACATGTGGTCGTTGCCAAGGTATGTACATCGGATGTGTTGTGCGCAAAGGGTCGAAGGGGACTTGGGTTGTCAGTGTCTGCTGCTGTAATGGCTGACAAGCTACATATGCGCATCTTCGTGTGTGGCCTGGTCTTGCTTTGAGACCACAGCTCCGCAGCTTCACGTACGAGTATATGGATGGGTGTCAGCCCCTCCCTCGCGCCCGTCATTGTCTCGAACTTCAACGAAGTGACGGCTACTGTTTGAGCTGGCCATCGTCCAAAGTCTCATGTAACTGAGCCAACGACACACTCTTCCTGTCACCCAGGGACGACGCTTAGGATATACTCTCCTGCAGCCTTGTTGAATCTTTTGGTAGACACTGTCTCAATACTCTTCAACTTGACCATAGCTTATTCCCAAAGCCTATCGACCTGAACCATGAAGGCTGTCAAAGGGTCGTCGTTGGCCTTAGGGTTGACTGGTAAGTCCAATCCCAGCCTGATCACATATTTTCACCCACCAAGAACGATCTGATATTAATGGTTGGGAAAAAGCTCTAGCCAGCAATGCTGTCCACGCTGCCACACCCAAGTACTGTGCCACGGGTGCCGACAATGTCTGCTTCCGGTTTGGCATCCCCCAGTCATCGGCCGACTCAGGGTCCGGCAACATCTACTTCCAAATCCAAGCACCATCGACATACTCGTGGGTAGCACTTGGCACGGGCGATCAAATGAAGGGGTCCAACATGTTCGTCATGTACCAAGATGGGTCGGGTAACCTGACGTTATCGCCCCGTCTGGGCACCGGACACTCGATGCCCGAGGAGGACACTAGTTCGTCAGCTGCAAAGCTAGAACTCCTCGCAGGCAGCGGAGTGGTAAATGGCGTCATGACTGCCAACATGGTCTGTCCTAACTGTGAAAGTTGGAACGGCGGCTCGCTCAGCCTGACGGACACGGCGTCGGAATGGATTGCTGCGTGGAAGCAAGGGTCATCTATGGCGACCACGAGCAAGAGCGCGAGCATCAGTCAGCACGACGACCATGATGAGTTCCAACTTGACCTCACCCAGGCGACGGTTTCTTCCGACAGCAACCCCTTCCTCGAGGCAGACACCGAAGATCCGGGGACCGGAAGCGGAAGCGGTGGTGGAAGCAGCGGAGGCGGAGGCAACAGCGACGATCCTGGAGTTGTTGTAGGGCCTGGCAACCCATTCGCACCTGTCGTCGGCGGCAAGCGTAGGGATGGGGCTTTGATCGCACACTCCGTTATCATGACGGCCACCTTTGCAGCTCTCTACCCCTTGGGCTCCATGCTCATGCCTCTGACCGGCAGCTGGATCGCCCACGCAATTTGGCAAACCTTTGCCTTTGCGATGATGTGGGTTGGTTTCGGCCTCGGTATTCGTGTTGCGCAGGATAGGCATATGGTATGTAAATCGCTGCTTTCGCGGGCTCTTGAGAGCCTCGCAAGTTGAACAACCATTGCTAACAAGTTCGCGAAAAGCTCTTCAACAACACGCACACCAGGCTCGGAACAGCCGTCGTGTTCCTCCTCCTCATCCAGCCAATCCTCGGAATCATGCACCACAAGTACTTTGTGAAATACCGCGAGCGTGGTGTGATCAGCTATGCTCACATCTGGTGGGGTCGTATCCTCCTTACTCTGGCCGTCGTCAACGGTGGTCTTGGACTCAAACTCACCAATGCGGGCAACTCGGCTGTCGTTGCCTATTGCATTATTGCTGCCGTCTGCTTTGGTATCTACGCCATTGTCAAGTCATGGGCAGTCGTTCGCCGCGGCCGTCAGCAGGGCCCTGCTTTCCGCAAGAGTGACAATTTCACTCATCAACAGCGATATCCGGTTGGCCGACAGCCGTATAGGCCAAGGAACCGGGTATAAGCAGCCAAACAGCACGAAAGGAGTAACCATTGTATGGCTCGCTTGACTTGAAGATAGTCGGCAGTTGTTTTCCGAGTTGGTTCGGTATATGCGAGGATTTGGGGGATACCACTTGGAGCCAGAAGGGCTGTGTTCAATAACAGATGAGATGAAGGATATGGTGATCCGATGCTAAACGGTAGTGACAGTTTTGGCTGTCCTTGATTTCAGTATCAGGCTGTGGCCAGAGCTGTATAGAAAAAGAGATTAACAACCACGAAAACAAAGTGAAGTTGTAGTGATACCGCACAAGCATGGGTTGTAGAGGTCACGGCAGTGTTGATGGAAACAAAGTTGAAGTTGGCTTTGGAGTTTGGAAGCACCTCATGTCAAACTAAAGAGTGGAGACTGGGGATGTCCCCACTCACCACCCGGGCTTCTCCTCATCTCTATCATCCAAGTCGAAGGCCTGAGGTCCTGCGATGCAGCTTTGCTGCACAGAATCGCAGCGCTACTGTTAAAATAACAATGTTTTGAGAGTTTCACTTGGTTTTTGCCCCAAACTGAATAGATTATTAGATTCCGTGTCTTTATGGCCTTGTGAACTCGCGTGATAAGTGAAAAGAAACACTTGCATCACGTGACAGCTCCGGCGTTTGTACCTGCTCTGGTCCAGGTGAGAGGGGTGAGAGAACGTCCGTGCACGCCGGACCCGAGAACCTCCAATGGAAGTCCAACCGGGATATTTTGAAAAGTCTCGCAAGCAACGACCTCCACCGTGACCTTCAGCTCGCTACCTCTCCTCGCAGCGTCACGCATCTCGCCCAGCACATTCAAAATGCTCTCCCGGACTTCGGTACGTCTTTTTTCCTGGGCGACTGCCGCAATCGATGCCGGATCGCAGCTTGGAATCGAAACACCAAGGCTGGCCGACAGCAATGGGATTCGGAATCGGACAATGAGCTAATCAACGCACAGAGCGCCCGCCAGGCCGTTGCGGCCGTTGCCCGCCTTGCCCGCCCCCAGATGAGGACCTTCATCGCGCCCACCGTCTCGCGGAGAGGTACGTCCCTTTCTCTCTCTTGCCCAAACATTTTACACCCTCGGGTCGACGGATAGGTTGGATAGCTCCCGGCATGGACGACGACTAGCGTACGATACGGTTCCGATTCCGTGATGGCGACTTTACGATACCTCCCGAGATAGCTCGGCACAACATCCGACTAGCTCTGTGCAAGGCCACGACGACCACACCCTCTACCTTGACACGATAGTCGGTGCATACCGATGACAGCAATCCAATGATACAAGAATTCGTCGTCCTCATATACGACCGGCGATCCTGCTCGCTTGCTCTGCCATCGACAACCTTTTACCCGCCTCGCCGCACATTGCCCGACAGCTCGTCCAGCCTCTCGTGGCCCCGACATAAACCAGCCGACCTATCCATCCATCCGTCCATACGTCCGTCCGTCCGTTCTGACATCATCTTGGTTCTGACATCATCTGTCCATTTTCTTCTCTCTAGCCGACTTCGTCCAGGAGCTCTACCTCAAGGAGCTCAAGGCCTACAAGCCCACCCCCATCAAGGAGTCCGACTCCGTCGGCCACGTCGCCACCTTCAGCCTTCCCAAGACCCCCAAGTCTCCCGAGGAGGCCGACCTCGCCTCCAGCCTGAAGGAGTACGAGAACATGGCTGTCGAGGTTGAGGGCCAGGAGGGCGCCGATGCCGGTGCCCCCGCCGCCGTTGTCGAGGACTGGCTCGTTGAGGAGGAGGAGGAGGAGGGTGCTCACCACTAAGCGACTCGTTTCGGTACTCGCTCAGTCACTCCGCTCCCGATCATCCAATCCAGACATCATTTAAACTCAGTCTCTCCCAAATAGACCCAAATTCGAGATTTTGAGAAAAAGAAGGGGGAGAACGGGAAAATGTCTACGAGAAAGATGGACACAATGGTTTTGCGATCGATCGATATCCCCCGGCCAGCCAATGTCTTGATATATCCCCTGAGCGGATCATCCCATCCTTTCCAGCCTCTCCTCCCGCAGCTCTCAATCTTATGCCAACTACCGACACGACATGGGCTTGATGACGGTCCGATGGTGCTGTGCGCATATTTTCGCATGGCGCTCGCTTGACGGACGGGAGAGGAACTTCTTGCCCATTACTGATGAACAAACCAGCCCCCGTGTGTGTTTGTAGAGGAGTAGAATTCCATGTATAACTTCCAATCCAGAGTATAAGCAGTCATGAGCCTACATCTACATATGACCTCGAGTGATAAATTTCCCTTCACCTAATTTGATACCCCTAAAGCCCTCTGAAAATAACCCATATAACAACTAGGAAGTAACTGCGACAGACTCGTCCGATCAACCAAGTATCTATCTTGCTCCTTAGTTAACTTAATTAACCTTAAAACTGCGTTCTCACAACTACCATCCTAATCCTGTCTCCCTCTCCATCAGATATAAGGTATCTCCTCATCCGCACGCCTCTCGGCTAATACCTCCTCCTTCACAACTCACAGTACCCCAACGCTGGGGACCCTCTGAGTCTAGTGAATACCCGAGTTATATCATCATCATTTGAAGCCCTTCTCTTTTTTCCTCATCCGTAAAGATATCATATCTGTGATTACACATGCAAGCAAGCACCTGTCGGAGCCTTAGGTTGTGTTACCATCCGAGAGATCTTACCATGGTCTTTCATCCCATCTGGGCTCACTGGGCTGTCATCGCAGCATAAACACATAAGAACCTCCTACCTACTGTGTAATCTATCCGGTCTAGATTGGACTTTCAAGTATCCAACCGTTTGCATTTGAATCTCTCCATTTCATTACCAGCAGTCATGAAGCTTGTGATTTGGTCTGTAACACTTGCCTAGGGAAATTGGAGCAAGTGACACTCCCCAATTGAAACCCGAAGACCCTGAACCGTCAAAACCTAAATTAGCCCCTTGGTCATTCCATCTCACTCTTGTTCTTCATCTCTAATAATTGCAACATAACATCACCTTCATCGGATCGGGCCTTGGGCATAGGGTACGCCACGCGAGCCCATGATCAACCTGCTGTGATGTGACATTACCCGTGGAGATACCTGTCAGGTATCATTTCAGAATCATAAAAAAGGAAACCTCTGCGGCCTTGTAAAAAAATAAAAAATAAAAATAAAACACTCAAGTCAATAGATGGTGTGAAAAGGTGGTTGGTTATACTCATTATACTATCTCTAAGTCCAGCGCTCGACCTAAAAGTCAGGCCCCGAACTACCTACCCTACCTACATATTCCAAACAAACACTCGATGTCATCATACATACAATTTTCTTCTTCTGTGCAGGTATTCGTTCCGCCTCGACCGTCCTTCACACATGATTACTATTACTTTCGGTTCTCGCTAAGCGCTGCTACTACTGTATCCCACAATCCCATACATAAGCGGACACGAACACACGACGACACGCATTGGATGATGCCCCTGGCTGCCTGACTGACAAGAAACTATGGTAACTGCTCGGCCAAGTGATTGTTTCGTGTGATAAATCTCTCTGCCCGTTCTCGACGAACCCTGCAGGTGTACTCAGTACTGGGCACTCTTCTGTCATTCAGGTAACGCTATGTTTGATGGGGAAAAAACAATGATCATACTTCTTACTCCCTACCACTCATTCACCCACTCACCCACCCACACTCTCTCAAACCCAGCTCACAGCTGCCCATATATGTACTGATGTTTGTTCATCACATCATCCTGACAGAGTACAATAATACGGATCTCCAGATGTCTCTCTCAGTCTCTTCCCCCTCATCTGCTCATGCCCTCCTCCCCAAAAATGACAAGCTTTTATGACAACAGCAACCGCAAGGAACTAAGCGAGGACAATATTGCATCAAGCGCAAGCCACGCTTCACACCAAAAGATAAATAAAACAAAATGACTCGACCGCATAACAACCGCCTTCGAACCACTTCCCTTTCTTCTTGTTTTTGATCGTTATGTGCAATGCAAACGGCTTGGAAACACCCAATCAAGCAACCACCGTTAACGCCCCGCCTTAAAATTGTGCTGTTCAGTTACAAGCAAAAAGATCCGAACAATACACCGATCTGTGTGAGAACCGCCTTTTGTTTGTAAAAATAAAATGCATGTTTTGCCATGGTGGTGGTGGGTGCTCTCGTTGAGGTCATCATCAACAGAAAATATCTTTCTCTTTCTTATACCGCTACCATATCTGAAGCCCGGGAAAAAAAAGGGGTAATACATCGAAGCCGAACAACAGACAGAAAAAAACAACTGCCGCAACAAAGAAGGGCTTGCGTGGCATGGGCCATTCAAGGGTCGAAGTTGGTTCCGCCAAACATCTGGTCTTCAGTCGTGTTAGACTTGACGACACCGCTCATCCGATTCTCGGCTCGTTGGTCGGCCTCATGAACGTCATCCCAATCATCTGTCCTCCGCCGCTCTGGGACGTCAGCCATTTCATCGTCCTCGTATCTGTGGTAAGAACGATCGTGCATGTTCTCTTCAAGCGCGCTTTCGTCAACAAAGGTGAAGCCTTGGAAGTTGGCCTGTACTGAAGGGGACAGCGGAGTAGACGTGGCATAGCCTCTGGCCAACGCAGCTGCACGCTCATTGAGCGATCCATTGGCGTTGAGCGCATTGGTGAATTCGGGGTCAAAGTATGACACATCAGTATCACTCTTTAGCTGCGGCTTGAAGGGCGGTGTGATGAGCTTTTTGGAAAGGGCAACCCAGTCGATATCGGCGAAAAACGCATGCCTCTTCAATTCCTCGGCATCGTCGGTAGCACCCAGGCGGTGCTTGGGGTTTCGGTTTAGAAGTCCCTTGACGAAATTTCGGCCTTCCAAAGAAAGTGTGTCGCGCGGGAATCGAACCTTGCCAAAAGCAATGTTCTTATACATCTGTTGAGTGTCCTCAGCGTAGAATGGACTCCAGCCGCAGCACATTTCGAAAACGAGAACGCCCAGAGACCAGAAGTCGACCATCTTGGTATAACCAGCTTCATCAAGGAGAACTTCCGGTGCTAGGTACTCGGTCGTACCGCAGAAGGTGTTTGTGGTGTCGTTCTTTGTCAGGTTGGCCTTGGAAAGACCGAAATCGCAGAGAGCGATGTGACCATTGGCGTCCAGAAGGATGTTTTCCGGCTTGAGATCACGGTATACGATGTCGTTTTCGTGTAGGTGTTGGATCGCAAGGATAAGCTCCGCAATGTAGAACTTCGCGCGTTTCTCCTCGAACTTGCCGTCCTTCTGCAAATGCCAGAATAGCTCTCCGCCTGACATGTAATCCGTCACAAGATAGAGATCCGATGGTGTTTGGAAGGAGAACTTCAGCCCCACAATAAAAGGCGAGTCGGACATGGCCGTACGGACCAAGATGTTGCGCTCGCCCACCGTGTGTGCCACCTCTTTCTTCTGAACAATCACCTTCTTGGATAGGACCTTCATGGCGTAGATCCGACCAGTATCCTTCTTCCGAACCTGGTATACCTGACCGAATGTGCCTTTTCCGATGAGTCGGAGAATCTGGAAGTCCTCAGGGCCAAAATGCTTCTGTTCGGCTCTTTGGTAGAAGGCTTCGACGTAAACCTCGCCCGATGGCGCATTTTCGGCCATTGTATCGGCATGGCCTTGCAGGGGAAACCAACCTCTAATTGGCTCGTTTTTGTTGGCCTGGAAGTCGACGTGTCCAAGAAACTCCTCACCGGATGGCCCTTGGCCATATACGGAGATATCGACAAGCATGTCAGAGTCTACCACATCACTAATAACTGGTCAGCATCCCAAGCATAACCGTGCATTTCAAGCCACTTACAAAACGGCCTCAGCGTCCCAGGTGGGGTTAGTGAACGACCGCCGGGGTTGGGATGAGTTGCGTCTTCGAAACGTGTTGAAGTCGGTAAGGCTCGTGTTGCTGCTCTGCCGACTGCGCATGGGAATTGCCATTGGCCGGCCGGAGTCACTGCCTTGGCGTTGGATAGGGATTCCGCCGGTTTGGACGGCAGAAATTGCCGCGTCATCGTCATCTTCAACGGCACGACGAGGACCAGGCGAAATCAGCTCGCTCCGTTGGAATACCACGACTACGTATGGGTCTCTGCACCTTCTCAAACCCCGAGCCTCTCCGACCTTGATTGTAAGCTTTCCTCTCGATGCCGGTGCTCCGCCGGAAGACGTGGAGGGTGTTGGTGTCTGGGATGCTGTGCGGCTCTCCCGCTCGGTACTCTCATCGCTGTTCGTCCTGCTCGTCTCCTCCGGCTGCTTTTCCTCACTTTGCGATGGTTGGGCGGTCGAAAGCGCACGTGTCGGGGTAGAAGCACCGCTCTTTGTAGCAGTCACATCTGTTAGCTTCTTAAGATGCGCAACAGACGCAGACGGATAGGAAAGGTCTTCTGGTTCTCTGGCACCACCGCACAACCAACTCGTGGAGTTCGGGACATTGGGGGCAGGGCTAGCAGGATTCGACAGATGAGGTGCGGGCACGCTCGATCCATCAACTGTGGCCGTCAAGGGTGCCAGCAGTGACGACCTCCGCGCAACACCGCATCCCCTCCCACCGTCCGGCGCGCTCATTTGATGAAGGCTGGCTGGGCGTGAGTTAGGAGGGGGTGTAGCTCCTATTGACTTCTCACTGCCCGCGTCGCCCTTGAAGTTGCGCACCGATGACCGTTGCGACGTGGGAGGGGTTGGGTATGGGTGCATCTGGTCATCTGCTGGCGGCGTGACATCTGCCACCGGTCCCAGAACCTCATGAGCCAGAAGGGGCGGTCCTTCGTCTGCCGAGGCACTGTGTGTTTCCGGTTCAACGGGACTCAGTGGGAGCCCAGGGGTGAGGCCAGCCCCAGGAGACTCCTCGGTCCGAGGCGCAACGGCTTCGGAGGCAGCTGTGGTCTGCCCGTTCGCCTTGAAGGGCAGGAAGCGCGAAAAGGAGCTTTGTGAACGAACCTGGTTGAAATAGCTCATAATGCCCGGCAACCGCTTGTCATGGAGATCAGGCTGCGGGGTTGCGACCCTGAGCGTGGTGAGAGTCTACGCCGATCTGGTCCGATCCGTCCTCCTCGGTTGCGGCAGGCCTGCTGCGCTTGTTAATATCTTCCATGTTGGTAGAAGTCCAGACAGTATACAAGATGACAGGAGATTAAGCTATGATGGTGCGAAGAAACGGTGTGGGGGTGAGGGGAAACAGAGGTGAGGTCGGGTATGGTTTGGTATGTAGCGGAAAGAAACAAAAAAGCAGTTGTTCGTGGTGGGAAATCCGCTAACTCATGATGGATAGTTGCGTGAAACTGAGTGGACTGGGGGTAGTGAAGCCAGTGAGCTGATGAGCTGTCCCAGGCGGAGGGGTGGATATACAGGGCATCGATGACGAGAGCAACCGGGGAATTATCTGGTTTGCCCAAAAGGGATCGTCCCAAAGCCAAAAGCCCAAAGAGACGCTTCCCTGTTCAGAATCTGTTCAGATCCTGCAAAGCCAGTCGAAGCATCCGAAGCAACAACGGCAAAAGCGCCCAGAAATGAGAGAAACCGTTGCTTTCTGATGCCGAAAAAAAGAGCAAAAACTCGGTTCCAAACCAGCGAGGATGTACTATGTACACCAAAGTACCCTTGATACTTGCCATGTGGTTGCCGCCGATTAGGGGGGTGGGGGGGGGGTGCCTGGCCCTCGGACCACAAGCAGGGCCACAACTAGAGGCACTAAAGAGCGGGTATTTGCCCAGTTCCAAGGTCCCCAAAAGATCGGGTCGGACAGAAGGGGGGAGACGGGAGGGGTGGGCGGAAAAAAGATCAGGGCATTTCGTGGGAATCGCTGCATCTTCCTTGGGGCAGCAGTGGACATCAGTGGACAGCTCCTCGTCGTAGCCAGCGAGTCAGACCACTCAGGATGTCAATCCCGTCTCCGTAACTCCCTGTGACCTCAGGCTGTGCACTTGTGTATTACCACCGCAGACCCCCAGGGCACCCGGCAGGACTCAGGAAACGTAGCACGACGGGTTTGCAGTGCCAAAGGGGATATTGATGCGGCATATACGCACGCCGACGCATCTGTGGTGTGCCAGAAGCCGGGCGTGGATTCACAAGGGAGCTTCCGGTAGGCGGAGTCCTACCCTGGAATTGGTCCCGCCCTGTCTGAACGGAGATTCGCTCATTTGTAGCGATGACGGCGCTAGCCTGACTCAACGTGATGCAAACGGCTGTCCGGACGGTGACGGCCGGGACTCCAGCAGAGAGGGGGAAGACGTCGTGATGGAGCCATGGGCTGATGGGCTTTGCGAGTTCTTGGTGATTGTGGAGAAGCAAAAGAAGAGGTGGTTCTGTGACATGGGAAACTGGGTTTGGGGGAAAGGGGGAAGATCGATTTGCGACATCCAGATAACATCATTGGGGTGGCTGAGCATCAGTCGAGTCCGCTGCCACCACCTTGACGTTATCACCGCGACACACGCGCTGACAGCCTCAAATAGAATCCATCCAGCTTTCAGACCGACTTTTGGACGGAATCCAAGCGAGGTTTGACGAAGCGCAGGTGCAGGTGCCCCAAACCAGGATCTGATCTCAGGGTCCTTGGGACAACACCCTCAACGGCGGCAGAACCCCTTGAGTCTGGCCGCCGAGTAGATTGTGGCTAAATGGTGCTAGGGCTTCCAGAAGCCCAACGGAAGCCGGCAATAATGAGGGTAAAACGGGGTGCCTTGATGGGAGCACATGCGATTTGTAATTGGAACTTCCACAGCGGTGCAACTCCAACGACAGGCATTGTGCAACAGAACGAGGGACCCAGAAGTGCATGGAAACGTGCTTGGGAATACAGGATGGGTAGAGGGGCTCGGGTGGGTGGTGTCCTCCAACTTCTTTCACGCGGGAAAAGCCACACACTTACTTGGACGACATCATGGCCTGCGTTGCCCTCCTGAGTAGGTCAAACCCTCCGGCGCCGTGACCGTGACCGTGACCGTGGCTGTCGGCGGAGTGGCTAGCGGGCACGGCCTGCCCAGCGGCACTTTCGGCGGGGCCTGACATGTTGTCTCTTGCTCCACGAGTAGCGAGTACTCAGAGCGCCAGTTGCCAGGCTGGATATAATGCGAATATGGTATACAGGCCGTCTACGACCGGGTCGTTGTCGAGGGCTTGCTAAGTTGATTTTGTTAAGGTACTGTCTGGTGCGTGGTCGCAGTATCGTCCGTCGCTCGCGGTGCTCTCGTCCCGATCGTCGGTCGCGTCTTTGTTGGGAGATCGGCGCTGTCACGGCCGCTGCAGGTGTCGCGGTCGCACGGGTCTGCACACGGTATTTGACGTCGTTGCCTCGTGTAGGTGTTTGTCGAGTATCGATATCCCCCCGGGCGCGGGAGAGCTAAGAGTTATAAACGACTTGCGAGAAGGCGACGGATAATGTGTCTGCCTTTTCAGATTCGGATGGTTGTGGTGGCAGTTAAAAAGGTCGCGGGGTAAGACGAGGAGAGTCTAGTACTCTGGTAGTGTAGCGGGAGAGGGGCTTTCCATTTTGGGTGGGAGCAGCCCAGTATTAAAATTTCCACTTGCCGGTGCTAGTCCAAGGTGAAGGCACCGACCACGAAATTCGAACCGACGGCAACCAGAACGGGCTGTCCTTATGAATGGAGGCTTCCGCTTGGGCCCAAAAAGCACACCTGCATACTACCTGAAAGACTCCGCCCCGCGCTTCCTGATACCGATATCCAATGTTCGCCGTGCGCGCTGTCTCTTCTTTTTTGGCCCTTGTCGTAACAGGTGAAGGAGTGTCACCTCACTGCACTCTGCAGTGTACCCAAGGAAACAGTGCCAGAACTCACCAAAGAAATCCACTCGGGCAGGTTGTCAAGAAGTGGGGCAGAAGGTGACCTCGTAGCCGGGCGGAGACGGGACCGACCCTGGTTTTTCAGAGAACAGCAACGTCGTCCAGTCAAAAGAGACAGGACGCTAGAAAGGGCAGGTCCATCCCAACTCCCCAAGTGCTCGCCGAGTGAGTGCTGGCTTGGGACTAGACGCAGCGGGGTTCAAAACTTCAGTCGACGAAAGCCTGTGATAGCCACCCAACATACCCGCTTCAGTCTGGGACTTGTCCTCTCGCACCTCGTTGCCCAGACCCGTGGCTCCAGTCTTTATCTATCACCATTCACCACAGTCTGCATACTCCTCTTCCTCCTCTTTCCAAATCTTGTTTCGGTGGTTGGCAAGCAACGAAGAGGGGAAGATACTCCGTATGTTAAACTCCCCGCCGGGTTGGGTAATGCGCATGCGGTGTTTTTACCAACGAATCACCCAAGCAACCAAACATATCACTCCGACCTCAAAGTCTGCCCAAAAAAAACCGCCTCTGCTGCGCTAGAGAGGGGCCAAGACAAAACTTGATCGATTCCCGGAGGCAACGTGTGGTGAGAGGTGCGATGTACTTGAATGTACCTCATGCCCATAGCGGTGCTCTCCGCAGAATGGCAGATACAAAATAAGGTACCTACTAGCATGCGGTGGGGGCCCTGCAGACGGGTTCAGACAGAATGGACGAAAAGGACTGGTGATCCAAGTCCTGACCTAACAGTGCGATATTGGTGTTTGTTGGGAGGACAAGACCCAAAACTCGGTGACCGGATCGTGAACGTGTCAAAGGCGGCCTCGAAAAATCGGTTGAATGGTTATCGACAGGGGAAAGCATGTTGGCCGCCGGACACGTATGAAAAAGAGGATTGTCGATTCTGTTCCGGTCAGGGTTGTAAGGGTTCTAGGTACGTACCCTAGGTGTTACTACAGATCTCGTTCGGGCGGCAAGCTGCAAGGGGGCACGTCATAAAGAGGAGGATGGCGGTTTTGAAGCAATCCTCTACCGCCCCCAACGCCGCCTTTTAGCATCACCGCTTCTATGACCGCTTTGGGGCTCGAAGACAAACGCAACTCAAAGAGATTCCGCCTTTCAGCCCAGCATCAAGAGGACCAATGAACAGAGTTTGCAAATTCGCCGCCCTGTACCTGCCTATACAACATACTTCCACCGCCTCGAATTATAGTCGGCACGTTCTGACGTCTGACACACTGGCGGGTGACGACAGACGAGACACAGGTCAACAGGCATCGCTGCCATCATGCGCTGGTCCTCCAGGAACTCAATGAAACTTGGACTTTATCCAGGTGACATCTCATTGAGGATACCAGTAGAATCTTGTCGACTAACTTCCAGTCTCACTGGGAAGCAATCATTAAAACACTACTCATCAATCACCCAGATCTTGGGAAGTGGTGGTGCGGAAAGACGAATGTCAAAAAGGCCCTCACAAGATACTTATCCGTCTCAGCTGCGGTGCTACACTAAATAGCATGGCTTTCGTGCCTGATATCAGGCTTCAAGCATCCAGTTTCTCGGCTACACTTACCGTTCATCGAGACTACTCAGGGGAAGGGAAGAAGTGAAGACATGGCGCTTCTCGGGCCAGATCTGGGATCTATAGTCTATGGCACCTGACGGCCCTGCCGTACTTCACAACCGAAGTGGATAAACATGCTTCAAGCTCTGCATGTCTTCCATCTCTCCAGTCCCTGACAGTGTCGTGCTTCCGCGCGGAGAGAGTTCTCCTATACCACAAAGTACAAGCATGCTTGCTGAGCTGAATTCAGACGAGTCACCTCAGCTGCCTGTTTGAAGTTACCATTTACCTGAGAAGTTCAAAACAGATCAGGCAACTCCTCACTCCGCGGCATAGAATCGGAGAAGCCAATCCGGAATACCTTTCTCCTCTATCGTCATCAAGCGTCGTTGCGTGCCGCAGTGCAAAACTCCGACATGACACACGCAGGCTTTGACCGTTACACAATAACACAAGAGGTAGCATCCACTTGGTGATTCAATATTACCTGTCAAGCAGAGATATAATTACCGGTCTGTATAAATATTGAATACAGTCGAATGAAATCGACCTTGGAGAACTGAAACCGGATCGAAACCTCCACTCAACCATTTTGCTCAACTGTACATGAGCAGACACTCCGCCAACGCACACCCTACCCGCTCCTGCATCGGCCCTTAATAGTATTTTTATGTCATGTTTGTAAGTTGCACTGCTTTATCAATATCGCCCCTGGTGAGATATTCGACTGTACCTGTATCTACCGACCTACTTATGGGTACCTATGTGAGCCGCCTCCGGCCCAGACGAATATAGGTAGGTAGATATCCGATATCGATCTGATAAGTAGAGGTGGTTGGTTCCTACTATCCCGTCTTGCTTAAGGCTGGTGATTAGTGGTGTAAACCATCATCACAACTTATGTTACACACTACCTCCCCATCTTTTGCGACTACAACTTGGCTCTTGCCTCTGCTCATTTGGACCTTTACACAAGACTCTCTGGGATTATCACTACCTTACCTAAGTAGGTGGGCCAGACGAGCCACTGAAAGTAGGGTAGATACATAGGCACGAATACAAACTCCCCTATCATATGTGTCTCTTTTCCCAAACATAGTCCACCCCATCACCCAGCTGTCTATGCAGTTTAGTTCTTCCCTAAGGATCGCCTCCAGATAATGAGTGGTCAGAAGAAGCAAGGATCAGGATTCAGAAAGCGGTTGGCCGCGCACTTGGACAGTAAGCTCCCGTGTTGTGATAGCATTCCAATTGCACATGAAATTAGTGTGTCCCATGGAATCGGGGGGGAAGAGAATTTTACCACTAGAGTGACCACACTCGATCTCCCATCTAGCTGGGGAAAGAGACTAGTTCTAGACCTGGGGTGCAGAAGTTAATGCATGTGCTTGCGAAAAGACGAGGCAAATGCTTAATGACTTGTTTCAGCAAAATCGACTGTAGGCAAATGAGCGACTGCAAGAGATGTGTAAGTGATGCTTTGTGACAACTTTGCTCCTTCCCGGATGAAATATATATATACAGCGACTGATATGCAGCATTGAGAGAACTGAGTGCGTATGAATACATGTAGATGCGATGTCTAGGTGGAAAACCATCTGTCGAATTTCGCATGTCCGAGTTGTCATGCCAAGTCCTCCTTCACTGACATCCCATTTGTGAGTACCGTTGCCTTCTCTTAAAGTTACCCCATCGACCTAAAGCGGTTGCAAAGTTCCCATGATACAGTGAATGCATTCCAGAGTGTATACAGAACGTAAATGAAATCACCCTTTCGTTCCTCCGAGTGCTCCCAATAAACCTAGGGACCTGTCATCTAGACATCACCATCACCATCATTCATGGGAGAGCCTTTGATCCTGGCTATCAACTCCTTCAGACGCTTCTCCGTTGCAGGTGTGCTATGTCCTGGGTACTGTCTGTGATGGGGAGGACACGGCATAAGAGGGTCTCTGAAATTAGCTGTTGTTGGAAGAAAACTAGGTGTTAGAATGGTTGCCAGAAGAATATATCGTGAAAATGTGTTCTGTTGTTGAACACCAGTAAAACGATCACTGGCTATAAACCGGACCTCAACCAGGGGATGGATGTCCTTGGGTAACAGTGATAATGGGAAGAGATGGCGGTGGTGATGGTTTGACTGGCTGGACAATTGGTAGCGAGAAAAGAGCAGATTGAACATCTCTACTTACTTGAACTGAATCTCTGATCCGTCAATCTAATCTTGATCATATCATAGTCGTCCCTGAACTTCTTGGTGTTCCATGTAACTGCAGCGCTGCTGTTACTGTTGCCGTTGCCGTTGCCGTTGCCGTTGTTGGCGGGGATGGCATCCGGAGCCGAATCGGGCATCAACTCGTCTGAGTTCATCTTCGGAACTTGTACGTTTTTAACAAGCAGACTTTTCTTCGGGAGGAGAAACCGATGTTCTGAGTGACTTTGCATACAATGTTTCTTATGAAGAGGATTTGATGAGGATGGTCGTTGGGGAGTGTCCCTTGTACCTGTTGAAGGTCGAGGTCACTGCAGGAAGGTATTTACAAGGATGAAGCAAGTGGGACCGACCTAACATGAGAGCAAACAGCCATCGAACTTGCCCTGCGGTAGCGTCCTACCTGCCAACTTTGCATGCTGCAATGAAATATACGATGTCAACTAAGTAAGACACATAGTGTCTTGACAATTGGGAAAGAGCACTGTCATATAATCCCAAGATAAAAGGCTCTGAAAGCGACATCAGGCGGTATGCTGCTTTAGAATTGAACACACTACCTAGTCCCCTCCGGCTTTGTCAACGACGTGAGTTTCAAGGTGTTGAGGCGCTATCAGCCTGCCCGAAAGTTGAGCGTGAGCCAGCCCGTGCACAACTGCTTGGTGCGGGTGTGCGGCCCCGGGTGATCTTGGCACGAAAGCCCCACTATCAGGCACCCCCGGGCCTGTGTGGGTACACCTGCTGCATGTGCAGCGAACTGCGCAAGCACCACATCCCTGGAGCTGTTTTAACTTCTCTTTGTCCCCGAACACAACTCATCGATCCTTCGACTTGGTTCAGTTGTTTGATTGTCCCAACCTCATCCATTCTTTCTGCGCAAATATTCTTACATGGTCATCGATTGCGACCCTGTGCCACATATATTTCCCACGAACATCCACCACATACATTCTAAGTTATATCATTCGGCACAGCACCTTCAGCGATGGGGAAGAATGACAGCGTCCCTGACGCCTGGGATGATGATTGGGAATCTCTAGCGGACCGTGCGGCTAAAGAAGAACCGTCGAAGTCGCCTGAACCAGAGAGAGAAGTTAAAATGACAAAAGCAGAAAGATTAGCTATGCACGCCGAGGCGCAGCGGAAGCTATGGGAAGCAGCGTAGGAGCCCCTTACTGATATTCACAATCTCCCTATGGACAACGGACTTTGTTAACTCGCTGCTCAGGGAATCGGAAAAGGAAATCAACTTCCTCGCAGCGACCAGCTCGGTGCCCCTGACCACGCCTTTCAAGCCAGCCATGAAAGTCCTCAGCCGCAGACCGGTAATTGCGAAAAGAGACCCGGTGACTGGACTAGAGCGATTAACGCTACAGGACGACGAGGATGATGACGAGGACAAGAACAAGAAGCAAGAGACTCCAGAAGAGATCCGAATGCGCCAGCAACGAGAACTGGAGGAGAAACAACGGCGATATGAGGAGGCACGGGCGAAGATCTTTGGAGAAGCAAGTTCCTCTGGCCTGTCAACGCCCGGCAGCATTACGCCGCCGAAGGAAACCGACAAAGCCGACAGGCCCCGCAGCGACGGACAGAATCACAGGCGAGGAAGAGGACGCGGAGGTATGCATCGTACCGACAGCCGACCAGAGAGTCAGACTCGTCGCCTACCGACCAATTCACAGTCAGGCCCCAGGGGGCTGTTCGACCCAAACTATTCGGGAAAGCCAGGCTCCAACGGCCAAAGGCGGTCCGGAGAAGCCTCTCCGAACCTTAGCAGATCAAATTCTCGACGGGATGAAGATCAAGTCATACGGGCACCGAGAGGCCCAGATAACAGTGGAAGAGGAGGATTCGGGTTCGCTCGCCGTGGAGGTCAAGCGGGATGAGTTCTATTATTCATATTGACGATCCTCCGATAGGGCTCTAACCTTGTGTGCGACCCTCTACCATCCTCCACCAATCTTCCCCGCAAGTTGGACGACTCTCTCGGTATCAGTCATCTTCTTCTCCTTGCCGACATCACTGACCACCTCCCGGTAGCTTGTATACGCCAGTCTTTCCAGCTTTATCCCCGTTATTGTCGACCAGTGGGTCAAGACATTTCTGATATGTGAAGGGGAAATGCCATCAACAACCAAGTCGGAACTATCATCCTGGACTTCCGAGTCTGGCTCGTCTCCCGAGAAGTACGCCTCGTCGACTTCTTTCTGCCACTCCTTCTGTTCCAAGGGTCCTGGCTTTACAACGAGACCCTTCCGACCAACTATCACTGGGTCATCTACCTTAATCTGGCCACCTCCATTGGTACAGCCGCCTGGGCAAGCCATTACCTCAACATAGCCATAGTCAAGACCGTTAGCTTTACCTGCCGGCCTCTTGGCACTACCAAAGGGCTTTCCGCCAGGCATTCGGGACGCCTTTGCGGGTTTCAGCTTGCGGACAAGGTTCTGAATATTTCGGAAGCCATAATACCGCGCCGCCTTGAACAAAACCTCGCCTGATTCCGCGATCACCTTGTATTCAACAACATCGGCGTTCCTCCCTGGTACTGTTTGTATCTGGGAACCAACATTCTTCGCTTGCAAGTTGCGAAGGATGAAGTGCATGTTACCACCGGATGTGCCAGCCTCGCGTGACTGCTGACGGTGACCGGGCCGGAATAGGAAGTCGTGTATCGACGGGTCAGGAAATTGGGGGTGCTGGGACGGCGCCGAGGCCGGCAGACCGAAAAAGTTAAGGCCTCTGGATGCGGCAAGCATAAGGATTTCCTTGCTTGTAATGACGCAGTCGACGTCTCGTACACCTCTGCCCGGCTTGCCGTCCCCAGCCCAGACAGCATCTGTCAACTCTTCGCGACTAGCCTCGAGCTTCTTATCGAAACATGGCATCACAGCCAAGTGCCATATCCTGTCAGGGGAGATATTGAGGATGCGGCTAAGGGATGTTTTTAGGAGGGTGCCCATGAGGGCCTGTGGTGATTTTACCCGGGAAAGATGTGGTAGTACGTAGGGGTGTGTCTTTTCGGCATAGCATACCCAACCAGGGCACGAAGCAGTGAGAATTGGTGTAGCCGCTTTGTCGGACGGCGCTATCGAGCCTCCAAGTACTTCGTCAGACCCAAGGACAAGAGTTGCCTCCCGCGCCGTGTTTGTGTCCACCACCCACGTGAATTTGTTCCCCCAGTTTCCACCTCTTGCTAGACCTTGTTCGCCCAGGAAGAGTTGTTCGATCATGCGACCAGCTTGCTGCTCTGTGACACCGTTGCCGCACGCTGCAGCCAGACTGGCTCTGCTCTGTGGGGAGACACTGGCAACGTATAGCTTCGCGGCGTCGTTTTCAAGGCCTTTGACCGAGTACTTCCCGTCCGCGTCAGGGCCTACCAGCTGCAAGGCTGGGGCGGAATCCAGCACGTTGAGAACCTCATTGTGACTCTGTAGACTGACTAGCATCGCCTCGGCAGACGTTACGCAGCCGGAGCAGGCGAGGCAGTCGGTAAGGGAAATCTCGGCTGGAGGAGCATTGCCCTTGGCCTCTGGTTGCTGGCCGTCAAGTATGACCTCGAATTCGTTGGAGGGGTTGGCGTTGCTCACGGCCGGCGCGGCGGTCGGTAGCGTCTCGATGGGCTTGATGCAGGCTACACCTGGGTTGATGAAATCGTTGAGGTCGTCAACGGAGAGGATCGCGGACATTGTGTTCGTCGCAGGCTAAGCGCCTGAAGTTCGTGATTGTGAAGTTCAATTGTTTGAGATTGGAAGGGTCGGTAGGGGATTGTCGAGCAATAAGAGTTGAATGCGCCGAGCTAAGTAGAGTTACTCTTTGGTGACAAATCAATGCAGTCGCAAGTTTGTTTGCCACGCAAACTCCAGGAAACCACGAACGGGTTTGTTTTTTCAAGAAGGACTTCGATTGTCTTGAGATATGGGAAGCATGAAACCAAACTGCCAGAATCGTTCGAGATTCGGTTATATTTCTTTTCAAGAAGGTTTGCTGTAGATAGCAACAGTCACAAGAAGGTTACTGCTTTGAAATTGACATTTCCTCGGGGCTTGATTGGACTGTGCGGCGGTTTGATGCGAGATCGGCTTTTGCTCAGTGGCGGCTTCTTGTCACTGTCAGAACTGTCTGTTTCGAACTTTGGAAGTCCCCCGCCGTCGGACCCCTCCTCCACTCTCCCGCTGCCAAGCCACCAGATGTGCCTGATCTTGGTCGTGCAGGGATCTCCCGGCAGGCGCCGATAATCAAAACAGGGGCTTGGCATGAGGCTCACAGTCGTTATCGATGACGTAGTACCCTGAATTGATGATCGGCTAGTGACAGTACCTTTCACCTTTTCCATGGTGTGGTGCTGGTCGTTCCCGTCGTGCCTGGTTGCCGGATTGGAGCTCCAATTCGTCATTGGAGACGTACGGCATTGTTGTTTTGTTTATAAGGACATGAGGGTGTCAGCTTTGTGTAGCTTTCTTCGCTTTTGATTGACCACATCTTGTCTCAAAACACTTAGTTTTCTCTCCATAACAAACAACAACAGACACATCCGTCAAAAACAATAACATCAGGACTGAAAATCCTCGAACATTCATCTTCCACTTAACAACAAACCTCTTCAAAATCAGCAATCATGGGTATGGGTAACGATGTAAGTGACAGGCAACCCTTCAGGAATCCGAGCCGTTCGAGTGGTATATCCTGACCGCCTATAGTCCATCTCGACATACGCCTTCGCCAGTCTAGGCTGGCTCTCCCTCCAGGCCGTGCCTCTAATTGTTTGGCCGACCTTCATCAGCTCGATGCTCACAGAGAACGGCGGACACGCCCATGCTCCTGTCGTGGTAAATGTCATCGAGACGTACTTCGCCCGATACCTGGGGTTCTCCCAATTGGCCATCGGTCTTCTCATCGTCACCCTTTCAGGTGCCCTACCACTCACCACCAAGGTGACTTGTAAGTTTTTGCCCACCTATCTACCACCCAACTACATAACAAGTTCTAACTCTTTTGGTTCTCGTACAGCCCCAGACGACGCCAACTCCCCCTACGCAAACGCCGTCGTCTTCATCTCCATGTTCTACCACGCCATCGGCGCCGCCTACGGCTATAGCCGCTACACAAGCAGCGGCGGCCACGTCGGCTACCTGCTCGGCTTCACCGGCAGCGGCATCATGGCCGCCTACGCCCTGTGGCTCTTCATGTTTGCCAATGAGCACGCCAAGGTCACTGCTAAGACCGGTGCCGACAGCAGGACGAGCAACTTCCCCTTCAAGAACGCTGAGGCTGAGAAGAGATTTGAGGGTGACAAGAGGAGGGAGACTCGCAAGGCCATCTAAGCACTTACTGTGTAAGATTTTCTTTGAGATCTGCCGAGTGTGTATGAGGAAGGGGTGTCTCTGAAGAAAGGGCTCCTAACCTGATGATTACTTTGCATTCCTGGAGTTTGGTGAGACCTCAGGGGCTACTGTTTTCGGTTTGGGTTTTGTTTTCCCACAACCTTGGCTGTGTATTTGATAGGTAGCTTTGATTACTTGGCGAAGCATTGCGGTTATTGAAATTTGAAGGGTTCTGTTCATCAACTACGAAAACGTGTGCATATTCTTGTCTTAGTTGATGTTCCCATGAACTGAAAAAAACATTGCGTTGTGAGAGCACATCCTGCTTAAACAAAATGAAGTCGTCCATTGATTCTGTGAAAAGCTGTCAACTTATGGAAACCCCCTTTATCCACAAGTCATCCCTAACCCATAACCGTGCTCCATGATATTCCCTTTACTCCATACACCCAGATCATTAAGTTATGCTCATCGCGGATCTTCCAACGGGAAACAAAAAAAGAAACGAAGAGAAGAAGGTCAGCAGCCACGATAGAAACTGTACACTCGCCACTGGAGTGTTACAGGGTGCCAACGAAGGCCTTGTTATTCCTCTTCGAAGTCCGGGCCATGCCACATTGTAGGAGTGCACCACGTCTGCCAGGAAATAGCCCCTCACGCATACTGTAGTTCCAGAGGGCTGTGTTGGGGTGTTGTTCGGGGCCTTTCACCTGAGACGGGACGTTGGCACAGCCAGCCTGCATTGGCACCTATTCCTCAACAGTAAGTCTGGTGGTCTCCGGTGCATCATCATCACCAGCTATCCCGTTTGCCACAGCCTTCTCCCGGGAGATGAACGTCCGCCATACCCTTTAGCACAGCCTGACGGTGTACGTGCCAGGCCTGTTCGCTGCATACGACCCGATCAAGAAGGATCTCCTTCTCAAGCCATTCCTGCTTGTACAACTCTTCCCAGCGTTTGCAGTCCTTACGAAGCTTCTCGCCTTCCGCTTCCGCTATCTTGGCTTGTAGCCGACACAGCTTCATCAACCTTTCGATAGACATGTCGAGCTCCCGGGGCGTAAAACCTTGCTCTTCGGTCAGAGGCGTAAACTCAGCCCCGTCGTCTCCGCCACTAGCATCGTCAACTGAGTCGTCTCGGTCGGCCGCATGAGAGTCCGGCCTTCGAATTATGATCTTCACCTTGGCCGACTTTCCAGCCGGGCCGCCCCCTGCTTGCATACTCTTCGGCACCGGGTCGGAAGGTCGCAAGGCTTCGGTCTCGTGGACTGTCCGCATGTGTTTGGCTAAGGCATCGGAGCGTGTGAAAGCGCGGTCGCATTCTAGTACGAGGGAGTCAGTAATTAGAACGCCATCCATCTTCCAGCTACCAAATGGGGAACCGTACCTGGCAGATAACAGTAAAACGGCTTCTCCCTTGTGTGGGATCGCATGTGCGCCTTGAGCGCATAGCCGCTGGCATGGGGTAGACTCTTTCTACTACACCCAATCCATTCGCACGTGTACTTTTTCTGTCGACCCTCTATGTGCGAGTTGTGGATGTGTTCAACGAGCCTATCCATATTCCTCAGATCCCCAACCTTGCAGCCTTCCCAAGCACAGATAGTGACTTGTTCCTGAAAGTCATCTTCGTCTTGACGCGCATTGATGGGGGAACTGGGAATGTCGCCATCGGTATCGGAGGAGACATCGGACATGCCATCTGGGAAGTCTGGATTGACCTCGGGCTCTTGGATGACGGCCGATGAAGCTGTCGACCCGGTGGTGACTTTGATGCGTTTCGTTGGTGGCTCCTCTGGTTCGTCGACGGCTTCTGGCACCTCATCCGCGAAAATCTCTTCTTCGTCGGACGACGCCATTGATGACAGCGGCGAGTCATCCGCGGGCGAATGTTCCCTGGTCATTATGGCTGATTGTTTCGCGTATGTGCTTTGGTTCTGTCAAGGTGTATGTCGGTTCCAACAGGGCGCGTATACGAAAGAGGGAGAGATGTGGTAATATGGCGTCCTTTCTAGTTGCTGATGATACTGTTGGTGATGGTGCGAAATGGCGTCGCGCCACGGGTAAGGTAGATGTCGGACGTTAGGGTCCGCAGGAATTTGTTGAAAGTGCCGCCCTGATTGCTCCTGGTCTAGTGGAAACTAACTTGAAGTGAGAGAGAAAAGCCGAGCAGGAGAACCTGAGGAGGATTGTTAGATCAAAGGAGCAGCCGTGTTCTACGATGAACCTCTTTTCAATTTCCCCAGGTTTGTCGATACGGAGGTGCCCCGTCCACGGTAGGCTTGATGGGTTCCCAATGCGCCTGCCGTCGGCTTCAACTTTCAGAAGGGCGATGTCGCGCCAGGGTGACCGCAGAGGTGGTAGCCAGCAATGAAAAGCGCAACCTGCAACAGCTGGCAACCGCCTGTTGGAGCTGAGCTGGTTGGTTTGGAGGTCACTGCCGAGACTGCGTCTGGCGTCTGAATGGTCTCATCCCTGGGCTCCCAAGCACGGCAACCGCGCCCCGGATTTCGTCCATTCAGTGCAATCGCTTCCCCTGTTCATGATCTCCATGACCAGCTCACCCTCTTCAACTGCGTCATCCCATTCGCTGGCTGTCGATCCGATGCCCCACTGCAGCATGATACGCCTACAGGCGTGAGAGGCGCCTAGACCCGGCCGCTGTGGCAGTTTTTGTCAACCCCTCCCCCGCTAGAACTTGGGGGCCTGTTTGAGACTTTGAGCGCACTTGCATTTCTGTCCTGCACTCATCCACCGCGTCGACGCGATCCCAAACTCCTTTCCGCTTCCACCGTCTTCCCGTCTGCTTTGTGCTACTCGAGTTCGTTCCCAAACTACGTCCGATTTTTCTTATACACAGCTTGCATAATGGCCGCCTCTACCAAGGTCTTCTCCCTCGAGGGAAAGGGTCTGAAGCTCGACACCGCCGAGGACCTCGAGGCCCATATCGCCCCCCTCCGGACTATGGACGATGTTGAGGAAGTCCGCCTTTTGGGAAACACCTTGGGTGTCGGCGCTTGCAAGTTGCTTGGTGAGGTGCTCGCCACCAAGAAGAATCTCCGTGTATGTCAAATTGTCCCCAAGCGCATGTCTGCGCCCCGGCGCATTACGAGGAAGAACGGCGGCTAACCACCTGTTGCCTGTTTAGGTTGCCAACCTCGCCGATATCTTCACCGGTCGTCTGCTCAACGAGATCCCCGAGGCTCTTTCCTCGCTCCTTACCTCGATCCTCAACCTCCCCAAGTTGAACACGATAAACCTTAACGACAACGCTTTCGGTCTCAACACTCAGGCGCCCCTTGTTGCCTTCCTCGCCGCCCACGTCCCTCTTCAGCACTTGTACCTGAACAACAACGGCTTGGGTCCTCACGCCGGTATTCTGATCGCCGACGCTCTGTCCGAACTCCACGCCAAGAAGGAGGAAGCGCGCAAGCAGGGACAGGATGTTCCTTACCTCGAAACCGTCATTTGCGGCCGTAACCGTCTGGAGAATGGCAGTATGACGGCATGGGCCAAGACTTTCAGACTGCATAATAAGGTTAAGCAGATCAAGATGGTCCAAAACGGTATTCGCCAGGAGGGTATCTCCCATCTGCTCAGCGAGGGTCTCAACCACGCTTCTGAGCTCCAGGTTCTCGACCTCCAGGACAACACCTTTACCCTCAAGGGAGCTAAGGCTCTTGCGAAGGTGACCCCCGGCTGGACTGAGCTCATCGAGCTTGGCATCGGCGACTCTCTTCTCTCTGCCAAGGGCGGTGTCCTTCTGTCGGAGGCGCTTCTGAAGGGCAAGAACAAGAAGCTCGAGATTCTACGCCTCCAGTATAACGAGATCACCGCCCCTGGTATCAAGGGTCTGGCTCAGGCCGCTAAGGAGGCTCTTCCTGCCTTGAAGAAGATCGAGCTCAATGGCAACAAGTTCACCGAGGATGATGAGGCCATCATTGCCCTTCAGGAGCTCCTCGAGGAGCGCAAGGAGCAGCTTGGTGGTGATGTTGTCGCCGAGGACGAGTGGGGCCTTGACAGCCTGAGCGACCTCGAGGAGGAAGACTCGGAGGAGGAGGAAGAGGAAGAGGAGGAATCTGAGGAGGAGGAGGATGTCGAGGAGAGGGCAGAGAAGCTGATCAAGGAGGCCGAGGAGGCTCAAGAAGAGCCGGTTGTCCAGGTCAAGGACAAGGAGGTTGATGAGCTTGCGCAGAAGTTGGCCAAGACCGGACTCTAAGGCAATGTCTGGACAAATCCAACTCAATCAAAGCAATGCGCAACGAAAACTTCTCATTTCTCCGTGGACACAAATACAGACGATACCCAAGATAAGCGACGACGGGAGTTTGGGGATATGGTTATAGATTAGATTTTGTCCTGTATCGTGTTGGATGCCATTTCATAGCGTGTGGTTCATTTTTGGTACGTTCCTGTCTATGAATTGCAGGGGTTTGACACAGCGACCGAGCGGCTCGATGATAAACCACCTTCTTTTGGTTTAGGTGGTGTCAGTCAACATACACGTCTGTACGACAGTGCAGTGACACAGCTTTGTTCGTTACGATAACTGGCAAGAAATGATCTAGGCTCGATTCCTAGCATTTACAGTGGCTCAGCGGTTCTGTGTGTGGTGATGTTGCTTTTTAGTGGCCTGTCTCTGAATGGGCAGCTTAGAGTGTCACGCCATGAAAGTCACCCCATCTCCAGTCCCGTGAGGGGGCTTGCTCCCGTCACCAGATTGAGCATCGACGTCGCCTCGGTATAGGTTTGAGTCACAATGGATATATAGGTGCTCTACACGATGTTCGGGTTTCAAAAATTCATTTTTACTATGTTCACCATACATTGATTATTGTTCAATTGACGATTACATACACACCACTAACAACGGTGACATCGAGTCTTCAACCCATCTGGAGACAATCATTTCACCAAAGACCACACATACTACACAACAAACCACCAACACAGCATATGGAGGGCTCCTGGTTATTATTCGAAACCACCGAATCCATCATCGAAGTCCTATGGGACATCGCCCTCGCCTTCTTCGTCATCCGCATCTCCTTCTACTACTTCCTCCTCACCTTCCTCTCCAGCCTTTTACTTGGTTACCTCGCCTACGCCCAACTCCTACCCATCACCACCTTCGCTCACTTCCTCTCCTCCTCATCAGCATCCGAACCTATCAACAACCACATCCTCCTGAGCTGGACCATCCTCCTGACCATCACCTCAGCAATATGGGCCCACCTCGTCCTCAGCCACTATGAGGTACCCCGCGTCACCCATTTCAGGTTAGCCATCTGCTCCATGGCACTGGCATTCATGGTCTCGGCCGAGATGGTGGTTGCCTTTGTGCTGTTCGAGGAAGGATATGGAGGCTGGGTGTGGGAGGAGATGAAGAGCGTGGCGGGCGTGGCTTGGGGAGGCTGGATGGTTATGTATAGCGTGATGCCGGTGTTGCTGATGGGGTTGGAGAGGATAATGGAGGAGAAGAGGGAGGGTAGACGGATACTGGGTCATGGTTTTCACAGAGCTGGGACGGGTATGCATAAGTTGTAAGTGTTCTATTTTCTCGTTACTGCTGGCAAGGGTTGGTTGGGGGCTAATGAGTGTGTTTGACTATTTACAGACCGACTATCAACGAGGAAAAGACGATGATGTACTAGGGCTGCTATATGAGCAGTGGCTGGGACCGGCTGGCATGGAGAAAATGTATATTTGGAGGGCTGGGTGGGTTTACGGAGTTTCTAGGGTATTTGGCTTCCTGGAATGACTTGAGAGCGATGGAAGTTATTTAGGTTTTGTCAATGCAAATGACAGGATCATTGTGCAGTCCTACAAAGGGCTGGGGAATAGCTAGGACGAGTAGACGAGAATTCAATACTTGGAAGAATAGTGTCTCGTACACTCAGTCAATGGCATACCTGACGGGAGCGTTGGCATGACGTAAAGGGATATCCAGAGCTATCCTCTTGATTCATCCACTGCTCCTGGTCATTGGAATGTTGTACTTTACGCGTGTTCATACCGCGTTGGAACTCAAACGCCAAATACGCGGTAGTGGTAATTCGAGAAGGCTTTTGATACCATGTCATTTTCATCAGAGTAGCCATCCCATCTTCAATTAATGGATGCATTAGGAATGTTAGTCGATAACCCGTACACAAGGGAATAAAGAAACAGTCATCCAGAGATCAAGGACTTATCTTCAGGTACTTGCGCCTGTTGATCAGGCTAAGTGGCCATCCGCTTCGTGGCTTTTTTTTTTTTTTTTTTGTGCTGAAGTGAGCGACTATATCATAAGTGAGCGACTATATCATGACCTGATAGTGATCAGATGGGACAGTGGTGGTCCAAAACCTGCCACTCACAACACGTTGAAGGCATTCCCGCCACTTTCAAGAGCCAAAAGATTTAGAGCATAGGCTCGAGACATCGGCTGGAGCACGCGAGTCCACATTCCAATGCCTCGCGTGTCTGTCTTACTTGGCGACATGATGTATCGCAAGGTCAGGAATAGTTTTCACGACTTGTCAACGAATTTACGTGTCGGATCTCGAGTTGGGTTGGGCTATAAAACTCCCACGTATGAAGCATTATCGATATGCCCATGGTCGACTTGTGCTACTGTTTGGGGAGACTTCTACGGCTATCAATCATGTTATCTTCTATATTGACCTACATCGTCCCTTTGCTGGCCATATCAACGCCCGCTGCAGCTGGAGCTAGCCAGATCCAAATCTCAGCTGCCTGGAACACCACAGTGTCTGGATATCGCAATGCGGTTTACTTTACGAATTGGTAGGTCGCAGACCACCTGAGAACTTGAGGACGGGCACACTAACCATCTCAGGGGGATCTACGGCGCCAACTTCCAGCCCCAACAGCTTCCTGCCTTACAGGTAACCCATGTGTTGTATTCTTTTGCAGATATCAAGCCAGATGGAACGGTGTAAGTCTCGCAGTACACCTTGCCTGGTAGACTTTGAACAACACTGACATATAGTAGAGTATATTCGGACACTTATGCAGACTTGGAGAAGCATTGTCCTGGTGACTCATGGAGTGAATCAGGCGAGAATGCCTACAGCTGCGTCAAGCAGATGTACCTTCTGAAGAAGAAGAACAGGAACATGAAAGTCCTCCTTTCAACCGGCGGGTGGACATATTCGCCCAAGTTTCCACCAGTCGCAGCCACTGAGGAAGGACGACGGGGGTTTGCTTCTTCCGCTGTGAAGCTCGTGCAAGGTGAGTAAACACTGGGTTGCTTCTACCTACCAGGAAAACGCACGTAGAAGTCTAACCTAAACCATAGACTGGGGCTTCGACGGACTCGACATCGACTGGGAATATCCAACCAACTCCTTCGAGGCACGGAACTTCGTCCTCCTCCTCTTCCGAGCCTGCCGACAAGCCCTCGATGACTACGCTCGGCAGTATGCCCCCGGCTACCACTTCCTCATCACCGTCGCCGCGCCCGCTGGACCCCAACACTACGGCGTCATGGACCTTCCCGGCATGAACGCTTACATCGACTCCTGGCACCTGATGGCGTACGACTACGCGGGCTCGTGGGACTCGACCACCGGTCACCAGGCTAACCTCCTCCCCAACCCCAAGAACCTCCTGACCACCAAGTTCAACACCGATCAAGCCGTCCGCGACTTCATCCGCCGCGGAATCCCTGCCAACAAGATCGTTCTCGGCCTACCACTCTACGGCCGCTCATTCGAGAACACCGCCGGATTGGGAAAGCCATACAACGGTATCGGCGCCGGTATCTTGGAGTCAGGGGCCTGGGTCTACCGAGACCTTCCGCGCCCGGGAGCGAAGGAAGTGTACGACAACGTGGCCAAGGCCAGCGATAGCTACGACACATCGTCGCGGGAACTCATCTTGTATGATATTGTCCTGAGCGCGCTGGTGAAGACGAAGTATATCTTCCTTAGAGGATTGGGCGGTGCGGTGTTTTGGGAGGCAAGTGGTGACAAGACTGGTGCGAAGAGCTTGATTGGGACACTGGCGACGCAGACGAAGAATTTGTTGAGCTATCCGGCTAGTAGGTATGCTAACATTCGGGCTGGTGTGCCGGGATCGTGAGATGTTGGTTTGGGGAAGGCGAGGTTCAGGCTTGGAATAGAGGCTGTCGATTTTTTTGATTTTTTTTTGGTTCTTTTATGTTGCGTGTATTATGGTACTGTACTTGTTTATTTCATTGCAATCGTGTTTCATCAGAAATGCTTTTCACTTAGCCAGAGCCAGTAGATCATTGGAGAAGTACCTCTTGTTTGACTTTGTTGTTATAAGCACCGAGGATTATCGAGTGTCCATATGGTGTATGCGTCTGTCAGGTCACTCGTGGTGATGAATATTCTGATGTGTTCGTAAAGTCTGCACGAAGGGTCCCTCAATTGTAGATTGAGAACTCTCTTCTAAAAACTTGTAAGCAGATAGCAACCTGGATCTCAAAAGCTTGTCTAGTTCCTGGGAAACTTTTCGACATCCGCTTCAGAACCTGTAATGCAAACACTGACAAGAGCCTTAGATGTTTCGTACCTTTTGTTTCGATACCAATACGACTATGATCCGCAACATGTATGTTGTAGCATGCTACCCCTTCGCTTCGCTAGCATCTAACCATGTCCGTGCCCGGTTGGGTAACAGTCTGGTTTCACTACTTCAGGGCTATTACTACTCTGCGTCTCAGATATCTGGATCTTCACCTTGGCACCAGTGCTTCAACGCCGTCATGGAGACATGGAACTCCTAGGGCAAAAGAAGAAGACTATGCCGAGACGGAAGGAAAACGGATGGTCCAAGGCATGAGTGGGAGCGGGAGGCTCTCCTCCCGGGGTTCTGGATGTATGTCAACAACCCCTGGTTTGGCTCATCCCATCTTCTCTGCCTTGCCACATGAGGACCAAGGATGTTTCGATCTCGGATCTTACCTGTGTCTGGCTCTCCATCCATCGAGTTGTTTCCCATGCTTCCCCTACGCTTAGCCGCTGGGTCTCGAACTATCTTGAGACAGTGACCCCTTTCCTGTAGCTTTTTCTTCCATGGTATGCCACGTGCTCCTTGGAAGGGAAGGACCCGTGGCAGATTCATCGAAGAGGTCTAGACTCATATATCCAACTTTTTTTCTGTGAAGTTTGTCGAATTTTCGCTCCTTCACATTTTCATTCGTCTTCAAATCCATGGACTAGAGTCTAGTTGCCTGTTCTCGATTTCTTTTTTTCTGTTTCTCCCGAGTGCTTGCATTCCATTCTTTTCGTTACTGCTGGACAGTTTACTTTTGCCGTTGATTTCGTTATACCGCTTCATTCCACTTGGAATATCCCGAACCACGTTCGCCAATAGCTTGTTGTAACGACGACCACTCACACGTTGAACGAAAGGAAAAGGCATAATGCAGTACTCGGCCAGAAAACTCGCGGCCTGTCTCCTGGCTATCTATGCCCAAGAGACTTTCGCCAGACCACAAGGTACTCCGGCCCAGAGTTCCAGTGCTGAGGTCGGTGTAGGCAGCGAGGCTTCGGCAATTCCAATTGCGACATCCGCTATCAGCATCAGCGTTGCTACCAATACCACAATAGCGTCAGAGGTTCTGGTCAGCAGTTCCTCAGAATCCATCGCTACCTCTCCTGCTTCAGAGCCTACTGCAAGCAGGTTGCGGCCGCTTCCAGGGCTGCAAACTGAAGCAGCTGGCCCATTGGTACCTCTCCCAGGACTTGCCAGCGACATACCACCGGTAGCTGTACCAACAGCAATTGCGGGAGACGCGGCAGTTGTTGACGAGACCACGGGGGTAACTTCGGAGACGGCAGCACCTGCCGAATTATCAGTGTCTCTGAGGCCTCTTCCTGGCCTTGCTTCGTCGGTATGTTATACCCAATCCCCTGCAAAGAGAGAACCGCATCTGACTTCTTACAGGCCGTGGATGAGGCAGCTTCCCCGGTTACCACGACCAGTGGACTTATCTCTCTTATCCCAGAGGCTTCGACGACTGCTGAGACATCAGTAGTGTCGTCGGATGAGTCCACTACAGAAGTAACTTCAACTCCCACATCAACCCTCGAGTTGTCGAGCCTTATCTCCTCGAGCGCCGTCGTCTCTGAGGACTCAACTTTCCCTAGCTCTGTTGCACTCGAGAAAACAGCAACCGAGGCAAGTACGACTGAAACTGCCGTTGCCGACGCGACATCGACGGATGCCATCAGCGGCTTCCTCACCTCAGTTCTCACCGAGTCCTCCACCAGCCCTAGTTCCGCGGCCGCACAGACAACCAGAGCCGCGATAACTTCGCGTCCATCCGGATTCTTCCCCATCATAAACGGCACTGCCCCGGGAGCCAGCGGAGTAGCCGGAGGGAAGCCACACGGAACCGGTACAGCCCATCAATCGCTGGTGACCGGGATCTCAAGCCCATCTGGTACTGGTGGCATCAGGTTCGGCAACTCGACACAGACTTCAGGGCTGTCAACTGCAGTGACAACCAGCAGAGGCGGTTCAGGTAGCCTCATGACACTAAATACCGTCTCGGATGGAATAACTCAGACACTGGTGACGGCCGTAGCGGCGCAGACGTCGGGCATTGCGCGGAACGCGTCGACTACTGCGACCACCGGATCGGATTCGGGAGCCGGAAGGCCTTTGGATATGGTGGGTGGTGCTTTGGTCGCTGGTGTTGCGGGCATGCTGGGGATGTTATTGCTGTGAGCGGGCAGGCCATTGGCGTATGTCTCATGTAGCGTATGCGTTATGATTTAGTAGCGAGTGAAAGGAAACATTTCCAACAACGAATAGTGAAATATATATATATATATATATCCTTGACCTGAAAGCTCTGAGAGAAGCGAGACATGTCGCATACATGCAGAGGCGTGATGTCAACTGCTGAAGTGCAAGTGCCCCGATGAAAGTTGTTTACAAGTTAGAAGTCCCCCCTTTTCCTTCCACAGGCGAGCGCTGAGCGGGGGCGTTTTGGTCTTATCCTGATAGGGTTAGGGTCAACCCCAACAACCGGTCGCAATTCCGAGGCCGGGCATTCTGCCGTCTTGGTCCGCCCGAAATTGCAAGCTCACGATAGTAGCTTAACAACGGCAACTTATTACCCCTCCCTACCTTATGGTGCCACACACGCGGTAGCACTTGTTAAACTTGCGCATTAACTCATCTTTTCGTTGCCCGGAAAACCATCAACAAAGCGCAAAATGGGCTGGCTCGATGGGTGGTTCGGGAGCTCCAGCAGTGACGAGTCAGACCCCCTGGGGAAGCTCGATCCCAAGCTCCGCGAGTTCCTTGCCCGGGAGTCCCCCGTCAAGTACACGACTCAGCAAGAGCAGGAACAACAGCAACAGCAACAACAGCAACAATCACAGGGCACTGCTCCAGGGAAGGCACCCGTACCGACAGCGAAAGTATTAGCGACCGAAGCCTCCAAACAACAACAGTCCCAAAACGAAGAACAACAACAACAACAACAACAACAACAACAACAACAACAACAACAACAGCAACAGCCAGCCTTGCCACGCGCCTCTCTCTACCAAGATGGCCGCTACGCGCACCTATGGAAGAACTATCGGCCGCAGTATGAGATCGAGAACGAGACCAAGACGGACCATCAGAAGTTGATGGACGTGCTGGAAGGCTTCAAGGAGCGGAAAGCAATGATCGGAAAAGCGGCGCTGGAGAACTGCGCCGAGGAGCAGCTGGATTGGAGCAACTGTATGAAGTACAGCAGCTGGGCGGACCGCGCGACCATGTGTCGTGATACGGTGAGGAAGTTTGAGAGGTGCTATAATATGCAATCGGTAGGTTTTATTTACTCTGGATTATGGTTACGAGTGATGGAAGAAAAGGGGACATGGGCTCCCTGTAACGGAGCGGAGGGTGTGGAGTTGGGGAGTTAACAGAGGGTGTTATTGTTGTTCGACAGTTGCTAACCAACGTTCGTTGCCATAGAAACTCCTAAAAGCCCTGGGCTACCTGCAAACCTACAACCGCTCGCCCGAAGTCGACGAGGACATCCAAATGCACGCCGACGCTTTGTACCACCGGATGCTCGACCAAGAAGCCGAGATCGAGAAGTGCAAAGCCGAGGGTCGGTCCGTCCCTGCGTTCCCGTCCCTGTTCGAAAACAGCACCTACAAAATCCCCGTCTATCCGACTAAAGCACAGCCCACAGCGGCAACGGCAGCAGCAGGTGCAGGTACAGGAGAACCTGGGAAGCAGGACCCTTACGAACCAAGCCAGGCCATCATGGAGTCATGGCAGGAAAAGCTGGCCAACCTGCCGGAGCCGGAGCGTATGGCGGAAGAGGAGGCGCTTAGGGCTGAGCATAGGGCCAAGGCGATCATGGCGAAGAATCTCCAGGAGTTGTGGAACGAGCAGTCCAAGGAGAGAGAGCAGCGTAGGGCGGAGGGTAAGGAGACCATTGGAGACAAGATCAAGCGGGTTTTGGGAACGCCGAACTACTGAAAGAAGCGAGTGTTCTGTTTCCCCGCGGGTTGGAAAAGGGGAATGAGGACGCGATATGAACGACAGATTCCGGATGTAACAGTACGACTTGAACAATTAGATGCAGATATACTTTGCAATGAAAGGGATAACCCGAATATCACGCTTGTGGCTTCGCACCTTCAAGCCTGATAGGGCATTACTGCGTTGTCGTGATTCAGGCTAGGAGGCCCATGAACACGATCGAGATGACGATTGATACAGACATACACCCGAAGTTTTAGTCATTCCACAGCAGATATATTTTGTGAAGGCGCCCTTGTCCATTGGCGCCGCTATGCCATTCAAGCCATGAACCCATCTACCTGCCCTCTAAAACACTAGCCGCTCGCTCCAAAAACGCATTGAAATCTTTGATCTGCTTTAATGTCCCACCGTCGTTACCCTTGTTGCATACCTCGCCCGATACCCTACTGATGAGGAATTCCAGATTCGCCAGGCCTGCCATCTTCTGCTCCGTTGGGGACAGGTCGGGAGCTGCCTGGCCTCTTTCCACCGCGAGGTCTATGTCATGCATGGCAGAAGAGAGCGATGTGTGTCGCTGGTAGCAAAAAAAGAAGAGAAAGTTAGCATGCGTCCACGAAACAGGGATAAAGAAAAAGATAGGTTGGGGAAAGAAAACTCACCAAAACCTCCTTACTATCCACCTCGTGCTTAATCCTTATGGCATCCATCCTCAGCGAAACCTGATCTCTCTCGGCGCGTATCCTCAAGATCTCCTCTCTCAACCCCAGCTTTTCCTTCTGCACCGTCTTCACCCGTTTGCGCAACGCGTGGAGTGTATCAAGAGCAATGGTGTGTTCCAGCAGCCTGGTCCTCAGCTCCTCCTGGAACGCTTCCATAGTCCGGAACTTGGTCTTTTGTTCCCTCTTTGTTGCTGGGTCATCCGCGGCTTGGGCGCGTTCCTCCAGCCTGGCTAGGAAACCTGCAATAAGACCCTCGCATAGTTCGGAGAGGACATCGATAGCGTTGACGCCGGCTCTGTTAGCAAATGGAATCTCGGCGTTGAGAACACTGGCATTGAGTTCGTCGGGGCCGTCGCTAGCTCTTGGAGGCTTTGTGAAGCGTTGGACGGTAATTGAAACGACTTCCGCCTTCTCTCCTCTTCCCTCGTCCTCTGCACCATCCCTCTTGGTTGTCTTCCTGCCCTTTTTCGGCTTTGGGGGATTCTGAATGGTAGGTTTGCGGCTGGTGGGTTGTTTTGGTTGCTTTTGTTGCTTCTGTGGTATCTTAGGAGGGCTAGGTACCGGAGTGGGCGCGCGCTGAACCCTTTCTCTTTGTATTTTGGTTTGTTTTGGTTGGGTCGTATCAGCTGGCTCAGCTTGTCTGCGGCGTCGCTTTGGCTGAGGCTCCTCCTCAGATGGTCTGGTCTCCGGCTGCGGGGATGGTGTAGGAACAGCTCGTCTAGGACGCTTTCGGCCGATAATTCTAGCAGCTTCCTTGTCGCTGATTTCCTGAGCCTTTTCAGTCTCGTCTTCCTGGTCCCTATTCTTCCTCGTCTGCCTGCTGGGGCGCTCGGTTTCGACGCCGCCGTCTTCTGCACGCTCGTCACTGCGGGTATCTGATTGTCTGTCCCCTGCCTCTGACCCTTGGTGTTCCTCCCTCTCCGTCCCGCCTCGCTGCGCTGCCTTTGACGGCGAGGGCTCTTCCCCTAGATCTTGGCTCGCCACACTTTGAGGCGGACTGCTGCCCGAGAGTCTTGTGCTCCTCCGCGTTTCCGCTGCCACCCTCTTAGCAAATAGTTCCCCACTCTTCCGTGATGCCGCACGCTCAAGCGGAGAAGATTGCTCTGGCACTTGTTCAGTCCCGTCGTCCAAGTCCTCCAGAACCCGCTGGAGTAACGCGCTGGACCCATGGACTGCGCTCCCGGGTTCGCCAACCTGTAGTGGTCGACGTCTTCCGCATCCTGGAGCATCGGCCGGGCTTTCGTCCACCTCTTCCGTCAGAGCAGTCGGGGAAACATAGCGAGGCCGGCGATGTGCTTTCGATGCGCTGCTTATTGGCTGTGGTTGTGGCAGTTGCTCTGGTGATTTCAACTGTTGATCCGACTGTTTCTGGGCTGGACTAGAGCGTTCATCGACTATAGGCAATGTCGCGGACGCTTGCCCCTGTTCCGCCCGCGCGGGAGGACTGCGTCGTAGACCAGAGGGGCGTTCTCGTGTTGGTAGCTCGTTTATGACGGCATGTGCTTCTTTGCTGCTGCGGGGAGAAATATCGTTCGTTTCGGGGGAGCGTGACTGAGCTGACGCAGCTGAAGGGCTCGTAGCTCGTGGTTGTGGCGGCTGGGGCTGTGTATATATTCCAGCTATCGATGTTGCTGATTGGGGGCTTCCGCGACTCCTTTTGACAGACGTATTGGGAGTTGGTCTTGTCAACACCGGCGCCACTGAAGGCCGTGGCTCTACCGTAGGAGCTGGAGCAAGAGCCGTATCTGGCGGTTTTGTTGGCGAAGACGTTTCATCGTGACCTGTGGGTTCCTCTGACGAGGATTCCTCTACGGGTAGAGGGATCTCGAAATTGAAAGAGATATCGGCAACCTGATGAGAACTGTTTGGTTGTTGTTAGCCATCGGGAGCTGCCATATGACAGAAATGACGCAGAAAGAAAGGATATCGTCAACTTACTGCGCCCCGCGCATGCGCTCTTGCATGCGCTCCTGCCGACCTTTGCTCAGGTCAGTCTATCACCAACTGAAGCATTCTGGACTGAGAGGCTTACTGGTCGCCATGGCTTCGAAAAAGGAGTCAATCCTTCACTTGAGCGGATCACATTCTTAGGCGTGGGAGTTGTTCTGGGGACCCGCCGATGGGTCGAATAGCTCCGGTGTGATGATACCGAAAAAGAGGAGATTCAATTGTCGCGGGAGTTCAATTGACGACATTGGAACGCGCTGGATAATTGACGGGACGCGACACTGAGGTGCAGTGGGCACGGCTTGGCACCACAGAGGTGGATGCGCTGGCAGGCTGCTCGCTGTAACAGATTGGATTTTGGGCGTTTCCCCGCAACCGCCAAGCTTTCTGAAGCTGCGCCTGCTCTTTCCTTCCCGCGCAGTGGCTGTTGCCAAGCATTTTGGCCCCTGAAGGCCCTGAGTCCCTAGTTCAGCCTCAGAGTGACAGCGAAACCACAACCCAAACAACAACATCACCCATCAGATGATGACGAGCTCGTCAACGGTTATCTCTCTTTATACAATGGAAGTTCATATCTCTTCAAGTTGTTATTTGGAAAGCTGAGATAATGTTTACGAGGGGTTCGTTGTATCCTGTTGATGGTGTAACGGTTTAACCTCGCCCTTCCTCGAAGTCTACCAGCCCGTTTGCCTTTACCTCATCGTCACTTATGTATAGGGTATCATTCGGTGTTCTCCCGCAGCCAATTTTTTTTTTTTTTTCATTGGGTAGACAACTTTGGCACCCATTCCATTTTCACCTCGTCAAATACGTGGCTGTAAGTTCGTTAGCTTGCAAAATTATCCAAGATACACGTATAGGATGCACATACTTGGCAAACTCTTTCCCAGTCAGTGACCAGTCACCATACTCTTTCATGAGCAGGTCTTTATAGCGGTACGGGATCTTGGCCGCAACTCCTTCGAAGATGGTTTCCCGTAGGGGAAAGATGTACGTGTCCTACTCATCGTTAGTCGCTGTCGTTACTCTTTACTGATATGGCGATAGCTACCCGAAACTCATGGCCATCTTTGCAGCTCATCATGCCTTGGCCTTCTGGGTGCGTCAAGTTGTACCGGGCGGTTGTGATGTCGATAAACAGCCCAGACTCAGTGTCAATCCACCTGGCGTCGATGACATTCCTCCAGTCCGACTGGTCTCCGTTGGAGAAGTTAGGGTTGACCTCCAACATGTAGTTCCGGCCGGCTGGTAACCTCGGCGTCTTATAATGAAAGACGGACATGTTGTAGTAGGTTGCTAGGAAATACATGCTGGGCTCGGTGACTTGTACGTCGACATCCGAGTCCCACGGCATGATCTGCGTACATGTCAGTCCAGCGACCGTCACGAGCGAAAAAGGGTGGTCGGTTTTACCTGCTTGTTCCACCACCATCCCAGCAGGCTGCCGTGCATAAGCCAGGTCTCGATGCCTAGGTCTCTCATTGTTTCAAGGAATGTTCGAACAAGATTCTTCAGCGCTGCCTTTTGTTCCTGGTAGCCGAGCGCTTTCTCGGCAAACCTGCGCCAAAGGCATCAGTATCGCTCATCACATACTGCGACTGCCAGGTCAAGGGGAGATGTGTCTCACCGGCCATCGTAGTGTGGGTCGAAGCTACATGATGGATACAAGTTAACTGACGAGCTCTGCTGGTTACCTGTCACAAGCGATGTTTCTCTTACGTTGATTCGTCTATTTGGGTCGGTCAGTGTTCTGCTTTCAATCTTATCCCACCCAAGCCCAGGCAGAAAGTCTGACACTTGACAGTTTCCAGAGGCAAGTACCTCAAGACTGTAGACACCTTGAGAGTAGTGCCTTCCTAATGTTGTGGGTTTACATACGGAAATATTTCTGGGGAGGATCGCCAGCCTTCCCGCTCATATCCTCACGATCCGTCGTGTCCAATATCGTGAGGGCATCTTGGGGCTCCAAAGGCGCAGATGTGCCTAGAGAACAAAGCGTCGCTACAACGAGTAGCCGATTTAGAAGCATTCTCGTCTTCCCTGGAGGTGGAACAGAAAGGAGAAAGGATACACTAGGAGATGTGTAAGAGGAAACAAAGAGAAGGAATATGGAGAGATGTAGGGTCAAATTTTCAAGGTAATACAGATATTATCTATATTGTCACTAACATGTAGGGCAAGGGGTGTCAAGGAGTGATTATGGTTGTGATACCCGTGTCACGCCCCCAGTGGCACCGGTAACTAAAGGGGAGAGGCCGGCGAGTAGGTACACCCAAGGCCCATAAGTATTTCTTTTTTTTTTTTGTATAAGGGTTCGGTATCGTCGGAGTTTCCTCCGTTGTACATGACTACTCATGGCATGGCCCCACACATTGGAGCCGAGAAAGCGTGATTCAAGTACTGGTGACGCGTCCCATTGTTCGGGTACGTTGGAAGCAGTGACCGGGGCTCATCGAGGTCAGGAAACGACGACCAAAAAGGTCCGGCGGGTCCAGAAGACGGAAGAGGGAGGAGATGAAGTGCGGAGGAAGTATGGTCGACGGGTCTAATGTGAGCTAGTCCGACCTGGACTGTTTCGTCATGTAAAGACGCGGAAACTTGGAGCATTTTAGGTGAAACTAAAACTTTCCATTCATTCAGTTCAAGCAAGATTAGGAATTAGGAATTGGCACAATACCAACCCACAGACCCTGGAAGCAGGGACGAGCCGACTGAGCTGGGTGTCCCAGCCCAGCTCTTTCCTAGGGTTCCAATCTTCTGGAAATGGAAGAGGAAGGTCGAGAACTGATGCTTCAGCACTGAGACTGGTGGTTCCCGAGCATCTTTCACCCAAACTTGCTCCTCGATCCGGGGGATGAGGCGCATGCGTGATCAGACTCCGTAACTGTCAGAGTTTGTCTGCATCTGCTTTCCAGCTTGTTTTCTCGGCCCCATCAGGGGTCGAAGCCCCTAAGCTGTTTACCCCAGATCTGCCAGAGAAGGTTTGATATCGTCGATCAATGGAAGCTAGGGAACGACACCGGCTTGGTTGAAGCGTTTGTCCCGCAATCACGTCCATGTTGTACTTGGCCAATGGGGGCAGGCACAATTGACGAGATCAAAACTTCGTCATCACACCTACCGCATCTAGACTGCTCAGCTCGTGGACTAGTGCTCCTTCACCTTAGTGTTGGCGGGAACATGGACGGCACTTCTCGATGGCCACATGCGCAGGTGATAGATGCAACGCCGTAGATACGCAGTAGATGGTGGCGTCAGTGACAGAACGACGTCCATAGCCCGAACAGGAAGTCGTCTTCTCAAACTTCGGCTCGTGATCTGCAGAATCTTTCAGTAGATCAACTTGTGTTTTCGAGCAGAGACGGAGGGTGCTGATATCTACGCGCGGAGTTTAAAGATGACTTGGGAATAGCGTCGGGCTTCAACATGCGGGGCTGGCCGCTGTGTGATGGTTTCGAAGCTTGTGAAAGCTTGTTCCTGAACAGTTCCCAACCCCTGTAGCTTACGTGTTCACACACCCTCCGATGGCCCGTAACGGCCCGTCTTCTTGGGAATACGCGGCCTACGGGGATCATCATTTCCATTCAAAAGAAGCGGCAGCTTGCGGTTCTTTCAAAGACGAGAGGGGACAAGGGTAAGTAGGAAGGGATGTTGCTCAACTTATGTTAACTATGTAGATATTCTTCTCTTCCACTTCAACTTTCTGGGTTCGACAAGTTTGGCCCTTGGAAACTGGATTTGAGGTGGTGTTACTTGAACATGTGGGGAGCAGGGAGAAACAGATACAGTGATGGTCAAAAAATACTGTCCCCCCCAATCCATATTGAATGCATAGTAGGGAGGGACATTTTTGACCATCAGTTTACCATTATGGTTGGACGAAGTTCACTAACATCCCGTAATGCCCGATGGAGAGGCTCTGACACATCTCGTTTAGGTTTCAGAAAGGGACAGCGGAAATCACTATCGAGTCTGGGCGGGTATGTATCAAATTGCTTTGCATTGCGAAGGGAGTCTTAAAAGAGTGTTAAAGGGAACCAGAAAACGTTGAAAGACAGCGCAAGCAACGGTTCATGTACTGGAGGAGATGGGAGGAATAAACGGGAAGGCCCTACATAGGTACTGGCGCCATCTCCGCCGTACTCCACCGCTTGACCCCAGGCTCTTGAGATGTTACTAACATGAGAAGGTGCTCTCCTGTATAAAACTGCATACGTGATCCGTATGTGCCTTGGATAAGCACTGGGACTGATCAGAGAGAAACGGTCAATTGGAAGTGAGGAAGGACGAGAAACAATGAATGTGATGTCCTCGTCACAGCTTCCCCTCAACAGCCCCGAAACCGAAACCAAACGTCAACAAGTCAAGGGCTACCATTACGTACCTCTGCATCTGCTGTGCCTTTTAGCTGAGCTCAGCTGTAGATACTACAGCTACAGGAGGCCTGGATCGTGTTTCAGCCGCCCGACTTCAACTTCCTTCTCTTTCATGGATTCCTTTCTGGCCGCTTCTTGACAAAACCAACTTCCCGCTATCGTCCACGTCGTTTTGTCGACAGCACGAGCAAACGGAGCAAACCCCGCAACATCCCCAAGCCCGAGCACCTCTACGGCTTACCCCACCGAGTCCACCTCCAGTATAAGTGCGATATCCTGATACGTCACTCCACCGCGACGTCCGGAATCGAGTCGAACACCCTCACGTCCGACCTTCTCTTTTCAACTCCCCAAAGAGCAGCTATCTGCTGGCAGCTTCACGCAAAGCTACTCTGGCACGAGTATAGTGCCCACCGAACAAGATGGGATTTCTAGATATAAACGGAGTCAGCGTAAGTATGCGAACCGGGCCAGGACCGGCACCAGCATCATCACAGCGGTGCGAAGCACCCCATATCCGGTGATCACATCAAAGATGTATAGACAGCCAGAAGCTGACATTCTACTTGCTGTTAGATTTTCAGGTGGGCTGCTGATATATCTCACCTTACTTCAAAATGCATCCTCATATACTCCATCCATCGTAATAGGAGCGCTGAAGGTTATACACCTCTCTTTCCGCCAACGCAACCACGTCCCTCCGACTAACACTGGTCTTGTCTAGGCGTGTCCCTCATCACACAAGCGTTCTATGCGCTTGTTTTCCTCACGCGCTATACGGATCTCTTCGAGGAAAACTGGTGGTGGGGATTTTTGCAATGGTGGAATTTCCTCTTCAAAATCTTCTACCTCTCCTCGTCGCTCTATACCATTGCGGCCATGCAGTTCTTCTTCCCCAGGACCCGCGAGCGAGAGAAGGCATGGAGGTTCGGCGCCGTGATCTTGGGGGGTAGCTTGCTCCTATCTCCTTTCGTGATGATAATGAAGAAGAAGGAGTATTGGGGTTTTCAGGAGGTAAGTACACCATACCGCCACGCCTCCCATCCTTCGCTCAGTCTATTGGTTACTTACTAACCTCCTCCATCCTCAGTGGCTCTGGGTATTCTCCCAAGTCCTCGAATCCGTCTGCGTACTCCCCCAACTCCTTCTCCTCCGACAGACCACCGTTCCGACCGTCATCACTTCGTTATACATAGTATTCCTCGGTTCCTACCGTGCCCTCTACATTCTCAACTGGATCGCCCGAGCGCTCGACATCAACGGCCGCAAGCCCGACGGCATTTCCATCGTGTTTGGCATCATCCAGACGGCCCTATACGCCGACTTTGCCTGGGTCTACTGGACACGTCAGCGTGTCAAGCTGCGTAACGGCGGTGTCGTCGACTCCGAAGACCTGCGGCGCGGATGGCTCCTTACCCATATCTTTGGCAACAAGCGCATTGCTGGGGGCCACAGCACTGATGACGACGAGGAGAGCGCCCCTGCTCTGGGAGGAGGACGCGGGGGCAACGGCATTGGCATTAGCAACGGAAACGGCAGTGGCTCGGCACCGAGATCCAAGTGGGGTGCTCGCGGTATCTCGGTTAGCGCTGATGACGGCGTGTTTGACCATGAAGAGGACCATGGAGTGACGGAGTCGCTGGATCCAGACGCCAAGATGCACGATCCGGATGACTTGGCGAGGGCCTTGGACGACGACGATGATGGGTCGCCGTCGCGGGCCGAAGGTTCGGCCTCTTTGCTCGGTGGATCGAGCGACAATTACAAGAACAACAACAACAACAACAACAACAACAATAACGACAGGAGGGATCATGACAACGCTTGGGCTGATGACTGATGGAAGGCGTACTTGGAGGCATGGAATTGAATGTGCCGGACATCTGTGCCATTATTACGAACGGTTAGAACTAATGGATTGGTGGATCTGTTTTCTTGGATCTGGGCTGGGCATTATCAATAGTTAGTCATGGGCGCCCAATTTGTTTTTATTGGAGGTCCAGGTTTTCGTTAGGGAGTAACGGTCAGGAAGGTGCTGGTGGTTTCAACTATTACATAAAGGAATGGCTTCCGCAAAATCACAAGGTATGTGGTTATCTTTAGTTGAATTTTGAAATATACAGACAGATCTTCTCAGGACAGTCTGAAGACATCTTTCTTCCTGTCGTTCTACAGCCTATAATGGGTGTGAAACATAATGGTTCAGTGAAACCAGGTTGTTATACCTAGCTCCTATGTGCACTACTTTTTTGAGCAGGCTACGATTTTACTCGACCTGTACAGAAAGCTCCCACAACGCTCTCAACACCGCCAACCCTCCGCTTTGCGTTTCCACGGTCCTGCCTCTACCGCGTGTATTCGGATCATCATCCACTGCTTCCTGGCTGCCACGCTCATCCATCTTGTGGTCCATCTTCTTCGTGCTCTTTCTCGACCGGCGCCTTCCAGTCATCGGATGCTGCGCCTTGTTACTCTGGTCATCATAAACCATTGCTGACTCTTCTTCGGCCCCGCCAGACAGCAACTCTTCGTCCGTAACCCACCCAGAAGTCTGCGGAACCCCCTGATTCCGATAATCAACGACTCCCTCCATAGGAGCCAATAAATCCGGCCCAAAACGAAGCTCGGACGTTTTCACATTGTTCAACAATCCGGCTGTCCACCACATGCCGAACTTGCCTTCGCTGTCCCTGGTACGCGCCGCTGCGTGCGCATTGTGCTTCAACCAGCCGAGATATCGTTGGCAAGCGGCGTGGTGTTCTTTTGCTATGCTTTTCCAGAACTCCGGACGAACAGGCGGTCGTGCTGTCGTCGTCCTTTTTGGCAAATTTAAAGTTGGTTGATCTGGTGATGGTGGAACGATGGGCGAACAGAACGCAGTAAAATGGTGCATCCAAATCCCCTTGAACGTCTGCCCATCCTGCGAGCACTCGCCCTTTGCATCACAGACTTCTTCCAGAATGCCGGCTCTACCCAAGCCGCGCCAGGGCGGGAGTTCGCCTGCTTCAACAAGGTTCAGGTTGTCAATGTCATCAACCGGCGAGTCCAGTGCCAGGTCCCAGCCGGTTGCTCGGATAACGTTTTGGATCAGCGTGTGGCCGGCTCGCATGTAGGACGGGTTGGGCTCGGCGCTGAACAGGTTCCGCTGACCCGTGAGAAGGACGCCTTGGTTATACGTGTACAGCATCTCGTCGCGCTCGTCGCACTCGGTGTTGTTGCTGCCGGAGGAGTAGCCCGAGATGTGGAAGCCGTCGGTGAAGAGGCCGAGGGCGTTGGTCATGTTGGAAGAGATTAGCCAGTTGTAGGCGTCCAGCGCGGCGACAAGGTACTTGGGGTCGTGGGGGTACCATTTTTGTCTCTTGAGGTCACCGGGTTGGGAGGAGACATGACGGGCTGCTGTTGCTTCTTGTTGCCCTGCTCGGAGCGGATGAAAGGCGAGTTGTTGTCGTCCCCGGGGAAGTGGAGGTACATCATCACCGAGGCGGCGATGTATAATTCATTGGTGATGGCGTTTTTGTAGGGCAGTAATCGGGGATTCCAGTTCATACCTCCGCCGCAGAGTGTCGTGTCCCAGCCGACGGCTGCCAGTTCCCAGAATATCCTTGCTCGGTGGGCAAATGCTGGAGTCCAGAGTGTTCCGTGCCAGGTGCGGTTCCGCAACGTTTCCGTTGGAAACTCAACGCCGTTGATTTCACCAAAGCCAGACGGAGGCCGACTAGGGGTGCTGCTATACCCATCGACGAACTTGACGGTATCGAGCCAGCCCAATACCACCCAGAGCATATCATCGTAGGCTTCCTGCCGGACGGCAAAGATGTTCTGGCCGAAGTAGAAGCCGATCAGCTGGGAGAAGTACAGAGAGATTGTATTCTCTGTTGCTGACCACCCCTCGGAGATTTCGATTCCCCTCGAGGCCGCTATCTCGAGGCTTCGGTGTAGGGTTTCGAGGGTGCCGGCAATGTGTGTCCCTAAGACAGCGGCCGTCCAGTCGATAGCAGACGGCCATGTGCCAACCCATGGCTGGAAATAGGCTTCTTGCATGACATCGATAGCGTCTATTATCTCGTCGAATAACGTCACGTTGAAGACATAGTCCTGTCCTTCGGCGATAGTTGGCTTGTCTCTCTCCAGATTATGAGGCAGGAATGAGAACGACTGTGAGGCAGCGGAGGCAGCCGTGGCTAGCAAAACCACTTTGTCCCATTTGACCAACATGTTGTCCGCCCAGGAGCAGCAGCAACGGTATAGTGAGGCTCCAAATAGTTTCCAATTTGGCGGTCACCGGGTGGTCGTAAGATGATATCGTCGTTACCGAGGTCAAGGAACTGCGAGAATCTAACTTTCAAACCCCGTCGGGAGAGCAGGCCAGTTTATACACGTCCGGTTCGTGAGATGTAAGAAGAAGCAAACAAGCGAATTGAGCAGCCTACAACAGTTAGTTGTAGTTGCCCAGTCCGCCAAGATGCTGGTATTCCCTCATCATGAACTAAGTAGGCAGAGCTCAAGATCCACGGAGATCCACGAGACAGATGTGGATGATATGTGTCCCGGGTTTATACCAGTGCAACGGAAACTGGGAGGGTGGTGAACGGTTGAAGGTGAGATTGGTCAGGACTTGGAAAGTAAAACTCACGGCAACGAGACAAGAGGATGGCAAAGACTTGATGCCCTTGGGAATGGCTTCAGATCAATAAAGGTTAGGAGCACCGGCTATCAGATCAAACTGCAACGGCGAGGGGATAACTGTGAATGCGATCGCACCCACTCTTCCACTTGAATCTTGAGTGGGAGGACAAGAGAGCAACCTGAACAACCAGCAGTCGTGGGAATTCACACCTCGATTCAGGCTGTGTGCATGCCAAGGTCAGCCTGCTTGGTCAGGTTGACCACAACCAAGACAACGACTGAATCGATTGTAACTTGAAGTTCCAACAAGACGATTGCCAGATGTGGCTGTCGTCGAATCAAAGGCCGTCTTCACTGTCCCCGTTGAAGCTGAGGTGAGCCAGAAGGTACGTACATACACCGCACCTGTCTCCATTAAGCGGCGGTTGTCCCGGCAGCTGGCAATGGAATCAGGAGCACTGGAGTTTGAAACGGGCAACGGCGGGCTGGCCGGTAACGGGCGGGTTCCTTCCCTCGCGGAGGGCGGAGCACCTCCACTGTGCTGAGGGGCAAGGGAGCTGCCCTGCCTGCCGGGGCAATTCTGCCCACTTGCTCGGTCGTGCTCCCCACACGGTGCCTGTCCTTCCCAGTTCTCGAGCCCTTAGACTTTTTAATCTCGACCCCATGAGCGTGTCTCGAGCCCTTGACACATGTCTCTTTCCATTCCGCTATGTGGATTACATTATCAGTTCAAGCATGGATGCGGAGCTTTTCGATGTTCCGGTCAAATTGTAGCGGACGAACTCAAGTCTCTAAGCTGAGTACATCAAAGTTGATTGTGCAAAAGTAGATACAGGAGGTAGTCATGAGAGCGGAACCACGAGATACATGTTCCATGTCCCTAGTCTTTATTCCAGCCGGCTCAGTTGCTTTGATCTTGTCAAGTCGCCTGAAGGTTAGTGAAAAATGTATCATAACTCAGATCAGCGACCGTGTAAGCTGCGCGTCGACCACCGATGTCGGAAACGCACCCAGTTTTCCTTATACGACTGCAAAAAGAAACATTCTGATGATCTTTTTGACATTCTTGAGCTGGAGAGGCGGGTGGGTATAAAGGTTTAAGGACGGACATTGGAGATAAAACTCGACGGTAACAAAGCTTCCATAGGCAAGACGCTTCTTCGACCAGCAACTATTTTTGTTATATTATATAGAAAAGACCATCCAGATGCTCGCAACGCTTAGCCACCTGCCTGTCAATTGTTCGCTGATATGGTATACAAAACCAACGTTTCACCCGTTGTCCCAAAACGCCTGCTTGAAAGCCACAAGACTCTCGATAAAGTCGCCCCTTCCAAACGCCAAAACTCCATCTAACCAGCCCCAGGTAGACCCCTTGTCATAAGTGCCAGACTGCCAGCCGAGGATCGTGTCCCGATATAACGATGCAGGTGTCTGCGTGTTGGCGTTCCAAACGTCATACCCAAAGCCCGTCCTACTCAACGAAGCGGCGCTCAAACTCTCTAATGAGCTTTGGTGTGATCTCGTTGCTGCTCATACCCTCAACCTCCCAAAGAACGCCCTGGCGCGCATAATGTTCCAGGAGAGGCTCGGCTGTTTCCTGGAACTTCTTGTACCTCGCAAGGTAAACCTTCTCGTCATCATCCGCCCGGCGGACCAAGGGCTCGCCGGTAATGTCATCGACACCAGGAACCTTGGGTGCGTTGAAGGTGGTGTTGTAGATCCTGCCCGACGGCTCGTGAACCCAGCGTCCGGAAATACGCTCGAGGATAACGTCAACAGGCGTCTTGAGAGACACGACCAGGTTGATGGGGATAATTTCATCCAAGCGCTTAGCCTGGGTGGCCGTGCGCGGGAAGCCGTCCAGCAGGAAAGAATGGGTGGGATCATCCGAAAGCTGGGACTGGATAAAACCACGGGCCTGCGCTGGCGAGGAAAGGAACGCGGCAACTTCAGCGTCATCTTGGAAAGCTTGCGCACCTTCGACGCTGAGGGCCGAGGAAGCAAGCGTCAGGACGTTGCCGGCGGGGTGAGTCGGGTTAAGCCATCCGCGCTGGCTGAGCTCATTGCTGATGAGGCGGAGGATAATGTCATCTGATACCAAACCGCCGGACTTCATGACACTCTCCACTTTGATGCCTGTGCGTTATAATGAGCATTTCAAATTCCCGGCATGAATCAGGACCGTAGGGCGTACGATAGACAATCGCGGAACCCAAGACTCACCGAGAGGAGTCCGTTGCTTGACATTATATCGAAGCAGATCTCCCGAACTGATGGAGGACAGTTGAGGAAACCGCTGAAGAAGGCGTTCCGACTGTGTTCCCTTTCCGACACCAGGCGCGCCAACAAGGATGACGCGGGCAGCTCGCCGTAGGGCCATTTTTCGTCAGGTTGCGGCTCGTAGAGGTGTGTTGAGCGAGCGATGGGAATTAATGCGTGCAAGAAGGAAGATGGGAGGAGCTGGCAACAGAGAACACGAAAAACCCCCGGGGCAGCAGATAAAAAGAGGTTCCGCGGGTGGTACTTGTGGCCCCAATGTCGGGGTTGATGCGAGCGCGGATGCGGGGAACGGGCGATGATCGGTGGCATGCAATTGCGTTGCGCAGGCGCGCTCACAAATCAAGATGACTCCATGGTCCAGTCAATGGAGTTACAGCAGGGTCTGGATGGAGCAATGTGGATTAAGTTTCTGGAAGAACGAACCCGGGGCTCAAACGACAAGCCAAAAAGAGGGAAAGCGTGAAGGGGAAATCGTGGGGAGTGAGATCGGTAGCGGGTCGGACCTCAACTGTTACAAAACGCTATAAAAAGCTTCCTACGTAGAACCGGAAAACTTGATGACCGTGTTGGCCAGCCGAAGCCAAAAGAAAGGCTGTGTGTTTGGCTTCGGACGTCCGAACTATCCTCGACAATGGTAGCACAACCCGTCATTGTACCCCAAGACCAAAAGGCCTCGTGGAAGAAACAGTTGCCCCTGTCATGCCAAGTTCTTTTGTTCCAGCATGTCGCCCCTCAACAAAAACCACAGCCGTTGAGATTCACCCAGCGACGCTCATATGCCATTGAGGTTGTATAAATGTGCCAAGCAACGATAGTAACACTACTAAAGATGAGACTCAGAATGATGTGCAACTCTGTTTGCGCCTCCTGCCTCTGCCGGAAGACCCATAACCAATGTGTTCATCTTAGTGAGACGGACATCTCCAATTTTAGATGATCTCATTGCTGGCCGGTGCGACCCAAAAAGCCCAGAATGATGGGCCGAGGCAACGGGCACGAACGGGTCAGCCTGGGAAAGCCGAGCGCTATCAGAAGCATTTTTGGCAAAGACTAGACCGAGACTATGGACATTGATATTGCCGCGAATCCATCTCTCTTAATTTCCGATGCTCGAGAACCGTTCTTCATCTCTTCCCGTTTCACAAGACGACGCAAGAACGCTTCCTATTGTAGGTGTGAGCTGGCCAGTGCTGGCTTTTGAGCAACACTAGCTGGAAGAAAGTGAAGTGGGCGTTGCTCCAAGACGTCAAGCATGACCTCATGTGGCATCAACCTGCAACGGCAAACGATCTGCTTCAAAGACCAAGTGAACAAATGATCGGTTTCACTGGTCATTAACAGACCTGGAGAGTTCAAAACTTCCAGAAGTTTGCCAGTACGGTAGATACTCCAAGCCGGTATCAAACGTCCACATCAACGTCCACGTTGTTTCAGCTTCCTTCTTGGCATCACCGTATCGATAACCACACTGGCGTGAAAGTGTTCGAGGCTCCCCGCGCTCTCTGCTCGTCAGTTCTGTCGTTGTCGTTTCCGAGTTATGCACGGCACATTCGACATGAGTGAATGCCGGTATCACCAATGAGCACATCCCATCCAAAACGTGGAGCAGAATCGTTGATGGAGCTGTTTCGCTGGTGAGAGCGTGGCAAGTCCCAGAGCCAGTCCTTCTCCGGTTCGTCAGTGGTTCGCTGCCGGCTGCAAAGGCACGAAATAGCGTTGGCCCCTTTTGGGCCCCTTCACACGGGGTCGGATTGTAAGGGAGAGACGCCCGTGGTGAGTTTAGTGCATTACTCGAACTCACGTGATGAGCGACCGAATCCGGAACTGGTAATGAGACTGTGGTGTTTTAGCTTCATGACTGTGTGGGGCTGTGATGTAGGTTCTTCATTTGATGAGTACCTGCATCGAACAATCCAACTAGCGTCCGAGAACCCTCACCAGAAGAAATGAAATAAGAGTGACTGAAGGCATGCTTCGATGGCTGAGAAGTTCAATTCACGGCTTTCATATCCCTTGCTTGAACGCGCTCATCCAACTTTCCAGCTGAGGAGGTCATTAAGATCATCTACATCATGACCTTTGGCATGGCCATGTCCCTTGTCAAATTCAGATTTGGGGTCATCATGCCAAGCTCGCGGTTCCTGAGCTGGGGAAATACTATGCACAGTGGGAATGGTGGAGACTCCACACCGTTGTTAAGGAGAAGAGCACAGTTCTTTTACCCAGCTCGGCCACACCGCGCGCCGCCTTCGTGTTGGCTTGACCGCCCACCGGTGGGTTGCGGGTGAGCGGCCGAGACAGCCTGAACAGCGCAATGCAGGCGCGAAAAAGGCTGGAATTTGATGTCACCGAATCCATCAATATCGATCGCTCCAGGTCTTTCTCTTTGCTGACAGACAAACCCGGTCCCGCCCCTTTTGCATTCTGCTTGATCTCTCCATCCCCTTTACAACATCTGCATGCCATCAATCACTTTGACTCCCGTCTATTCTACAACACCACAAGACCATCGACACTCCTTTTCTCGACGTGATTCCGGCTCTTATCCGAACCATCCAGCGCCTGTCCATCCCGCCTTCCGCAACTGTCAGGGGGGCGAATTCTCTTACTGCTCCGCCGTTATCGCATTCGCATATCGCATCGTCTAGCAAACCCGTCTGCCATACGCTTTCACTGCAGCAGCATCTCTCACTTTGGGGCATTGTGAACGACAATCGTTCGAAAAACCGCAGTACGCCGCTTCTCAGACATGAGCGCCTCATCAACAGTCGCCCGCAGGGCCTTGGTCGTGAACCCATTTTTGGGTGCCGGTAAGAACTTGCCCAAACTCGCGCTTTCTGCGCCGCTTTCGTTGGCCCGTTGCTGATCTGAAGCGCACCACCAGGCAATGCTCTACCGAGGCAAGCTCTTCTAGCCGCGTCGACGCTTCTCGCGCGCAATTCGCGGCAAATCATGCTTAACAACCGAACCTCTGCTTTTGTCTTTCCCATCCGAACACTCACCACATCTGGAACCAGCACTCATGGTTCGGGACCGCCGGCCGGTCCTCCGCCTGGCTTCAATGCGGAAGAAGCTAAGAAACCTCTCCCTAAAGAAGCCGCGCCGCTTCCTGTTAAGAGCAAGACCATCGCTGGCGAGGTGCAGGAGGTGACTAAGAAGACGACTGAGGCCTTGTCCGGGAGTGATGCGTCCTTGAGCCAACTTGCGGAACAGAAGCAGGCGTATGCCGAGAAGTACGAAGGAAAGAAGGAGGAACCCAAATTGACCCTGAAACAAAAGATCAAGAAGGAGGCGCAACACTACTGGGATGGAACCAAGCTCCTGGCTGCTGAGGTCAAGATCAGCTCGCGGCTTGCGATCAAGATGGCGGCAGGCTATGAACTGACTAGGCGAGAGAACCGCCAACTCCGGAGAACCGTCCAGGATTTGGGTCGCCTGGTCCCCTTTTCCATGTTCGTCATTGTGCCTTTCGCCGAATTGCTTCTCCCTATTGCGCTTAAGCTGTTCCCCAACATGCTTCCCAGCACCTACGAGGAGCAAAAGTCCAAGGACAAGAAGGCGTCTACGCTTCGGGCCACCCGGAAGGAGGTTAGCGACTTCCTTCGCAAGACTATGAAGGAAACAGGTCTTCCGTTGACGCAGGTTACTGCGCAAAAGGAGGAGTTCAGCAACTTCTTCCGCAAGGTCCGGTCTACCGGCGAGAAGCCGACTGCTCAGGATGTCATCAAGGTCTGCAAGATCTTCAAGGATGATCTGACCCTCGACAACCTGTCCAGGCCGCAGCTCGTGTCCATGTGCCGTTACCTCAACCTCAACACCTTCGGAACCGACATGATGCTTCGTTACCAGCTCCGCCACAGAATGAGGCAAATCAAGAGAGACGATCGTGCCATCAGCTACGAGGGTATTGAGAGTTTGTCGGTTGCTGAACTTCAAGTTGCGTGCGCCAGCCGTGGCATCAAGAGCTACGGCGTGTCACCTGCCAGGTTGAGGGAGGATCTCCAAACTTGGTTGGAGCTCAGACTTCGCGAAGGTGTTCCTTCCACTTTGTTGGTGCTTAGCAACGCCTACATGTATGGTCAGACCGATGGCGAAGTTTCCAGCCAGATTGAGGCCCTAACAGGCGTTCTGTCCTCGATTCCCGAGGAGCTGTTCCACGAGATCGAGCTTGAGGTCCACAACGCCGAGGGCGCGGCCACCAACAAGCAGCGTCTTGAGGTACTAAAGGAGCAACAAGAGCTGATTGACGAGGAGCTTCAGCAAGATCAGGAGAACCAGAAGACCGGCTTTGCTACGCCAAGAGATACGGAAGACATTGACGAGGAGCACGAGAGGCACATGCAGGCCAAGGCTGATGGTATCGAGAAGGCCCAAGTCAGCGAGGCGGTAGATGCGGAGCAGGAGGCCCTCACAGCAGCCCGTGTTGGGCAACTGGAGGAGCAGAAGTCAGAGAAGGCTGCCGAGAAGTAAGCAAAACATGAAACAAGGAAAGGTTTTGGGAGGAGTTTAAGCGTGTACCGGCAATGGTTAGAATTCCTTGCGACGTCCATGGGTCCTTGATATTCTCCTTTGTTGGATGTTTTGGTTGCGGGTATTTAGCAACCCTACGGTTCGGGAATCGGTGTAGGCTTTGTATGGTTAGGCATAGAACAAGCACCGGCGAAACGCGGCGATAGAAGAGTCATGGGTTTCTGGGTCATGTTACGTGGTTTGCTCCTTTTTCACTCATTCTGGACACCATGTATAGAACATGATATAACATATACTAGACACATGAACGCATTTCAAATAAGTAGACACAGCAAGCGATTGCACCCCAAATCATATCAGATGACCGGCATTGTGAAAGCGGATAGATAGGAAAGACATGACATTGTAGAACTAGTTGCTCAACCTGGATATCTACGGTGGCGAGTAGGGACGCTCAGGGTGCTGAAGGTAAAACAGCATTTAAACACCAAGGGATGTCAAAGCGGTCAAAAATGCGCAATCCGAGTACCCCAGATTCAATCTTTCCAAATCCATGGACACAATAAAGAAGCAAGGGCGGCATCACCAAAACGGGTAGGCCCCGAAGATGTACCTGCCTCGCTGACTTCCCTCTGGGTGATACCTTGTTGGCCTGCATTCGGGCGTCATGGCAGGATGCCTGCTGGGATGTTATACATCCACCTAGGTACCAAACGTCGACTCAAGCATTTCCCTTCCGTTTCTCCATCGCCATGAGCATCATTATGTCTATAGAACACCTGTAGATTGATCGAGGAAACGGAACTGCTCAGTCCCAAGTGATTTACTATGCGTATTCTCTTGGCGTGTAGTTCTTGATCCCGTACAACTTAGAGGAACCCCCGGGTTGTGCTTGCAGCACTACTTAACTGGGGATAGGCAGCCTCCAACTCAAGGTTGGCCTGCGCCTTCAAGAGCTCTTCCCCCCGCCATGCCAATACGTCAATCCCGCCGTCTGCGGAAGACAACCATAGTACTTCTACATTACAACAACACGCTGCGCTGACCGACGAACTTCAAAAAGATTGATTCTGAGCAATACATAAGGAGATTACCCGAATCCTGTCTACGAAACGCGGAATTGATAATCAATATCTTCCTCTAAGCAATCTTTCAGTTGAATCGCATTCCCTTCCCTGGCGACTCGCAAGCACATTCCTACCGTCGGACGACCGCTCACTACCGGCCTGCAACCAAGCTGCCAAACCGGTTGCTTAAAGCAAAAGCCCAGCAGACAAGCGGGAATACATAGTGGCGCAGCGGCGTCGTCAACGTCTCGGTAAAACGCCATCGATATGGCGGTCATTGACCAGGACAACTTCTCCAACATTTCATGGCATAGTGAGCAGAACGGAGGGTCAGCGACAGTCTCGAATGCGCAAGCAGTCCATCACGAGTCCAACAGCCCAGAATACGCAAGAAGCGGTCCGGACGACGGAAGGCCTGGTGACAACGCTGCCGTCGGTATGGAACACGACGAGCTTGATCACAGCGGCGGCGAGATCCTCGACTGCACTGTGTCTGACCCGCACAAGGAGAATGATGGCACCAAAGATGCCTATGTATCCTATCTAATCACGACAAATGTATGTGCCTTTTACTCTATACAATAACCTGTTCGCTTCGGGTCTCATCTTTAGTTCTTCAAGTCAATGACACCACTACCAAACCCGTGGACTTTCCACAAGGCTAACATATCATTTTCTGTCATTCGTATAGACCACTTTCCCTTCCTTCCAGAAACCCCAAACCAAAGTACGACGACGGTTCACCGATTTTGTCTTCCTCTACAAGGTCCTATGCCGTGATTACCAGGCTTGTGCCGTCCCTCCGCTGCCGGACAAGCAGCGCATGGAATATGTGCGGGGCGACCGGTTCGGCACTGACTTCACCGCGAGGCGAGCATATTCTTTGCAGCGATTCCTGGTTCGTTTGGCTCTCCATCCTATACTGCGGAAAGCAGACATTCTCCATGCCTTTCTTGAGAGCCCCGACTGGAACGCTACCATGCGCAGCCGGTCGGCCCGGGGATCGCTAGCATCGCCCGGCGGCATTAGTGAATCTACTCTCGGGGGAAGTGCTGCTGCGACCGGCGGCGGCGGCGCCGGCGGTGTCTTTGATACGTTTGCGGACAGCTTCATGAACGCCTTTACAAAAGTGGCCAAGCCCGACCGGCGGTTTATTGAGACCAAGGAGAAGAGCGACAAGCTGGACGAGGACCTGAACCATATCGAAAAGGTAGTGGCGCGGGTGGCGCGCCGGGAAGCCGATATCGAGTCAGACCTCAAGGATCTAGCCGAGCAGTTCCAAAAGCTGATCACCTTGGAGCCCGGAGTCGAGACAGCCGTGCGTGCCTTTGCCGCTTCGGTGGAGGACACCGCATCAGGCCTCAAGAAGCTCAAAGACCATACCGACCAGGACTACCTAGGCTCGCTACGGGACATGGTAGCATACAGCGGCGCTCTCAAGAACCTGCTCAAGGCGCGCGAACAGAAACAGCTTGACTACGAGCAGCTGACCGAGTACCTCAACAAGAGCACGACGGACCGCGACATGCTGGCGTCGGGCCAGTCTGGCTACGGAACGGGCTCGGCACTCATGAGCGGCGCAGGCGGCTTCATCCGCTCCAAGATCGAGGACGTCCGCGGGGTGGACCACGAGCAGGCCCGCCGCGACCGGCAGCGGAAGCTCGAGCTCCGCATCGAGGAGCTCACGCGTGAGGTGGAGGTGGCGCGCAACGAGTCGGAGAACTTCGGGGAGCAGGTCAGTCGCGAGGTGGAGAGCTTCGATTGGATCAAGCGTGTCGAGTTCAAGAAGCAGTTCAGCGGGGTGGCGGACGCGCATATCGAGTTTTATGGTGAGGTCATGTCGGTGTGGGAGCAGTACGTGGTGGATATGGAGAAGGAGGGGGTCGTCCTCCCGGCATAGAAGGCTAGGGAGGAGGCAATGGCCAAGACAGCTCCGAATGAAGAGAAGAGTCCGACTGCGACTGAGGAGGAGTGGGCGGATAGCCATGAGTATCATCATGAATCTCACTACCAGGAGAGCAACGGTGACCAAGGTTCCCCTGCAGGTGCCAGTGCCGGTGCCGGTGCAGGTGCGGATGGACAAGGCCCGAACTACGGCGGAGATTTATCACCACCGAACTGGAATGATGTGGACTGGCATGTGGTGTCGGGACATAACGGCCCTTGAGCTCTGCTCAGCCTGCTTGGTGGATTATGTGATGAAGTCACAGCCAGGCTTCCGGTGTTGAATGAGATAGCTACTATCTAGACTTCCGTCTCATCAAAGTTAACACGGCTGGCTGCATGAGGAGAAGGAGGATGTGTGTACTTTTCTAATGAGTAGCTATTACGCATGATCGACTATGTAATGAATGGCATTGCTGTTAGTTATGGAGCAAAAAGACGAATGGAACATTATTATCGTTAAGCTCATTGACAGGTTGCATTGTTACCATATCATGAAGTCCAAGGTAAGAGAAAGACGCAGTTGAGCCGGCACAATCCAAATCGGCAAATCAAATGCGCGTGGAAAGAAAACAAGTAGTAATGCTCTCTATATACGCCATTGAAGTCCTTTTTTCCCCCTCTTGTGAAAAGCAATAGTAGTAGAGGAACACCTAGCTTTAAGTACTCGATGACTGTTGACATCAGACCTATTCCTTCCTTTCCCATGCCCCATCTACAGAAAGAGAGAAAACACACTTTATCGCCTCAACGGCCTCGCATCGTCGCTATCGCTCTCATCGTCATCATCATCATCCCCCACAACATGATGTCCACTTTCGTCATCACTATCCGACCTCAACGCGCTTGTCTGTCTGCCAGTGTTGTTGGCACCAGAAGCAGATCCGCTGCCACTTCCACTTCCACTTCCCCTCCCACCCTCATCAACCCGATCACGATAAACCCCACCATCATCAACATCCTCATCATCACTCCCGCCCGCAAACGCATCATACAACTCCCCACCGCGCGTCCTCTTTCCTCCTCCTCCGGCCAAGCCGCCACCGGCACCGCCAGCCCCGCGCTTCTCAGCACTGCTGCCGCCGCCAGCGAGACCCTCGGCTTCTTCCTCGTCTAGCAGCTCGAACTCGTAATCGCCCCGCGGGTTGTTGCGCAGGCGCTTGCGCCGCGCGAGATAGAAGTAGACGGCCAGACTGATGCAGAAGACGCCAATGAGGGCGGCGGAGCCGTAGACCCAGACCATGGTGGCGGCGGATTTGCCAAAGGTGGGCAGGAACGAGGGTAGCCAGGTGCTGTTTGCGGGCGTGGTGGTTTCAGAGCTTTGTTCGTCCGAGGTGGGGGACGGGGTGGAGGAGGCGTCGGTTGGGGTTGGCTTGGAGTTGACGGGGCGGTTGGGATGGTCGGACACGGCGGTGGTGGGCTTGGTGTCGGTCGCGATGGGCTGCGGTGCTATGGTGGTGGTGGTAGCGGGGAGGCTGGTCGTGGCGATGATGGCGTGGTTGTTGTCGTCTTCTTCGGTGGGCATCGGGAGGACTTTGGCTTTGGAGGCGTCCTTGGCCTCGCCCCAGAGCTTGAGGTGCCAGTCGGTAAAAGTGCCGTTGTAGCTGTTGATTTGGGTGTCCTTGACAACGATGGTCCAGTTACCGACACCGGTTTCACCCCTGGTTATGTATGTGTTAGCAATCATTATCTCGGGGAAAATCACGGTAACATGTGCGCTTACCAGTGAACGACGCTCATGAATGTCCAGTCATCGTAGCCAGCACGGGCCTCATCGTTCTTTCGGCTGACAGAAAGATGGCTGACCAACTTGTTGGGGCTGATGAGATCAACACTAAGATCTCCTCGCCTGGTATGTTCGATGTTCATTGTAACCGTAATATGCTCCAAGCGCTCAAGGTTGGCCTCGTCAAGCATGGCCTGCGTAACCTCATAACTGACAGCAACTCCCGCGTCGCCCTGGGGAATTTCTTTGTTGACGTGGATCCAAGGAGAGTAGTACCAGGCCTGAGGCTTCACCTTCTTCCAGGTCTTGGCTGCCTGAACAATAGCATAGCTGTCCAGCTTGCCGTAGCCATACATATGGCTGAATTGTTTGCCAATGGCAGTGGTCTGCCACTCGCCGCTGTCAAGGTTGATGGGAACAGCAGTGTTCACGGTAAGATACTGCATATCTCTCCATGAGAGATCTGGGCGAATCTGCAGGACAAGAGCGAAGATACCAGCTGCGAGCGGAGCGGCAGCCGAGGTACCACCGTGATTATCGGAACAAGCATTCCCGACGTCAGTCGTATGGATCGAATCACCACCACCGCTAGAGTATGTCACAACCAGATTCGCGGAACATGACTCGGAGTAATATGGGTGGTCACCGTTCCTGTCAACGGCTCCGACGGTAATGCTGTAGATGCTGTTGGTGTAGCCGTCAAAATTGCAGTTGTCCCCGTTTCCAGCACCATTGCCGCTGGCGAAGACATAGATCGAGCCCAGCCCCCCACGGCCCTTCTGGACCGCATTGAGCATCGCCCTCTTGATGAGAATCCCGGGAGCGTCCATGCTCTGGCCGTCATCAGGGGGTCCCCAAGAGCACGAATAGATCTGGTTGTGCTGAAAGTCGTAGTTCATAGCAACGGCTTCATCAGCGTCAGTAATCAGCTTGGAAAGGATACGCAAGCCGGCAATTCTGGAGTCATATGCTACTCCCACACCGCAGGCATTGTTTTTTCCAGCCGAAACCTCACCAGCACAGCGAGTTCCGTGCTTGTCATCGTCCAGCCGGGGTTTCGGGTCAGGGCCCTTGTCGTTGAAGTCCCAAGACCCCTGGGCGTAATAGTTGTCCTTCAGGTCGTCGGTTTCCATATCCAAGCCATCGTCGACAATGGCAACGGTGGCGTTCTTTCCGGTGATGCCTTCGAGCCAAAGCCCGGTAACGTTCACGTCATGTCCAGTCTGGACTGTGTTGAAGAGATGCCACTGCTCCTTGAAGATGGGATCCTTGATGCCCAAAGTCCCGATGACATCCTTTTGCTTCTTGACTGCCCAGTCAACCCCTTGGTCAGAAAAGAGACCCCTCCTGGCGGGTCCTGCTGGTCGGGGGGCCATGCGCTTCTCCCACGGCTTTCGCAATCTTTGCTTCTCCGAGAAGAGAACACTATCCAACACATGGGGCTCGTCCCCTAGTGATCGTTTTCGGCGCCGGCGCTCCGTCAATTCTCTCTTGACAATATCATGTTCGGCTTTCCTCCCGACAAAAAGATGGTGATCCGGGAGTTCACCAAGGGGCCCCTCGTGCGACAAGCCTAAGCTTCTCGCAACCTCGGTAGGTGACGTCTTGCCGTCGAGATGGACAACATAGTAATCGTTCGAATCGAGGTCGTGGGGGAGGACATTGGATGCTATAGCCAGAGCAGCCAAGCCCAGCGATGTTGCGATGGCCGAGAGCTTCATAGCTGAGTTTGAGTAAAGGGTATGGGGCGCCCCAAGGTCGTTTTTACTTTAGATGCGCAGAATTGAGTAGGTATGTTTAGTTGGTTGCGGTGTCGAGCATCGAGGACTCTGTCTTGGTTGGTCTCGGCTATGGTAGGATAGTTGCGGTAGGGATAGCAACGGCGTTGGCCAGTGATCAGAGTGGTGTTACGAAGACGGCATCAGTTCACGGCGACTGAGAAGAGACTGGAAGGCCGATTCGAGATTATCGTCCCTTTCGGATGGGCATAAAGGCTTCGTATGGGACTGAGTAGACGGAGCTATTGTATAAGCAGCGGAATCAAGGAGGGAGAAGGGCACAGCATACAGGACTGAAGCCCACTTGCGAGCACAGCAGCAATCAGAGATCAGATAGGCCCACTGCGCAATGGTGTGCGGGCTGTAGATAGGAACGAGGCGGCACAATTTCCCCGTCTCACCAGGAACGGTTTAGGAAGATGGGTTGTTTTGGAGATGGGAGATTCACCTGTTGGAAGTTCAGTTCCGCAATCTGGCGATGTGGCCTAGAAAACCATCCCGCCACAGCGCAGGGGCAATCAATGCACACAGACTGGGCGGGACGCGCAAGTGAAAGACAGGCGGGGACCAGCTGGTGCAGTTCCAGGTTGCCAGGCGGAAGGAAGGACCCTGTATGAGGCGGCAGTTCAGGTGGGGGGCCTAGATTTAGGGGGTTCCTTGTAAGGGGCTCCATGGGGCAGCGTCAGCATTGCATTCAACGCCATTACAAGATGTCGATTTACATCCCTCGAGACCACAGAACGGTCTTTCTACCAATCACACCTTGTCTTGTCGGAACGATTACCGAGATTTGCCTTTGCTCTGAAAGCAGGAGTTTGTTTGAGAATGGAAGCTAAAAGCAGTTTTCCATCTTCCGGGCGCTCAGGGATGGTGTTTTAACGACGTCCCGCACTACCTATTTCACACGTACCGTCTTCCGTTTCTCTTGTCTTCCAACCGACACTCGAGCCGTATTCGCCATGCGAGACGAGACGAAACTCAAAAGGTCATCTTTTCTCAAAGCCCGCTCAAGGAGTTGATATGTGGTTGAGCAGGTCCTCGGGAAACTAGAGGAAACTTTGGATATCTCACCCAGCCTTCGGTTCCGACACACACGAGGGCAACGACGCAGCATTCCCATCGACGCCGCAGAGCAGATCACCCATGGCGGTAGAGAGGGTTCTTCACGTTGCCTGTGAAGGACAACTTGGCTTCGAAACGTGTTTGTGCGACGAGGCGTTTGCCCTTGGGGTTGGGCCTTTCCGCTTTCTCACCTCAATAAGGATTGAAGGGCTTACATGCGGGGATGATGCTCCCTTGGTACTGGGCGTTGTCAAAGAATCGAAGGGCTTCCCGCCAACAGGTCACCGAACTCGGCCATACAGCCACGGACATCTCGCAGTCACATAATAAAGGTAAGGCGAGATCTCCGTAATGTGCTGTATGCGAATCACTCTGTACCTCTTTGTTCCGCTTCTAGATTCTAGTAGGCAATGCGCCGCTTGTAGGTTGGTCAATGTACATACCACTGGTCTCCCGGTATAGAATACACCTCTTAAGCGTAGAGGTATATACCTAACACAGGTATCCCGACCACCACCTACAGGTCAGTGCTGGCTATCACCAGGTTTCATTGTTAGATGCTAAAGGTTATCTTTGAGCAGGCAGTCGAGTAGGAAGTTCCTTTCGGTTTCTCACGAGTGACCAATTCAGCCCCTGCAGAACGAGGACAATGGTAGAGAAGCACGACCTTCGATGCAGTGGTCGGAGTTGATAATGCCGGGTTGAGATCCATCGCGGATGTACAAGTACAGACGTTGATTGGCCATTGAGATGTTTTTGGCACTACCAGCAACGGCCCGCCTTAGTACCTCAACTCCTGCTGGAACATTGGCGGATACAATGCCTCTGTCCCCGAGACAAACGTCGTCTGAAATTCGATGCCTCCTTGGTAACGAGGTGCGTGCCAGCCACCGGCATTTTGAATTTTGTCATGTTCAGTTGTTCTCAAGCACAAGGCGAGAACTCTTGTTGATGTTAGGGCAACGGGCGCTCACTGTCGGCTATCCATGCGCTGTGTTTGGGTCACCTCACGGTCAGCGTCTCACCAAGTCTTACCCCCTGACCTTGACGGCCAGCCTCTTCACCTTGCCCAAACAAGTCTAGCGGCCCTTGAATCAAGGTCTGGCGGGTGGGATCTCCCGCCTCGTTCTCGGGACTGCCACTCCTTGGTTAACTCGACTGCGACAAGGAAGCTCCAGTTTCCGTCTCCGCAAACCCGCTTGTCACAAACAACAGAAGTTGCAATCAACGGAAACCCAGGCTGAGCTTCATGTCAACTCAACTTGAGAGGTGGGCAAAGAACGGACGAACACATTCTTGGAAACCAGATGGCAGGCAAAACAGAACTGTTAGCACCATTCAGAAGAATGGGACGGCAGACTGAAACGTGATTCGGTTTGCGCTGGAGGTTGGACGATTTCCACTGGATTTTCTATCCGACTGTCCGATCCCGAATCCCGCCCTGCTGCAGCAAAAGGCGCTGCAGGAAGTCTGCAGCATGCAGCGAGCAACCATTCAGCTCAAGTCAATTGTCCAGGGCAGGATATGGCAGGGCATGGTATTGAGCGACCGGCGCCAAAATGTGACTGGCTTGCCTGAATCTTTATAGCTGAGGTAGTACCTCAGTCCTGCCCTTGATCTACACCTTCGACGAGGTACAATACCTTAGCCATACGCACACGGAGCTCCCACTACTGTACCTATCGCGAGAGCTTCCTTGATTCGCGCCCAAAAGTAACCTCGCCAGCTCCGCCCAAGCTCTTTCTCCAATCTGCCTTCTTCTTCTTCTTCTTCTTCTTCTTCTTCAAGTTCCCCGGCCTCCCATTTTTATATACTCGTCATCTCATGAAGGATTCCCGTCCTGACATTGACCCTCAAGCTGATCCTTTTCTTTCTACGTCTCGACGTTCTTTGGTGGGGCCGCTGAAAAGACATTGACAACTCCTACAGCAGATCCAATGCTGCTGTAAACATCTTCTAGACGACTTCGACACACTACACACTGCATAGCAACTGCTCCTGGCATACCAGCTCGTGCTTTACAGACTGGAGGGTACCTACATTGGACTGCCACGGCGCATGTGTCTGCTCAACATTGGCTGTTTATAGTTATGGCTAGTCTAGCTATCTCACCAACCGCTCGCTCGTGATATTTACCAGCCTCCAGTCGTTCCCAGGTACCGAGGTCAGCCAGCCTCTGGGGATCAGCCTTCGGTCAGCTTACGAGGGAACATAACACACAACTACGACTAATCAAGAAACAAACAACCAACACGTCCAAATGTCGGCTCCGTACTGGGGCCAGCTCCCACCACTAGCTACGGTTCCTCGGAGTCGGCGCATGTCTGGCGATGTGACGCCGACAACCCCATCCGACTCTCGCCAGTCCTTCGACATCCACTCTCAGACCCGCCATAGACCGAATCGCATCTCTGTCCAGACTACAAAGTCGGAAGTCCAGACTGACTCAACTCTCAGTCCTTTCGCATCTCCAACCACTCCCAGCTTCATGGGCCAGGGACTTGCCCCTCCTCCGGCACCAGTGCCCTATGGTGCTGAAACCCAGTATCCGCCCGAGTTCCTAGAAAAGCGCCGTCGCCGAAGGAGCCAAAATCAAGACCATGATTTGGACTATGCAGTCGAGACTGGCCCACGCCCCCTGCTGTCCCGGAAGCTCCTCCAGGTCCTCCTATGAGCTACAGGTATTCGTCTGCCATTGCTGAACAACAGAACGCGTACTCGAATTCCTCTCCGGGATCGTCCCCCATGACCCAAGACGTGGGCTCAGATGGATTCCACGAGAATCAAACCCCGGCCGGTGACAGGCAGATACCTCGGGACACGACGACGGATGCGAGCACGAGTCGGCGGCCACAACGTATCGTTACCGGATCGATGCGTTCGGGAAACATGCCACCGCCAGCCGGAGCAAACAGCCACCGACGCAGGGCTTCTGGTGTTGACCAGCCTCTACAGAGGAGTACTAGGCGCTCGTCAGCGAGCCAGCCAGCAACCCGACAGAGAATGTTCGCAGACGACCGCTCACCACTTCAGAGGCTCCAGCTGACCCTGGACAGCATAGCAAAAGGAGAACCAGGGGAAGGACCTACTCCACGAGTCGAAGCCGCCGAAGGCTCAGCACGGGAATTTGCCCCAGAGAACTCGGCACCCGAGCAGACGGAAATAAGCACGATATCACCGCAAGTGCCCGTTCAGATCCAAAAGGTCTCGCCCGTTAATCAACGCCAGGAAGCACCCCAGTCGACCATGCCGGTAAGTTTGACGACTTCGACCAGACCTGACCAAGGCTCGGGGGCTGCAAAGGGGCCTCTGTCTCAGAACCCCCCCGAAGAAGGGCGAACGTATGGAGCAAACAGCGGGCGGGTTGCAAGAACCCAGGTGCCTGACCCGCGGACTCCCATGAACGCGGCTGTCACCAGTGTTAGGGCTTCTAATTTACCACAGCGCAACCTTAGTTTCCGCGAGCGAGCAGCTAATCAGGAGGTCAAGTTGCCCAATGGGATCGAACAATGCCTTGGGGCCCCATGCCGACACAAAGGAAGGTGGTGAAGAAGCCGGTAGCAGATCCGTGGCCGAGGCAAAGCCAAGAAAATCAGGAGGCTCAGGAGGCGACAGCGGCTCGAGAGCATCAACCAGTGGAGAAACCAATTGAAAGGGCTGTCAGGCGTGATGAAAGTCAACAGTTCGGCAATATCACCATCGGAGCGAGCGCGGAGCCGGCTAGAGTAACGAACCAAGAACCAGCCAGAGCAGCGAGCCAGAGAGTCAAGTTGGAAAAAATCATTGATCGGGCTCCTGTTCAGCAAACTCAGCAGTCATACACCTCACCGGCGGAGCAAGAAACCCCGGTTCAGAATGAGCCTGCGCCCCAACCTCCCGTCGAGAGTCCCATTATTCCTGTCGAAAGCCCGCAGGCTGCGGTTGAAGGGATGCCCATGGGCGGTCCAAACCATCCTCCCCCACCCAAGTACCAGCAGCAGCAGCATCATCACCAGGCACGGAGAGATGTCAGACTCGACGACCAAGGGAGAGATCTTAGACGCGACCGTGATGATACTGAACCGGGTCATCATCTCTCAAACATGCTGTATCATGCGCGGGACGATCTCGAGCCCGGGCAGGGCGAGTTTCAACCGACAAGGTATCTCGAAGAATGGAAGAATGGCACAGTCGGCACTCTTGCTGGCCCGCTTCTTGACCTGGGCAATGGATCGCCTGCAGGTGATAAGAACGCACCTCAATTTCGGAGGCGGGGTACCGGGGGATCACGGACGAGGAGAGGTGAAGCTTTTGATGGGGAGTATGATGACACTTATGGTATGTAATCGCTACGTGCCCTTTTCGCGGACGAAGGTGATATCGCAAGTAGCGTTGTCACTGGGTAGTCCCCTTGGCTCTGCATCTGAGGCTTTCGCGTTCCCTGATTTCCGCGTCCTTCTCTTGCATGCCATGAAACGATTTCGATGTACTAACTCAACCCCCTGTGTGAAGCTCCCACAAGATTCAAGCCGCCACTCTACCTCAAGTGCGGTCCTTTGCTTCGATTTTGTGGTATCCGGCATGACCGTGTGGCTACTCGCTCCCCCAAGCCCGGGGTTGTGCCGTTGGAGAAAGAGATATGGCGAGGCTCAGTCATGATCGTCACTTCAGACGCCGATTCATCATACGACATTGCCCCGACCCTGAGACTATTCGCTCAACCGATGGAGCTCTTACCCCCTCCACCAAAGATCATACATGGCGACGAGCCTCTGGCAGCAGAATACGTCGACCCCATCGCAGGTCATCCGAAGGTAGGACGCAAGGGTGAAACGCTCTATGTCCGGCCGGTCGACCACCTGGAAGAAGGAAAGGATCTTTCCAGGGACGAAACCGACAACGGGCTATTCGAAAAGTCAAGAAGCGTGCCTGACTCTCTTCCAGCCGGCGTAACTGACCCGCCTGGCTCCTTCAACGTCCGGAAGAAGCGGGCCAAGATCGATGGTGAGAAGGCAGGGAAGTACAAGGACGTTCGCGGATTCCGGCTCCACGCCGAGCGAGGCTACACTTTCTGGCGGTTCAACATCGAAGTCGAACTCCGCGAGAAACAACAACGCATTGCCTACCGGATCAACAGGGGCCCAGCAACGGGTTTCTGGGTCCCAGCCAAGGGGCAGGCGATGAACATCATGTTCCACAGCTGCAACGGCTTCAGCCTGAGCGTTGATCCCAACCAGTTCAGCGGCCCCGATCCTATGTGGCGCGACGTTCTCAACACTCACCAGAGCCAACCGTTCCATGTCATGATTGGTGGTGGTGACCAAATCTACAACGACAAGTGCATGCAAGAGACGGAGCTTTTCAAGGAGTGGCTGATGATCAAGAACCCATTGTCCAAGCACAACACTCCCTTCAGCGCAGAAATGCAGGATGAGCTGGAGCGCTTCTACCTGGAGCGGTACGCCATGTGGTTCTCCCAGGGCTTATTTAGCATGGCAGCCTCTCAGATTCCCATGGTCAACATGTACGATGACCACGACATCATCGACGGCTTTGGTTCTTACCCGCACCATTTCATGAACTCGCCGGTGTTCTCGGGCCTTGGCAACGTCGCCTTCAAATACTATATGCTCTTTCAGCATCAGAGCGTAGTGGACGAAACGGAGAAATCCGAGCCAAGCTGGATCCTGGGTGTTCGGCCGGGACCGTACATCCAAGAGGTCAGTCGAAGCATGTTCATGTTCTTGGGCGCAAAGGTTGCGCTACTGGCAGTCGACACGCGGACTGAACGGACCCGAGAGGAAGTCATCAGGGAAGATACGTGGAAGAGAATCATGGACCGGTGTTATGGTGAGATCGAAAACGGGAAGGTCGAGCATCTGCTGGTCCTTCTCGGTGTGCCGGTCGCTTATCCGAGGTTGGTCTGGCTTGAGAATATGTAAGTGTCGCCCTGATCTCCAGTTAAAACGATCGGACGGAGAAGATCTGTTATACTAACTCGGTTTTCTTTTAGCTTGACTTCTCGTCTGATGGACCCTGTCAAAGCCCTTGGAAAGGCTGGTCTTTTCAAAAATCTCCTCAACCATTTCGATGGAGGCGTCGAGGTCCTGGATGACTTGGATGATCACTGGACAGCCAAGAACCATAAGGAGGAACGAGGAATTGTGATCGAAGATCTCCAGGACCTGGCGGCTGACAAGTCAGTCAGAGTTACTATTCTCAGGTAAGCATCAGTTGTCCACCGCAAAACCACTGTCCATGATTTGTCTTGAAGCTGACCATTTTCCACAGCGGTGACGTTCACCTGGCAGCCATTGGGCAGTTCTATTCGAACCCCAAGCTCGGCATCCCGAAGGACAAGGACTTCCGGTATATGCCGAACATCATTTGCTCCGCCATCGTCAACACCCCGCCTCCGGATATGCTGGCGGACGTGCTCAACAAACGCAACAAGGTGCATCACTTCGACCGAGACACAGACGAAGACATGATCCCCATGTTCCAACAAGGTGTCGACGGCAAGCCGCGGAACAACAAGCACCTGCTTCCGCACCGCAACTGGTGCTCAATCCGGCTGTACACCCCCGGGAGCACACCGGACTCCACGCCGGGCCAGTCCGTAAACGACATCAACGCCTACGGCTTGCCTCCCAACAAACCCAGTCTCCTGCGCCGCCTCTCCCTCTCCAAAACACGAAGCAAATCAGGCCCTGCCTACCGCGGCCCGGACAGCGTGCAGCGCGATCGCACCCGCCCGCCTATCTCGAACGCTCTGCTCCGCACCCTCTCCCGCCGCGGCCCAAGCGCAAGCGCTGATCAAGTCGTCCCCGGCGGCCGCGGAAGCCCAGCGACAGCAGGAAAGCCGCCCGGGCTGTTGAAGAGGACGCTCTCGGGTTCTTCCATCAGCGGCAGAGTCGGCGAGTTCTTCCGCCGTCGCAGTAGCGTTAGCGGCCAGCGGCCGCGCGTCGACGACGGCGGTATCAACGGGACCTGGGGCGCCGAGTCGGACGATGAACAGGCTGTCTACGATGATTATGCTCATGTCAGCGATGAGTATAACATTCCCAAGATCCGCGGTGGTGGTGATCGCGGTATGTCTGCCGCTGTAGGCTTGCGCGGTGGAGGAGGTGACTACACTCCCCCGGTGCCCGGCGGTGGTGGTAGCGAGTTCGTAGCCGGTGACGAGAGCTACTTCACTGCCAAGCCGGTCTCCGGTAGTAGCAGCCACCAGCGCGGAGCAAGTGCCGGTAGTATTACCGGTGGACGTGGTGGTGGTGGACCCATGGGCAGCATGTTCGAACAACAGTCCCAACAAGCAACATCCGCCTCCCTACCAGAACGGGACTTTGCATCTTCGTATTCCCAACCTTCCCCCCGCGGCGGCATCTTCCGTTCTGCAACCACAGGCGGCGGTGCGCGGGCCATAAAGCGCGGAGAAGCCATACCGCAAGTCATGGCCGACGGCGCGCTGGAGGTCACGCTCAACGTGGAGATCAGTCCGCGTGACCCCGGAGGCAGCACGGTGCCGTACCGACTGCTGGTACCCAAGCTTTCGTATGAGTACGAGGGCGATGATAATGAGCATGAACATGAGCATGAGCTTGAGCACGATGAGCATGAACATGAGCCGGAGATGAATGCGATGGTGGGGGAGGAACATACGTTGAGTCAGGGGCAATTGCAGGCTTTTATGGAGTCTAGACGGGAGCGGGAGGAGACTGGGATGGAGATGGGGATGGGAAGGGAGGAGTACAAGGAGAAACCGAATAGTGGTGGTCGTGGTGGGGGAATTAGGAGGTTGTTGAGTTTGAAGAGGAATGGGCGATGATCTATCTGGATGATACAAAAAGTATGGGATGTGCTGGGCTGGGATGTGGGTGTGTAATGTTATGACCGAGGATTTGGACTTGCTTTCATTGTTACTAGTCGTGGGTTGGGTTTCATGCGGTCATGTCCTTTAAATGAGATGAGATGTATGTGAAGCATAGGCAGGTACAGATGCATAAGGTATCTAGATAACGATTTAACGATTTGATGACTGCATACTCTCACCAAACCAGCTGCATACTTCTTTGCAGAGCCGATGCTCTGATCAACTGGCCCTCAAGATATGTGTTCAATGCTGGCGCTGAATCTCTCGATGTTCTTCTTTCTATACGAAGGACGATGCTTCTGATTGGTCGCAACCACAGAGGCCCAGATAAGCCGCTATCGCTCTTTTTGGTGGGGATGCGATATGACGAACATCGATGGGACGGGAACTTGTTGAACTGCGCAATCTGTCTTTGATCCTGTTTCCCTCGCCTTGATCGTCCCATACAATTAAATCCCATCTCTATTTTGACTCTTGATCCTATCTTCCAACCCTCCGACTTATCGGACCTCCGAAGTACTCAACCGTCCATATCCCTGTCCTATCGCCGACTGGTTATCGCAGACTCGTAAGTCGACCAACCCAATCGCGACATACGCACCCCTTCGGGCTTTACGACCTACCCGCGATTCTTCCATTACAATTCGATTCGAGCCCGAAAGCACACATCAATTGACTTCGAAGCACATACGAACCTGAAGCCAGCAACATCCAGAATCGATCCTTGCGTCACGATCTACCGAGGCGCAAAGAGATATCAGAAACTACCGAACAACTGCGTTTTCGCAGATGATGGCTTGAATGGCGTCGGACACGGAAACAGATCAACAACGACACCGGGAGGAGGAGGAGCAGGAGCTCGCCCGTAACAGGAGTGCCGAAGGAGGAAAGGCAGTAATAGAGAATGGACACGAGCTACCTTTGCGACCCACGACACCAATAGGCAAGCCAACCACCGGCGCGCGCCCACCTCAAGCGCAGCCAACATCCCCATCCTCCAACGCCGGTTCCTCAGACAACGACAACCTCGCAGGCTCCAGCTCAGTAGACATCTCCCAAGACGATGCCGACGCCTCGTCCGAGCTAGTAACCTCCCCATTAGTGCCATCAGTAACGTCACCGCCATACTGGGCGCACGGCCACAACACAAACAACAACCGGGGACTGGGAACACGGCATACAAGGACCATGTCAAGCGTGTCGGCGGAAAGCGATCTGCCCCTGGGCGCCATCACGCTGCAGGACAACGAGCACGACGACGGGCCGGACGGGGCGAATGTCTATGGGCGAGACCGCAACCGAGCGTGTTGGGCGAAGAAGGTGGATATTGTCGATCACATACTGGTGAATGGGGGGACGGCGAATATAGGGGCGTTTGTGGTTTGGAATATTCGGGTTGAGACTTTGAATGTGCGTATCCATCCAACAATATGGATCTCCAGGGCTGACTGCTACGGCGGTGTTCGAACTGTTTTTTTGGAGGTTGGAAATAACTTCTACTTTGACTAACCATTATTTGTTGAATTACATGTAGGGCTCGCGAATGAACATAAGGAAGCGCTACTCCGAGTTCGACGGTCTCAGGAAACGGCTCGTCCAGACATTTCCCAACTTCGAGGCCGCTGTACCTCCATTACCTCCCAAGAGCATCTTACACAGGTTCCAACCCAAGTTTCTCGAAAAGAGGAGGGCGGGGCTGCAGTATTTCTTAAAGTACGTATTGTCTACTTACCCCCAGATGACTTGACTCCTTCCTCCCTTTCACAGCTCGCCCCTCGGGGCTTTGGAGACATACATGTCGCTAACTGTTTGGTGACAACAACAGCTGCATTCTACTCAACCCGGAATTCTCTGGGTCTCCTGTTTTGAAGGAGTTTCTCTTTTCCTAAGATAACGATGACGATAACGATAAAAACGGATAATGCGCAATGAAAGAGATGATGAACGAACTCTACTACTACTACTTTTGACTCGGAAGAGGTACATAATGGTAATTTGTGAATAATTCCTGGGCTGGATCACTGTTCATGGGTAATGCTGGATGGGTTATGACGATGGCGGACGATGATGAGTTTGAACGGACACGGACACGGACACGGACGCACGGGATGGGATATGCCCGAGAGTCGAGACTCTTTGAGAGCCAAGACATCAGATGAACTACCACAGTAGATGCTACGGACGTGGGAAAACATGTTGAATGATAATGTTTGAAGTAGAGCGGCTGGACCCATCCTAAGTCCCTAAACCGTTTTACTGGCTTTAAAATAAGATCGACAGTGATGTGTTTATACTGTGGAAAAGATGCTGGAGAGACTCCACTTTCCGGGACTTTTCATGATGCTGTCTTGTGTTGAAATGGAAGATGGACCATGAGCCAGTTCCCTTTCCCATGCCATGTAGCTACGATACCAAGTACCCTATGTACATAAATATCGCCGCTACATAGGCCCGGCTCATCGGTCTAAAGAAGAGTTCGTTGTCGAGATCAAGTCTCAAAGTTGCCTCTGGGGCCTGGGCCGGTTTGCCTTGTGCAAAGTGGATTCGGCCGTTATTCTCAACCGGCATGTCCAAGAAGCTCTAGACGTTTCCTGACTCACGGGCGTAGATCCGGGCTCGTGCCGGGCTCCGGGCCAGACAATCAAGGAGCTCTCAGCCGCTTTTGCGGATCAACCAAGCAGTCTGTCTGTGAGTGGACGAAAGGAATGGTGATGGCTCGGGTGTGGATTGGTGGTGTGCTCGAAAATGTGGAAATCGTTCGTATCTTGGTACGGAGTACGGATAGGCACTTGTGGTACTATAGAATCATCGGGTAGATCTGGCACTTCTTATAAGTCGAGAAAGAGAGAGCACGAGAGAGGTCCATCAACCCCGCGTTTGCCAACGAGCTTGCCAAAGCGGGGAGCGATGACTTTGGAGGACCTTCAGTTCTTTTTCAGTCAGTGCATGGGATCTTCTGCGGATCATTTGTATGCGGTCGGAGCAGTTTACGGTTGGGATGTTTTAGGTATTTACAGTATCGATCGGATGGCCAAATATCGGTATCGGATCATTTGTCTGATCCAGCCATCGCCTTTTTCTGAACAATAAAAGGCGGACATCTCGGGCGGCGGTGGAGAATCACGGGCAGCTGTACCACGCCATATGCGGCCATTCTTAAAGATAAGGGAAGAAAAAAACCAATCCACAAAGCTAGGAGAGGTGTATGGTATGATGCTGATGACAGACAGCTAGGTACTTGTCGAGGGCCAGACTTGTGGAGATGCAGAAATGTGTTTGTTGCGGCTATGAATTGAGGCAGGTGAGGTGTCCCCGCCATTCCGTTCCCCGGTTTCGCCGTTGAATCACTTGCTGCCTGCCCAGTGCCTCATCGCCACACAGCAAACTAATACGAGGTGTCTCGATGCAAATACGCACAACCACTGGAATCCCACCGTCAGGTGCACAACAACAACAAAGTCTCCCTTGGTTACAGGAAAGTTGAAAAATCATGTTTCCCGCTTCCAAACACGGCGACCGATACCCTTTTGGCGTATCAGGCGAGAAGAAGGGGTTGATACCCTCGAGGCAACTCCGTCGCCCCCCGAACGGGTCGGGTTCCATCTCCAATTCACACACTGACACTAGTCCTCACTCAGATCACTCGGGCTGGGCAACTTTTTCATAACTGAACCTCGTATGAATGATTGCTGCCTCCGAGCGGCCCCTCATAACGCAATGGACTATGGATATGCTGCAGCATGCATTCAGGAATGCAACCTACCTATGACGGGCCAGCCGTATCCAATGCAATAGAAGAGTTGCTTGCCGTTTTTTCCATTCCCCATACCTACCTACCTAGCAAGATGACGATCAGAACGCCGCAAGCCGCAGGCTGTTGTTGTTGTTGTTGTTGTTGTTGTTGTTGTTGTTGTTGTTGTTGTCGTTGCTGCCGACAAGACGTGTGGGTTTGAAGAGACAAGCGTTCATGTTTGGACCACCATCGATTGGGTACTGGCTTGGGTTTCTTTGTTCTGCCGCCTGGAACCCGGTGTTGTTGATATCCAGAAAGATGTTTAATCCGGGAGAATAATTGTGGATCAACAGTGCACAGCAGCAATCATCAGCAAAGTGCAAGCAAGCCCAGAGGCAAAGCAATTGGAGACCGGCCGCCGCAACGCTCGGTGCATGCCGGTCAAGGCAGTTGTGCACCTCCAAAAGTGTCAATCGCCGTAAACCTTATCGGTAGAGATGCGTGTTGATGCTGGTCACTCTGTTCCCGGTAATTTTGAAATTAAAATTATGGGAATAAGCCTCTAGACCGGGTCTTACCACTAGACTTAAAGCAGGCCAGATATATCCAAGACAGTAGGCAACATCATGGGTTATTTCTTGCTCCAAACTTTGGGGTTCATCCCAAGTTTCTCTGAATGTTCATGTTCACCAAATCGGACATGACGATTCATGCCGGTCTCTACACAACTTGAAGAGCACAGCATGTTCAAGAACAACACCACAAGGTTCATCCGATCATACCCAAGGAACGTCCGTGGAGGTTCCAGCGGACCGTATCCATCAAAGTTATCGATCAGAAGTCCATCCCCATCACACGAGAAATGGGCATCCAGCCTCCTAGCGGCGGAATTGACTTACCGTGATTGGACAACCGGCGGTGCAAAGAGTCCGTATGTGGAGTAACCACATCCCTGCCCCAGCAAGTTCGCTACCGTCGACGCGATGCAACACTCCAGGGATGGGGGAGAATGGACCAGCTCTGCTCATTCAGAGCTCGAATTGTGGACTCTGGGCCTCGGGAGCAGCCACGGGAGTTGATGATCCATCCAGAGCCATCAAAATCTGTCAGTCCAATTTGATGCTTGGTCTGCTAGGGTACCCTGGCCTCCTTTTCCCTTTTCCCTCGTCCTCCACGCTTTTTCTCCGCTCCTTCCTCTATCTCCACTGCCCCAGTGACTTCCTCTCATCTCCCCCATAATCCGGTCGTTTCCTTCCAGATCCCTTGGGACCTTGGCCTGCTTCTAGGATATTCTCCTGATCTCTTAAAGACCTCAAGCGCTGCTGTCCCTCGCTCTGACCTTTTTACTTGCCTGACCTTTTTGCTCTCGTTTCCGTTTGGATCTCTTCAAGTTCAGTTTAGGACCGTCCACTGTCGTTGTCGTTGCTCGTGCTCCCCCGTACATTCCGAGTTTCCTGTAAGTGAGCTTTAATTTCCATCATATTTGAGAGTTGTTTGGGTTCTCTTGGTCGAATGGCATGTCATGGAAGATCCGGACAACGCCGTGATCAAATTCCAGTCTCTCTGTCACATCGAGACGTTCCATGATGATGCATGATTGCTCACCATTATTAGTCTGTACAGAGCGAACGAACTTAAACAATCCAACCACCCATCCACTCGCTCAATATACTTCGAAACCAATCTTCACAATGGTTGCCTACACCACTACCCTTCTGGCTCTTGCCAGCTCCTTGACCCTTGTCTCCGCCGACTACTGGGTCAACACTAGCAATATCGACATTGGCATCAAGAGTACGTCCCAAGCAAGTCGTCCATCGGAGCGTTCCCAGTACTAACCGGACAATCAGAGACCTGGTGCTTGAACGAAATAGCCAACTGCCCCCTCATTTGCCAGCAAGAGGACCTGGGCCCTATCGAGGAAAACGAGTGCAATTCTGTATGTGGATGATAAAGCTTCTCGAAATTGAACGGTGTATCTTCTGTAACGATACTAACCTTTGAATCAGGACACCCTTGAATATTCATGCGTCTGCGGCAACGGCAAAGTTCCCGATTTGGACGAGTACACTCTGACGATTCCTTACCATACTTGCGTCACATATGTTCAGCAATGTATCCAGGAAAACATGGGCGACAACCTTGCGCAGAACGACTGTGCCGAGAAAAACCCATGCGGTGCCAAGTCACCCACGAGATCCAACGCGACCACGACGTCGGCGACTGCTTCCAAGACCGCCAGCCCAAGCTCTTCCAGCACAGGCACTGGCGTTTATGATGGACTTGCCGGCGATGGCACCGATGGCGAGGATTCGAGCAACAACAACAACAAGAAGAACGCCGCTCCCCGTATGTTGGAGTCGGTTGGCGCGACCCTTCTCTTCGGCGGTCTCTTTGCTGGTTTCGCCGTCATGCTCTAAGCTAGAGAGTTGTTGACGTTTGCGATCGTACCGGGTGCGCGTCAAGCTTGCCTTTAGTGGTGATCGAATGTGAAGGCGGGAAACCGGCTTCACAATAAGAGGAAGAAGACCTGTTGAAATTCACCTTCTGACGAAACTCGGAGCATTCATTGCTCTATAGACAGCAGCAGAGTCTGTTGAGGTTGAAAAGGGAGCTCTTCAGGATATGAAGCTGTGGAGGGTGTCATCTATCACATGCCCTCATGGAGAGCCACGACACACTATCATCAACACCACCCTAATATTTCAACAAGTGCATGGACATTTCTGTCTTTTTGTTTATGGCGTCTCTGGAGCTTTATAATGGCATATCCTTGCGGGTTTTTTGATGGAAAAGGAAATCATTTTTTTGTCAAGCGGTTGCGCGGCGTTTCTATTAGTCTTATGTACATGACTACTGTAGTCAACACGCCTTAATTGTGGAATGTCTATTTTTGTGTTACACATCATCATCAACAATACCTTCTTGATTCGGCATCGATCATCTTGTGCAACTTCGCCTATCTTGTCCGTCATTGCTTGGCCTTCAGTCTGTTATGTGGTTCAGGCTATACCGGCTCGACCAGTAGGCCATCCGAGTTTCTGCTGCAATGCTAGCTGTAGGTACCTAGTTGCACGTGAACTGTGGAGTAATGATTCCGTCCCGAGTTGGATTGCTCTGCAGGCACCTTGATGGTCTGTAAAAATAGGTAAGGCTGCTACTCGGTAGAAGCTCGATCACACTGAAACAAAGCGTCATAGGAAGTATATATGTGGATGTACAAATCCACATCGTCGATTGAAAGTTTAGGCGGTGACTGCCTCAAGCAACCGTCATGGACAGGGGGTTTTCACGTATCAGTATTGAACAGGCGCGCCAGCGAATATTTGGGACGGTTTGGGGGTGCAGATCCTGCCCAGCCGCCGCGCGCGTGGATCTCAGGGACTGCAGTTTTACAGAGACAGTTGGCAGGACGGCCCGTTGACACCCTCCTCTTCGTCGGATGTGTATACGTTTCAAACGATGCCTGGGATTGGACCTTCACGACAATAGGCACAGACCTAGATTTGGATGAAGCCCACCCATTCCCAGCGAATTATCAGCTCGTACACTAAGGGGTACGGGTCGTGATAGAACCCCGAACAGCTGTAGCAGGATTCAAAACTTCGAGATTGAGACGGGACTCGTTCGTGTGGAACCGCAGGGATTGGGGACCGCAAAGGTGGAATAAAATTGCCTAGTATACATAGCCAGGCATGATCCTCCGCCGCCTCCTAACAACAAATGTTTTTGTGTTTGGAGTGCCGTCACCGCCAAACTTGCCCCCCGGTTTTTTTTCCTCTCGGGATTTTGTAGCCTTGCTCCCAAAAGCAAAGAGTTGTTTTCGTGGTGGTCGATTTGGCAGCCTTGAATTCCTTCCCGGTACAACTCCTTTAAACATCACGCCCCGCGCTCACTCCGCCCTCCCGTCACCCGATCTCGAAATTTTGTCCGATAAACAACAACTCCCACTCACTGCAGGCACGGCTTCCCGCATAACTCGGTCTCAAGTGGCGGACAATCGACTACGAAAACCAACCCGACCGTCCCTGTGTTTGCCTGGCTGTTTTGGCTGTGGTAGGCAAATCGAGCAAAATGGCCACTCCCAATTTGCTCAGAAGTAACAGTGCGCTACCTTTTCCCTAACAATCCATCCTGTCCCCCTAACAACCTGCCTTGGTTGCTGCCAACTTACCTGCCCCCGCCGGCCTTGTCCAGGTGAGGCAGTTGCCTGTGGCTGCCCTTCACCCGAGGCCGCCCGGATGCCATCTGCCCAAAACCCCACTCTTTCAGTCGTCCATCACTTGCACAGTTGGGCCCTGGTGCACATGTCACCACGAAACCGCAGATTTGTTACTACTTCGAGTTTCTACTTACTGCGCGGTCCATGTCATTGCCATCATCTTCGTTACGTCGTCGTCCACCAGGGAGCTCAAGTCGGTTGTTGCCTCCAGATAGCTTGCTGACATGAAGGATTCGATATCTGCAGAGAAAGCCGCCGCCGAATGCGTTTCGGACGAGGCGCTTATCCATCTCAAGACGTACAAATATTCGGCCGTCGACAAGTCGCCCGTCTCCAATTACATCCTCAAGCCCTACGTATGTCAGCCCTCCGCGCGCGCGCGCGCGCGTCCCCTCGACCCGAGAAGGCCTGTGAATAGTGTGAAGGACATCAATGCTAAGAATTCGGGGCGATAGTGGAATGCCTTCGTCGAGTTCCTACCATTATGGGTTGCCCCCAACATGGTGACCCTGATTGGGTTCGGCTTCATTGTGGCTAATGTCGGCCTCCTACTGATATTCATGCCAGATCTGGTTGGCCCGGTAAGTCACCCGCGAACGCTCCGAAAAACGGAAAGTGGCTTCGTTGCTGACCGATGACCTGGTATTGCCGTATAGGGTCCTTCGTGGTTATATTTCAGCTTCGCTTTCGGCCTCTTCGCATACCAGACGATGGACAATGTCGACGGCAAACAGGCGAGACGCACCGGAACCTCCAGCGGCCTGGGAGAGCTCTTCGACCATGGCATCGACAGTCTCAACTGCACACTCGCTAGCTTGCTCGAAACCGCCGCTATGGGTCTGGGCACCACCAAGGCCGGTGTCTTCACTGCGCTGTGCCCCTGCCTGCCCATGTGGTTCTCGACCTGGGAAACATATCACACGCATACCCTCTACCTCGGATACATCAACGGACCTACGGAAGGAATTCTTATCGCCTGCTTGCTGATGGCGATCAGCGGGTGGTATGGCCCTGAAATCTGGACCGAAAGACTGGCCGATAACCTCCACCTGTTCAGCTTCCTCGGGTTGACCGAAGAGAACCTGGGCGACACCTCTTTCCAGGACATTTGGGTCTACTTCCTGATTGGCGCCATGTTCTTCCACATTCCGTTCTGCATCATCAATGTCGTCAATGCTCGCCTGTCGCGCAACGAGCCTCTTCTTCCGGTCTTCCTCGAGTGGACTCCGATCGTCGTTTTTACCCTCAGCGTTGGTGCCTGGCTCTATAGCCCATACTCGACACTGATGGCCGAGAACCACCTGGTGCTCTTCTGTGTTTGCATGTGCTTCGTCTTTGGCCGCATGACCACCAAGATGATTCTCGCTCATCTCACCAAGCAGCCCTTCCCCTTCTGGACTGTCATGCTCTGGCCTTTGGTGGGAGGTGCCTTCATCGGAAACCTTCCCCGCTTTGGACTTCCTGCTGTCACCGCGCAATTCGAGCACCTTTACCTTTGGGCTTACCTGGTGTTTGCGTTCATCGTCTACTCTCGCTGGGCTTGGCTGGTCACCACGAGCATCTGCGACTTCCTTGGCATCAACTGCCTTACCATTCCCCACGAGAAGCAGATGGCCAACAAGCAGATTGCGAGGGAGATCGCGGCACAGGCTGCCGCCGCCGTTCCTGTTGGCCCCGCTAAGAAGGATTAAGGGGCGGCGCGTAAGCATCAAAGCAACGCAAAGATCCAAAATTCTTTTTCTTGCACCTATTTTGATTCTGGCTTTGGAAGAAGCTTATATATACTAGAATCGAACTACACCATAGAGCGGCCGACACTTGGCTAGACTGGCGTGTGCAGCGTTGCCTTTCGCATATAGACTGGAATGTATTGGTATTGGGATATATACATCGGATGCTCCCGTGGTTGTGGGGGTTTAATGTCTGGAAAAATCACCAAAAAGAGAAACATGAAATGGTGGATGGGATCGTTGGGATCAAGGGCAGGGCGGGCGTTTTGGAAAAGCCGTGGACAGCTCTCCTTGGGTGGGTTGGTCGGTGGTTTTGATGTACTATATTATCGGGACGGAAAGAGATTCATGAAGGATGAGGGATGAGTATGACAGAGTCGAGAAAGGCTCTATAATGAAGCTGGATCTTACATGAGCGAAGGGCTTTCACGAGGCTCAGTCTACAGGGGTATGGTTGTTGAGACCTTCGGGGTATGTGCAATACCCAAGCATCGGCACTCTCTTTGTGCGCGTCAGCATCGCCTTCCTTGACTCGATATCATGTTTGAAATGGTCAGAAGTTGAAACAGAAGCTCACAACCCGCACTAACAGAACCGCCCTGGTCCCTCACCTCCAGGATCTGGTGTTGTTTCCTGCAATCTGGCCCCTTTCCCCGCACATTATTTCTAGGGGTCCCGCACCAAGTCGGCCAGGGGGTTAGAGCCCCAGGTACCGGACCATCCCTGTCCGTCGAGAGCTCCCGTCCCTTCCCTTATTGAGTCTGGACGAAGAATCATTCTTTGTCAAGAGTCACTTCACTAAATCCTTACAATATGAAGCAACGACAGTGATTTACAGACCATGATACGAAAGCTCCCCGGTGTTTGATTTCTTATTCACATCGGTTTTTGGAGGGTATTTTGTGACAAACTTTGGCTCACGGAACTCTGAACGAACAACATAGGAACTAGACGACCTCATGTCACCCGGCCAACAAGACTTTCCCCCAAAACAACTTAAATCGTCAACAACAACAACAACAACAACACGATCTCGATTCAAGCGAACTTGTCCGGAACAACAACTCGGGGCTGAATAATGACCATGGCACAGCACAAAGGGCTTGACACGCCCAACCACCCAAGGCAGCGCTCCTCACGGACAACCTCCCTCTCACGCCGCCTCCTCTCCGCCTTCCTTTTCACAACAACCATCACCACTCCCTTCGGCGTCCACGCCTACACCCCCCTCTCAACCTGCAGCCTCCAACACATCCCCTCCGCGCCCCCCTCTGACTTCGACATCCACCCCGAGTCCAACTCCCTCCTCGCCCCGATCCTCATCCCCCGCGTCCCAGGAACCGAAGGCTCCCGCCTGGTCCAAAATCACTTTGTCGATTTTTTTAGTACTCAACTCCCCGACTGGACTTTAGAATGGCAGAACTCGACCTCCACCACTCCCGTAACGGGAGACCAGCAAATCCCGTTTGCGAATTTGATTTTACGGAGGGACCCACCTTGGGTCAAGGGGGATGCGAAAAAGGAAGGGAACGTGAAGAGGTTGACGCTCGCGGCGCATTATGATTCACTGTACCGGCCGGAGGGGTTTATTGGGGCCGTGGACAGTGCGGCGCCTTGTGCTGTTTTGATGGCGGTTGCTAGGGGGGTGGATTCGGGGTTGACGAGAGGTGGGAGGGGGCTATGACTAGGAGGAAGGAGATGGTGGATAGTAGCGGGTTAGAGGAAGAGGAAGAGGAAGAAGACGAGGATATTAAGGGTGTCCAGATTGTGTTGTTTGATGGTGAGGAGGCATGGGAAAGGTGGACGAGTACGGATTCGACTTATGGTTCCAGGTATGTGGTTACTGCTCCTGCTGCGAGTGGGTTGTTGTTGTTGCTGTTGTTGCTGGTGTCTGCTGTGGTGATCGAGGTGAAAGTTCTGGGAATGCATACTAATAAACCCATTATTTTCCTTGGAAAAAAACAGAGCACTAGCCGAAGCCTGGGAATCCTCGCCCTACGAGGCCTCATCAACCCACTCCAACCGGCTGGAATCCATCAGCCTGCTCGTACTCCTTGACCTCTTGGGGGCGTCCAACCCCCGGATCCCCTCTTACTTCTGGGACACGCACGGCGCATACGGAAACCTGGCGAAAATCGAAGACAGACTACGAAATCTGGGGCTTTTGGAAACGGCTCCCGCTTCTCCCTTCCTGCCGGATAGGAAGAAACCGTATAATCGGTTCACGAGGGGGTATATACAGGATGATCATGTCCCGTTCATGGAACGCGGTGTAAAGGTCTTGCATGTCATACCCACGCCGTTTCCGCCGGTGTGGCATACCATGATGGACGATGGGCAACATCTGGATTTGCCGACTGTGAGGGATTGGGCTAAGATCATGACGGCGTTTGTGGCGGAGTGGATGGATCTCGATGGGGTGCTTGCGCAGGGAAGTTGTGATGTGGAAGAGAAGAAGGGTAGTGAGGGCGGCATGGAGAAAGATGAGCTTTAGCGATGATGATGGGTTGGTAGATTTGGCTAGATTTTTTCATTCACACAGAAGACACTCAGATATAATGGAAACGTCTTCCTTATTACACGATATTGATCATCGGAATGTGTAAGTGATATGGGGACAAAGTGCACCCCTGGTGTGAGCACAGTAATTACCCTCCACGTAATGGTCTTGGCGGACATGGTACGTCCGCTATGCATGGAGCTCTGGCCGCCGTCTGGAAGCTGAACGTGTTCATTGAATGCAGTGCTCCAAAGTTTCACCCCAGCGCATCTACGAATCTCCGAATCCATTGCGCTTTTCCCCTTGAAAGTGTGCTCTGTTTACGAAACGAGCTCCTAACAACATCAAGAAAGATGCGGTTTACTCGGGCACTTTTGCTGCTTGCGGCGGGCGCTGTGCAGGCAGCTTCGTCCTGGAGCTTCGACGACGCCAGTGTGTCGGTTGCTGCCAAGAAGGGCAGTGATGCCGTCAAGGAGAAGTAGGTTCGCGCAACCGCAACATCGTGAAGTTTATGCCCCTTCCGCATAACACCAATTGCTAACGTCCGTTTGCGCAGATTCAGCCAGAAGGCCCCTCTTACGAAACCCGTTGGACTTGGAAGCACCGATACCGTCAAGATCATCTTGACTGCGAAGGAAGATGGCAAGGCAAAGCGGCCACACCAGGCCTTTGTGACCATCAAGGAGCAGGAGACTGGCCTTGAGGCTCCCTTCCCCTTGACGGTCAAGGACACCGGCAAGGCGGTGGTATCGATTGTGAGTTGCTTCATGGCAAGGCAAAGATGGAATCGCTGAGAGCTTGGAGACTAACGGTTCGGCGCAATACAGTCCCAGAAGGATCTCCCCGTCCAATTCCTCTTGTCGCCCAAGCCTCTCAAGGCATCCGTCGTCATCGGCTCCTTCGGCGAAGCTCGCGCTGTCAACACCCCGGTTTTCGACATCGAACTCGAGACGGATCCCAACGCCCCAGTGCCCAAGTACGAAGCGCCCCTTCGCTACGGCAAGAAACCCGAGATTCACCACATCTTCCGCGCCGATCCGCAGAGCCCACCCAAGGTGATCTCTCTGTTCTTCGCCCTTGTCGTGGCTGCTACAGTTCCGGCTCTTTTCATCAGCGTGAGTTACATGGCCCTGGTCCCATATACACGGAGTTGTCGCCGCTGAATGCTAACGTTAACTTTTCTTTACGGCAGTGGCTCTTGCTCGGCGCAAACCTCAACCACTTAACCAAGGCTCTCGGTACCGCGCCCTTGTCACATGTCACCTTCTTCGGCTCCATCGTGGCCATGGAGGGTGTGTTCTTCATGTACTATACCAGCTGGAACCTGTTCCATGTCCTTCCCGTTGCTGGCGTGGTGGGCATCGTCACCGTGCTGAGCGGCACCAAGGCCCTTGGAGAGGTTCAGAGCAGACGTCTCGCGAATGAACGCTAAGCGATCAAGATGTCCATTGGGAGAATGACGACGCACAAATGCCTCTAGGGTGAAGCTCTACAAAAAAGCGTCCGATGTGCAACCTCTTTAAGGCCCTCATTAGGAATGGTTGGACATTGCTTAGGGTTGCTACCCAGATATATGGCGTGACGGATTTGATAGACAAAACTAGAAATACAACTATCTACCAAGAATTGGCCGGAATCATGGCTCAAGTTGGCCAGGGACGGTGGCTTCTTGATTGTCCGGATCAAGTCAAATGATTCGTACGTGGGTCCTTCCACGACTGTCCTAAAGGAAGCAAGGGAGCATCAATGGGCCGAGATTGTTACTCATCGAGAAACTCATCACGGTCAATAATCGTGGAGTTATTTTGGTCTTGGTTGGCCAGACGTCGTGTCAGCCGCTTGCCCTGCTGCCCTATCAAGAGCAGCCGCTGAAGCTCATACACGCCGCACACAGGCGTCGGCTCGGCACAAAGTGAGGTGGTTGGTAACGATCTCGATCTGAAACTTCTCTGTTTGGTTGGCACATTGAGGCCGTGAACTGGTTCTTCGGTCACCTCAACCGGGAAACAGGTGAGACGTGGACGGACCTGACTGCCTAGAACAAGGTGCTCTGCCGGTGGTCTTGCTGGTGGTTTCTCGCTGCCGTGCCTCGTGCCCAACTAGCTGGTTGAGAAGGAAGGGCACATCACTATCGCTCTTATTTCTTCGTTTCCAATTCATCTCGTTCATTTGGCCTGCAAGGACATTCAAACTTTGTACAGCGGACAGCTTCCTTGGGTTTAAATTTGCGACTTGAATCTTCAAAGTCCTGCAAGTGTTACTTTAACTAGAAGGTAGCGGAAAGACCCTACAGCCAGTGAGCGATAGGGGAAGCGTTAACAGCTGCACAGGGCAGTGAACGAGCAGGTTCCCGGTTTGAGGTGTCCACCACAACACGCCGACCGTGGCTGCCCCACCTCTAAGTACCCTTGTAGTGGGTGTAAACAAATGCAGCAGCAGATGGACAAATGAGAGCTCCAGTTGCCATCAGATCGCGTTTTCTCTAAATTCCCAGCCTGCCACTTCCACTTGCACCCACACATACCGTTTTCTTTCCACCGAGTCGCATCCAAACCCGCTTGGCCCTGTCCCCTGCCAGGTGCGACACCATTGACGTTGGGCTTCTTGGAACTTGCAACTTCAATTTGACCGCGTCGCATTTCGATTTTGCTCACCAATCCAGCATGCGCACAGTGTCTCGGTTTCCTGCTCACCTGCCAAGCGCTTGTTCTTGATCGCTTTGCTTCCTTTTGGACTCGACGACCTTCCCACGGACACAACCTTCCCTTGCTACCACTTGCGACCCGCAGAAAAGAAAGCGCAACGCGCTCGAGCGAGTGTTGTGTTGTCGCTGCTTGCGCCTGCCCTGATTCCGGTTTGGCTAGAGGGAATCCGTCCACCGACCGTGACGCTGGCCAACACCACGCTCGACGCGCCCCTCCGACCTCGATTCCCAACTTGCTATGGACATCAACAGAAATACCAATTCCCATAATAGCAAACCGAAGCATATCTCTAGGTTAAAACAAGAGATGTACCAACTACGACTTAAGAACAACCCTTTCGGCTCTCCGCCCTCCTCCACCGGCGACCATGACACGGTTAGCACCACGACCGACGACCTCTCGCGCAACCTTTCCGCCTTCTCCTTTAATCCCGACGACGAGGGCACTCGCAAGGCTAGCGAGGACTACAAGCTCCCTACCAAGCGACACGCTACTCGCTCCGGCCGTTTTTGGCTCTCGGCAGCAACAAGAACATCAACAGGCTACCATGCTGAACACCTCGGCCATCGGTCGCGCCTTTCCCGAATGGACTGGCCCAATTAACGACACGGCCCCAACAACGACACGGAACTTCGATACCAACATCGCCTACAATCCATATGCCGAAGCTAAGAACCGCAAAGAGAATGTCCGCCCTATCACCGAGCTAACGGAGGAGCACCTCCTCAACTATGGGTTGGATCCTAAGAAGAAGACCCGTGTGGAGATGCAGCCCCGAGTTGAGAACGAGTCTGACTGCTCGACCATTCTCTCCAGATCGCCTGGCCGGGGCGCTCGTCGCTCTCGGTTCAACAACACCCATATGGAAAACAGAGCCGTTTCCCCTGAAGTTCCCAAGCGCTCTCTTCAGGATATCGTTTCCAAGATTCGTACCGAGAAGGAAGCCAACAGAAACCAGCTATCCCAAATTGCGATGCCGCAGAAACAATCCCAGCCTACTCATGCCAGTCTTAACACTTTCCTGAACTCGGACCTTGCTGCGGATAAGACCAACGTAGGCCCTACTGAAGGTCGATCTTTCTTTCTTCCAGCTTTTAGACACCTGCCCGACTGGACATCAGGAGCCCTCAAGTTCAATGCCATGAAGGATGGCGTCCCTGTTTTCGTCAAGTCTGGTAAGAACGGCGTACGGCTCGGTCAGTCCGGCGACCACGAACCCATCAATGCTATCGGCATTCCTGAGGAGGACGAGCAGATCTTTGTCTCCATGGATAAGCTTCAGGAGGAGGTCCGCGAACTTCATGATCATGACGCCATGCTCCAACGCGAAGCTGAGAAGCTTCAGCGGGAAGTCAACCAGCTCCAGTCTGAGCTTAAGCGTTACAAGACTAGGAGACCATCGGACAGTGCCATAGGATCAGACTCCGATGGCTCATTCGGGAGACATGCTCAAGCAAATGGGTACCAGCTTGAGACCCAGATCGCTCAGCTTCAGAATCGTCTTGATCAGGCCAGCAGGCAGGTGGGAGTACAGGATATCCACAGTACAGCACTCGCAGCTGAGCGCGATGAGGCCTTGCATCAGGCGTCACTTGCTCGGGAAAGAGCGAAGCGACTACAGGCAGAGCTTGAGTCTACACAAAAGGACCTCGAGTTCACTCTCCAGTACCGCAAAGACAAGGACTCCCTCCAAAATGAGAACATCACTCTACGCACTACCAACGAGGACCTCAAACAGAAAAATGAGGCTCTCTCGCAAGCGAACCAGGAGCTTTCCTCAAAGTACGACAGACTTCGCCGGGAACAGCTGTCAGCACACAAAGACCTGGCTTCAGCCCAGGAGGAACTTGCCTCTTTGCGCAAGAAGTACGATGCTATGCTGGAAGAGAAGAAGCTTATCGTTCAAGACCATGCGAGCATGGAACGTAACAATGAGAGCTACTTCAAGGAGACCAAGAAGCTTCAGGCGCAAATTGCCGCCAGGGATCAACATATCGCCGACCTCAAGAGGGGAATCAGCACTCGGGATCAGATGATCGACAACATTGGCGGCTTGACAACAAATACGGCAGTCATCGAGCTCAATGCTGAGCTGGAGGCCGAGATTTCGCAGCTGAAGCATAAGCTGCAGCAACAACAAGCTACCAGGACTGATAAGGATGGGTCAATCAGCGCCAAAGAAGGCAGGATTCGCGTTCTCAAAGAGCAGAATCTTGAGCTAGAGTGCGAGAAGCAGAAGCTCTTGGAAGAGAACCAGCGGCTCCGCGCTGAGTATGAGGAGATGAGGAACCAGTGGATCGATGATCGTCATAAGGTGGTTCGACTCAACCAACTCCTCACCAAGAACAACACCGAGTTTCTCAAGTCGATGAACGACAACACTGAAGATTGCGTCCGGTTGGAGGAGGACTTCAAGAACAAGGAGGCATCTCTCCGTCAAAAGCTGGAGCGCCGAGAGGCAGCTATCAACAAGGTCAAGCAGTTGACCGCCCAGATCAACGAGATCTCACAAAGGGAACTTTTGGGCAAACCTACAAAGCTTACACGGATCGTCGAGCCGAAAGATGCCACTGGCACTAGATATGCTGCGAGCGATCTGACTGGGAAGAGCGGTACCATGAACGTCGACGACGATCCGACTAGGGAACTTAACCTGACCCAAGGGACCGATTTTGCCAGCATCATGGACAACGAGATTGCGAAGTTGAAGCAAACCTACCGGGATTTCGAAAACCAGCAGCGACAAAGCGAGAACGATAACATCACGCAAGCGTCGCAAACAGGTGATGCGGCCCAGTCCAAGAATCAACCGGCCGGTATCCTTAAGAAGTCGAGTCGATTTGGGTTCAACGAAGATACTGGCCGTTTCAGCGTTAAGTCTGCTTTCAGCGTCGCCAGTCACCACACCGACGATGAGTCTGTCAAGACTGCAACTACCAGCAAGAGCCGCCGGCCTTCATCAATGGGTGTTCAGGGTCAGGAAACTTCACGGCCTGCATCTCGCGTGCGGCGAAACTCGGACAACCCTACCATCACGACGCAGACCGATAAGCAGTCGAACATCGGTCAGTCGGTTCCCGCGCTAAGCAAGGAGGCTCGCCGGGTCCTTGATCAGATCTGCAACCACAAGTCAGATAACTGCAATGTTTGTGTTCGTATCGCAGCGAACGGGTATCAGACTAACCCATCCACCAAGGCCCCAATTACTGTCGACGATATGAGAAAGGGGAAGAAGACTGTTCGCGTGGACAGGCCTGTCCCTGTCTCGGATCGGGCGGTTGAGGCCCGCGGTACCTACGAGGAGGAGCCAACCATACGTCCCGCCATGGCGCCAGGAGATGCGCTTGCGGTACTGATTAAGGAGATTGGCGATGAAATCGAGCACCTTCAGATTGAGCTGAAGCGTGTGAATGAGGTTTACTTCAACCTGGACAAGTCTACCGGACAGCGCGAGCGTAGGCGGCTCATAGGAGATATCAAGAAGTTGCAAGCCGAGCTTGAGACAAAGAGCGGGCAGCTTTACAAGCTGCACGACGTTCTTGAAGGACAGAAGGATGCTGGCCAGCTTATGGACGACTCCGAACTTAATATCACCATTCTGAGTGATCTGCTTCGCGTTAATGGCGCAACTGAGAACAACCAGGAGGCTTCTTGGAATGGGTTTGATGAGTAGAGCTGGTCGAGCGTGCGGCACTGATGATGATGAACTTGGTCAGGGGCGTTTTGGCATTTTCTCGGAGCACGTTGCATGGGTTTGCTTAATTCTCTGGACGTTTTGAGCACTTGGTTTGTTGCTCTCTGTCTTGATGTCGAGCATGGCAAAGGGGTTGGTTGTTACAAAAGTTGTTCAGCCGGTTTGCTATGGTATGGGCTTTAGCCAGGGTCTTTTTCTCATGAGGAATAATTTTGTGGTATGATTTTCTCCGTGGTCGTATCGGTCACGGCTCGGGAGCATGGTTCGAGGTCTTGATGTATGGGTTATAGGAAGGCTACAGGATTACAAATACAATTGACAAGCCCATTGATGGGTTCAAAAAAATGGCTTGAGTCTTCGACCTGACGAACTGTTGTCCGCGAACCATCGTCATTCTTTCGAATGGATCGAAAGCCGAAGCATGAAGAGCCTTACAGGCAGTAGGTAGTCGGGTAGCCTCTCTTTTGAACAAAACATTTGTTGATAGCGAAAAGAGCCTTACTGCAGTAGATACATTCGGAATTAAAACACATGCATTAACTTCATTATACCATGCTCGTTGTGTTTGTTTATGTTCAGTCCGTAGCCCCTTTCACCCCCTGATCGCGATGATCCAGGCGTCTAGAAGCTGCTACCGGCCCGATGCCAGCTGCCCGCTTTCAGGCCTGCCTGCAGCGGCACCGTTTGCTGCCACCGGCAGAGCCCCGCGGCCTGAACTTTAGTTCCAGTTCATGACAACCTACGCCAGGCACGCGCATCCACCATCACAACCACTTTACTTTCAGCGCGCCAAACGAAACACTCCCGCTTCTCCTACCAACCAACAATTAAATCCGACCACATACACCAAACTTTCAACGCGCTTATCCCGAACGCACTACAAACTACCGTCCGACTCCTCTACGTCAACGCATCTTACTACCCAAATCAGCAACAATGGGTGACGACATGGAAGTCGATGATGCGCCCCTCTCTCCTCAGCAGGAGCAGGAGGAGGGTGCTGCTGCTGCCTCCGGCGGCGCCAACTCTAGCAAGGTCGCGGCCATGCAAACCCACACCAAGGCGACCGCCGTGCGCTCCATCGAGGGCTGGATCGTCATGGTGACCAACGTGCACGAAGAGGCCGACGAGGAGGCCATCCAGGACAAGTTTGGCGAGTTTGGCGAGATCAAGAACTTGCATCTTAACTTGGATAGACGGAGTGGTTACGTCAAGGTTTGTTGTGTCTCTCCTCCGTAAACTGTAGTTGTAAGATTATGCGATATAGTAGCTGATCACGTTTCCTGATCCCAACAGGGCTACGCATTGATTGAGTATCCTACCCTCGAAGAGGCCCGCGCCGCCATCGATGGCGCCCACGAGACGAAGCTCCTCGACCAGACTATCCAGGTCGACTTTGCCTTTGTGCGACCACCCCCGGGCAAGACCGGCGGCGGTGGCCGTGCAGGTACTGGCGGAGGCGGCGGCGGCGGCGGCGGACGCAACGGCCCTGGCAATCGCAATAGGGGTGGCCGGAGTAGGAGCCGCAGCCCCGTTGGCAGGGACGATTGAATGCCTACGGGATAACACATTTCGACCTCATCTCTCGCAACAGTTACGGCGGAACCAATGTGATGGACGGAAATACCTCTTGGGGCCTGGGAATTTGGCTTTCCATTCTACCGCCTCTCATTACAGCATTGAGGAGCAGCCAACTGGCGTCTTGCGAGAACGGGTGGAATCATACTGGGATGGCGCGGCTTGCTGCAGATCGCTTCCTTGATCTTCGGCCGGACGGACAATGACCAGAATGGAAAGGAGGAAAGTCTGAGGAGACATAACATTGGAGAGACAAGTTGGGTTCAGGTAGAGACAGACCTGTAAACCAAGAACTACACTCAAGTAGCCGATGTGTCGTCTAAAGAGACCAAAATTCAAGACACGTCGGCGCGTTGCCACGGTCTAAACAGGTATGTTTGTCTTTCCGCTCTCTTCGTCCGGAATGTAACTAACCAAACTTTTTTTGCTTAGGACCCTATATTGGCCTTGTATATCCTTGCTGTGCGAAAGTGTTTGCAGTGATTATACCCAGCGCGAAGAGAACTGAGGGCTTGGAGCCTGCTTCGAAGCTTGCATCATCTTCGTTGGGCTTCAACTTTATGACAAGTCTGCAACTCCACGGTGACAGGCTAGCGGCACTTGAATGAATGGGACCATTCTTGGCCGCAGAGGGGCACTTGGCAACGAACAACAAAGGCAGATGGATTTCATAGGCATCCGTACCTACTTGTTCTATGCTCGTCGGTTGTATCGGCTCCCTTGGGCGTGAACCAACAGGCAGTGGATGGAAGAGCGTCGGCTTGACATCGTCGCAGCACGGGTCATTGGACAATCCCTGAAAGGATTGCGCGGTCGATACAAGGGCTTTATGTGACCCATCTCGGCCATACCTATCGCCTTGCCCATTGGCAGTTGGCAACAAGAGTCGCGTGTCGTCCTTCCCATTCAGTTCATATCATGGTCATCATTCCTTAGCGCCAAGCGGACGAACCCACAATGCCGGGGCTTGGTAAGGCTGTGACGGAAGCGCTGAGCAGGAACTCCTGTCAGACTCGGCATTGCAGGAGACATCTGCTTCCATGAATAATCATTATCTTTGCATTCGCATTTGCATTTAAGGTAAATGGTTTGCTGATCTTTGTCTTGAGCGTTCGTTCGTTCCTAGTGGAATTTGCACATGTTCTTGGAGCCCTTTTCTCACAATTCCCATCTTTATTTGTCAGACTTCAAGGTTACAGCTTCCGGCCTATGCAGATGTGCTATAATCAACGCTCTATTTTCCTAGATGGATCACTATAACACAGCAACGTCATCATCCGCCACAGCGGCAGGGGTACCCACGCCGGCCTTATCAGGAGGCACATCACCGCCTGAGACTCGAGATTCAAGAGCACGATCACGATCAGAGCCCAAACCTACCCCTGATGTCCCTCGGGCTAGGTCAACCAGTACCAAGTCTTATCTTTCACTCCCAACATCAGCTCTTCGTCAGGGCTATCTAGACTCGCTTGTGCCACCAACGAGCAAACAATTTGACCAAATAGCCGCGATCCAGGCCGAGCGTGAGGCCCAAACGAAAAGAAAGCAGCTCGAGCTTCGCCGGCGATGTCTTGAACATAACCAAATGCAATCGAACCTTTTGCAACCACCAAAGGATTATGGCAGCCCGACAGAGCCCGTATCTCGCCGCTCCCGAGCACTTTCCATCACCGATCGTCTGGGCATTACACGCCAAAGAGCCGACAGTGATAACAGCCCTCGTGCCAAAGCTGCTGCTCTTATACAGCGAACCTATCGGGGCTACCGTGTCCGTCGTCAGCTCAAAGACCTAGGGTTGGACCCTTCCACGAGATGGAAGCATGCAGTCCGTGAGGCTCAATGGCGCGAGCTAGTTAAGCCTCGCTCTCGGAAGAACTTTGGGTTTGTGGATAGCGGCATAGGCATGTCGGATGACGGGGAGTCTAATGCACAATGCTCTACAGCTGAAAGCCGATCGTCGATAGCACGGCAAAACTGGAAGAAGGTCGCCACCATCGCACGTCGGGCAGCGGCGGATGTAGACGGTGATGGTTACTCTAGCGACTCTTCTTCTTCCTCGTCTCACCCCTCATCGTCGTTGCCCGGTGCAGAGTCAGGCGAAGAAAAGAGGAAGAGAAGACAGCAAGAGCGCAGAGCTTTGAAAGAATCCAAGGAGCGACGAAAGGCCGCCGCGAGAATGATGGGGCTTCAGTACCTTCTTGAGATGGTAGACCTGAAACACCGATACGGTGCCAACTTGAGGGTCTATCACGAGGCCTGGAAACAAGCCGACACTGATGAGAACTTCTTCTTCTGGCTGGACCATGGCGAAGGGCAGGCTTACGACTTGGAAACGTGTCCCCGTGAACAGCTTGAGCGAGAACGAATCCGATATCTTTCCTGCGAGGAGCGACAGCATTACCTTGTTAAGGTGGACGACGAAGGCCGTCTACGTTGGGCAAAAAACGGGGAACTCATTGACACATATGGAGAATGGAAGGACTCGGTCCATGGCATTGTACCCATCGATGATCCCACTCCTGCATATGTCCCAGCCAACGACTCAGAACATGAGACTTGTCTTTTCGGCCATGATGGTACTGGGTCCGAGTTGTCTGAGGACGAAGCAGCGGATGAATATGTATATCCGCCTACAACTAGCGACGGCGTTCCTACCGCAACCAAAACAATCAAGCGCTTGAAGAACAGCCGTCACATCTCGACCAGCATAATCGTCGACAAACTCCTCCGCAAATCCGTCCGCAAAAACACCTGGATCTTCGTCGCCGACACCAATTTCCGCCTTTACGTCGGCATCAAAAGCAGCGGCGCCTTCCAGCACAGCTCCTTCCTGCAAGGTAGCCGCATCTTTGCCGCCGGGTCCATCAAGATCAAGGACGGATGCCTGACGAGCCTGTCGCCGCTGAGTGGGCACTACCGCCCTCCAACATCTAGTTTTCGTGTGTTCATGCGGAGCTTGCAAGAGGAACAAGGGGTTGATATGAGCACCGTGACGGTCTCCAAGAGTTACTCGGTCCTGGTGGGCATGGAGACGTACGTGAAGGTAAGGACTAAGGGTAAAGAGGCGGTTGGAATGATCAGGTATCAGAAAGATAGGGTATTGGCGCCTGAGAGGTATGAGAAGCGGGAGGAGGAAGCAAGGGATACGTCTAGGAGTGCCGCAAGAGAGCGAGAGGTTGTTGAGCATGAGGAGCAAATGATGAGGAGGAATCATAGCGTAGGTGGGCAGTTGCTGCAGAAGCTCGGGATATCTCGGCTTGGTACTAGAGAACCGGAGTGACGGACTGACATCAAGTTCGCTAGACAAAAAAGGGAACTTGAAGTTGGTCTAAGGTACTGTAGCATAGAGAAAATATTTCTCCCGCGCCCCTCAGTTCCCATCCCTCATCGTCGACCTCGAGATGTCTTCCCACTCCCTAATCAACCGCAACGTATCCTCGCACTTCTTCCTAATAACCTCCAGAGCATCTGTCCCCAGCGCCAATCTAACAGGAACCTCTCTATCCTTCGCCACGCCACTCTTAGTCAACACATCCACGATGACCTTTGCAGACTTGTCAACATCTCCGGGCTGTTTCCCGTTATATGCTTCCAGAGCATCATGCGCCGCCCCCACGGCAGTACCTTCATATGCCGCAATCTTCCTTTCCGTCACGACTCGGTGGTCTCCTCCTCCTCCTCCATCAACACCACGCTTCAGGAACCCCGTCTGAGTGTATCCAGGCTCGATAACGCACACGTCTATCCCGAAGGGCTTCAATTCCTCCGCTAGACCCTCGGTTAAGCCGCTCACGGCGAATTTGGTGCTGCAATCTGTTCAAGGCAAGGTAGGCGTTAGTTAGAACTCGGTCAAAGATTCAGAATAACAAGGAAGAGAGAAAGGAGGAAAATTAAACTCACAATGCGCAACCCCAGCCCCGGACCGCCAACTCCCCAAACTCCCGAAATTCGCCAACGCCACTTGTTGGCCAGGAACAGCCGCCGCCGCAGCAGCTCTAAGATACTTCACAACAGCCCTCGCAACATTGAATGTCCCTAGGACATTTGTGTTGTAGTGGTCAAAGACTTCCTTGCTGCTGGCCTCCTCCACCCCTCCCTCTAAGATATACCCAGCGCAATTAACCACGTGCGTGATCTTTCCGTACAGGGCATTCGCCTCCGCCATTTTTTGGTCTAGTGTATCGTCGGAGCTGGTGACGTTGAGGTCCATGACTGCCGCACCGGCGGCTTGGAGCTCAGACAGACGGGAGGAATTTCGGGCTGTGGCGATTACGGCGTACCCCCGGCTGAGGGCCTCGAAGGCGATGGAGCGGCCGAAGCCGGAGGTGCAGCCGGTTATTAGCCAGACTGGGGTTGAGGATGTTAAGGTTTGGATGGACATTATGCTTTATGTTGTGTATGTTGTGGCTGGATAGTGAAAAGGTCAATCAAGACAGCAGTGGTTAGATAGATGACTGAGGTATGTAGTTGTTGTGTTTTCGAGTGTTGCTGGATATGTATCAGGTGGCTTAGAAGTTACCTACCCTAGTGTGCACTCTCTCCCCTTTCATCTTCAGTTTAACGTTGAAGAGACCGGAGTCTTTATACATGTCCATCCATTACCTCACATTCCTCTGCCCCAAGTTCTCTATCTTCAACACCAGAAGGACAGAGTCACGGAGTTAAACTCATGAGCTAAACGCCGCGAGAGACACAACGCAAGGCCAAGCAAGCCAACGGAGTTAGGCTCTGCCATCCAGTTCGTGTGCCATTGAGAATAGATTCACAACAAAGCAGCATGCCTCTCGAGAACGCCCTCGTTATTAACCTTCGGATTAGAAAAAAATGAAACGCTGCAGGTAAGGTGGTGTAAGTACTAACACCGACAAGAAGAAACGCTGATTGGTTGAAAGGCTGGCTTAACGCCGATAAGTCTTCGGACATGGACTTAAAGACCGGTTCTTCCCAGCCAATTCCTCTCTATGGAACGAACTTTAGAAATCCGTCAGAGACGGCCAAGGGAGTAAACACAGGTATCAAAAAGGGAATGGACTCATTAAATAGAGAGGCAGGGGTAGCTAGCCTTCACCAAAACGAGCCGTTCGTGTTGCTCGCGGGGAAGTCCCACCACCAACCCTGACCAGCTGGCATCACCACCAACCCAGATACCCACCTTCTATTCTAACCATCCCCTACCCTGCAAAAATGTGAAAACCCACCACCATCAACATTCAAAAATAAAAGATATTGCGGTTTGTGTGGATCGAACACACGACCTTCAGATTCATGAGTGAAGTGGACTTCAGTCTGACGCTCTCCCAACTGAGCTAAACCCGCTATCGATGATTGTTTCATACAAATGCTTATCTTAAGATGGCAGGCCTGAGGTCAAAAAGGATTGTTTCATTTTACTGTTATCAAACCTTCAGGAGCCCTATATGGACATGTGCTGTAGATGCGTATGGGTCTCATGATGCTTTACAATCATTGTTTGGAACTGACAAAAGATTCTTCCTCCGGGAAACGGGTCTAAGAAATTCGTTAAGTGGACGGTAGCTATGGAACTGGGTATAGGACTGTTAAACGAGAACGACAGCCATCTAACCGTCTATCTACCTGATGTATGCCAACAACCCTCCATACCGAACTGATCGTTATCTATGATTGTACTGCTCATGGCTAGTCATTAAAACTTGGTAATATAATGCGCGGCCGCCTGATTCAAGTGAAACGAATAAACATGGCATCGAAGGTCGAGTGAGAAAACGCACGAATACAGCGCCTTTCTAAATATCAGACGCTTGGAGACACACTCGGTCCCAGTGGTTCGCTCTTTGATTGAATCCTTCGGGAATAGACAGGGTACTTTAGTCCCCCATAACTAGGAGTAGCTCCCCTGGATGGCCCAGTCTGTGAGCTAGTTTCCTCTTCGCTTGTCGCTACCATAGACTTTGAATATTCTCCGGTGCTGCAACCGGCATTTACCGGAGGCTGCACAGTCTGGAATGACTGATACGGCGCTGGGACCATTATGATCGGGGAAGGGAATTGTTGCACCAGTTGTATCGGAGCGATCCTCGCAGGACTGGACGGCGGCATGTTCTCGAGGTAGTCTCCGCTGTTGCAATTCAGTCTCATCGGACTCATAGTGACCCGCGGCGACGACGCAGCGAATGATCGAGGCGTGAAGGTCGGGGCAGCAGGGTTCAACTTCAAATGCTACATCGAAATATGGTTAGAGACAGCCAAAGATGTATCATGCTTAATATAAGAATAATACATTATTGGTTGTTCTATACCTCTTTCTGACGGTTTGGAGTGTCCTTTGCCTCGGTTGCCGGATAATCCTGCTGGTTAGCAGGTCTAACCTTGAGCGCCGTAGAGCTTTTGACTTTCGCCATTTCTGACTTTGTTTTGTCAGGGGTCAAATCGTTGACGATGCCTGAGACCTTCTTTACCGATGCCGGCTTGGTCTCAGTAGCGTCCTTCGCTTTCGGTTTGATAAAGATCTGCTTGGACCAAAGCTCCGCGTACTTTCCATTTGCTTGGATCAGGTCTTCGTGGCTCCCCTCCTCCACGATTTCTCCGCCGGTAACAACCATAATCTTGTCGGCGTTCATAATAGTGGATAGTCGATGGCTAAGTCTCTGTTAGTGTGGCAGACAACGGTTGATGACTATGTTAAACATACGCAACAATGAACGTGGTGCGTCCTTTGCACAGTTTACCAAGTGCCTCCTGAATCTTTTGCTCTGTCTCGGTATCGACTGCAGACGTAGCTTCATCAAGCAATACAATGGCAGGTCTCTTCAGGATGGCGCGCGCGATTGCCACCCGTTGTAGCTCGCCGCCAGAAAGTTTGACGCCACGTTCACCGACGCGGGTCTGGTAGCCTTCGATATTATTAGCTTTCACACTCAATGTCAAAGACCAAATTATCCACTCACCGTCTGTAAAGGTCAAGATTTGCTCGTGGATGCTGGCTGCCTTGCAAGCTTCGTGAACCTCTTCATCCGTGGCTGTAAGCTTTGCGTAACGAACATTGTTCATGATCGTGTCATCAAAGAGAATAGGGTTCTGCGGTACGACGCCGATTTGGGCTCGTAAGCTATGCGTTGTATTAGCTTCTCCGCCCGGAAGATATTCGCTATTGGTACTTACCTAAACAAATCAACATCCCGAATGTCTTGCCCATCGATTTTGATTGATCCACCTGTTATATCATAGAAGCGGTCGAGCAGTTTGAGCATTGTCGATTTGCCAGCTCCTGTAGCCCCGACGAAAGCCACACTTGTTCCAGGAGCTGCCTGGAAGTTGACGTCCTTCAATATCGGCTTTTTCTTGTCGTAGGAGAAGGATACGTTCTCGAATTGAACATGTCCTCCTTGAAAGTCGAGCGGCGGTGCCCCTTCTTTGCTGAGGACAGTCGGCTTCATTTGCATGATTTCCAGTAAGGACTCAGCGCGAATCAGATCACCCGAAATGCTCTTCCCGAGCGAAGCAAAGAAGGTTAGCGGGGAAACCAACTGAGACCAGTAAGTCAGCAACATCACAAACTGGCCTGGAGTTGCTTGCCCTTTTGTGATCTGGCTCACAGCAAGGAAAGCCCCAGCAAGAAGACCGCAAAGCAAAACCATGGACTGGAACGCATAAGCCAGATAGTACCCCAGGAGGACTCTCCGATATTGCTTCACGTTGTTGTTAACAGCGTTGGAATAGCGGGTCTCCTCGTGGCCGATCTGATTGAAAGAGCTGACAGTTGTCCAGCCCTGAATGCCAGCATGACGGACGTAATGCTCCTCAAAGTAAGCGCTCACTTGGCTCTTTCGAACCTCTTTTAGTCCTGAAAGCATGATCGTCGTGATGTAACAGAAAACGGTTGCTGTCGCAATGGTGATGAAACCTTCGTAGGGACCGAATGTGACCGATAGGTAGATAAACGCGACTCCCATGTCAATGAGCATGGGAATAGCTTGGAAGCATATAGACTCAAGCATATTTGATATGTTGGTGCCCGACATAATTGCCATCTCCACATCTGAGCAGCTCTTGGAATCGTGGAAGTCGGAAGATAAGTTGAGGACATGCGAATATGCAGCCGTGGAGATGCGAGCCGTGGAAAAGCTCTCAACTGGAATCCATAACCACTGGCGCAAGAGCGAAATGCCAGCTTCGGAGGCAATGAGCTTGAGACCTGCAAAAATGAGAACCTGTGCCCATGGATCCTTGTGATTGACTCCCCCAAGACTGTCCATGACAATTCCTATTTGCCGTGGGATCAAGACATGGATGAAGTTCATGGCAAGCAAGCAGCAGCCGACGAGAAAAACTCGGAACTGAAGCCCTCGGTTGCCGACGGGCCAAACATACGGAAAGAATATCTATAAAAAAAAGTTGTCAGCATTACGAACAAGTGACTTTAAACACAAGCCGATGAAAACGAACCATGAAGCTCTTGGCGTAGGTGACCCAGTTCCCCTTCTCTTTCAAGCGTTTCTCCATCAACTCGGCTGCCTGTCGCTGACGTCGTTCGTAAGGGGACTCGATGCGATCATTCGAAGGGGATGAGCTTTCATCGGTTGGAGTTGTCGAGGTAGATCCATAGCCATTAGTAGGGTTCTCGCCGTCCTGGCTAGCGGATACATCGGTGGTTGAACTGCTATTCGATGCCTTCAGCAACCCTTGTCTCTCGGCATCAGTACCCTTCTCCCGTCTGAAGCTGCAAGTAGCTTCAATGTGAGCCGCTACTGCTAGGGTCAGAGCAAGGTAGCGGGCGGCAGTGATGGAGATGGTCAAGATATCGGAATAAGTCAGGGTAGATGGTGGTCGAGCAAGAAAAGAGAGGGCCGCAATCAGGGGCTCGAAAAGCAATGCTATGACGAACGATCCAATGAAGGGGTACCACACGGGGGCCTTTGAGTGTACGAGTCCAGCGAACTCGACGCCAAATACCAGAATGGACGAAAGGAGGCCAATGATAATATCTTGCTCGGCAGGGAGTGTGTGTTGGATGAAGGATCTGATACCCAAATCAATGAGCTGTGCCACAAATGTGAGGATGATGAGCACGAGCAGCCAGAGAATAAAACGTCGGCGACCGTGGTTTTCTTGTGCTGATTTAGTTTGCAGGGTGCACACAGCCAGCGTTGTCGAAATAATGTAGTAGGCAAAAACAGCCGTAGGATAGCCGTAATGGAGACAGAACAAAGCCTGTTTGACCCGAGGATCAACGTCGGCATCTTGGGCCATGCTGTCGTCCTCTGGGCCCGGCATCGTTTGAACGGATAGATGAGAGTCGGGTGAGAGGCTCCCGGAGGCAATGCGGCTGGAGGGATGTCGTGGTGTTGGTAAGTGGTGTGTAATCGACCAAGCAAGGTTGGTTGTATGGGTGGGTAAGCAGAACTGATCTGCCGTCCTTCGTTAGCTTTCCCAAAATAGCAGTTCGTGAAGGTTTCGCTGGGAGATGGGGAATCTACCTGCTGGCCCAAGCTTCTTTTTAAGATCGTAAGTATTGAAAGACGGGTAACAGGCCAGCTAGTTGCGCCCGAAAATTATCGCCGCGGTACCGGACAGCTTCTGGCTGGAAGTCCGGGAATGGTGGTAGACAAAGACGAAATGGAGGGGAAGGCAATGAAGTCGTGTCTCCAAGCAGTTGGACCACGAAAACGTTGAACCCACTTAGAAGCAGTGGTACCTTCCTTGATATTTTTGTTGGATGAATGGGTCGGCTGAAAGCTTCCATTCGTTTGTCTGGGGACGCGTCTGAGTTCAGAATGAAGGGCAACTGACGGGAGGCTTATGTCATTTCTTTGTGAGGCAACCTAAGTTCGGGAAGGTGTGGGACAGCGCGAGGTCGCCGCGAAAAGCTCCACGAGGTCAGGCAGCCAAGTACGTCCAGCCAATAATGGGAACGGGTGATTGAAGAGGGAAGGCACGCTTCTTTGATTTTGGTGATCCAGGCTGCAAGGCTGAGTTTGACGAAGGCAAGGGCGACCTTGACGGCTGGGCCAGAGGCACCGGTGATGTAATTCGAGCACTCCCAACGGCTCAGCTATAATTGATGTAAGCAATGCTCCCCTCGCTGCCTTTTCAATCAATAAAACCCGAAGCGATGAATCCTCTGAGTTGTGTGTTCTGGCCGTCGTGCTTTTTTTTATCGCCTTGATGGGAGTACACTAGGGACACTTCCTGTCACTGGTACACAACCGCTCCCAACTTCAACCAACCGGCCGCTGTTTCCTCAGCGGAAAGCAAACCGGAGCTAGCCACTTTGTCTCCAGGCTTCCTTTTGAGAGAATCAAACGAAGGTCTGTTTGAGAGACTGCTTGTATCCACACGCTCTTACCAGAAACAGAGCGGGAAGGAGCGCCGGAAGTCCAGCCCTGTATGTGATACAACTCCTCACAGTCGAATTTTCCAGCTTGACGTAGGTAGGGTGCTGTTCGTTTCTTTCGATGGTGGCTCCCTTCCTTGTTTTTTTGTTGTGCCTTAAACAACTGCTAATGTCTCGCAAGGTCGGCCTTTCTGTCTGGTTGCACACTTATGGATGGATGTTTCGATGCTGATTGACGTCGAGGTTTCCCGGGGTTTTCGAGCCTCATCCAACCTTCCAGATCTAGACAGAATTTGACCTTTTAGACTTTGCCATATATGCGGGACAGCCCGTTTATGAGTCGGTCTTCCCTGCCGAGACAATAAATAGTGAGCACAACGTGTTACAGAGCGTGACAGAAATGAAGGCCTCACTATGCTTGTCTGACGCAAGGACGCCTTATATCGTTCCAATGCTTGCAATGATGTGCCACTCCGGAGCCGCTATGAGCTTCCCTTGCAGTGCGCAAAGTTGAAACTTGAAAGTCTGTACGATACCGTGTATACTCAAGGCTGGCTTGTCCTTCGGTGTCGGAAGGTGGTCGAGCTAAAAAGCGTCGGCATAAATGTAGACTGGCTTATTGAGCAAAGAGGGGAAGAAGAGATGGTGAATGTGTGAAAATACACATTGCACCGGACAGTAGTGAATATTCGTCTGGGCGAATTTGTCAAAGACATCAAAAGCTGGGCATGTCGAAATTCTGCCACGTCGCGAATGAGTAGGGGAAGATGTCCGGAGAGTCTTGGGCCAACTAGCTAGAAAACAAAGCCATTCATTTTACGTTACACACCTGAGCCAATGCGGCGGCATCTAAACGTCTTGTTCCACACCATTTCTCGTGGGTCGGACATGGAGGCGTCTGGGAGGGAGCAGCCCGTTGTGTTCCACGCTTCCCGGTTGGCATGCTTCGCGTAAAAGGAAAGAGACGGTGTGCAAATGACCCTGGGCACGCGCAATGTGCGCGTTGACACACAAATTGGCAGAGCGTTCATGGCCTTGTTCTCGAAGGCAGGAGAGCCTTATAAGACCATGCTCGATCGACGGAACGTATGATGCCATATTCTCTTTTTCCTTCTTCCTGACCCCCAATATGGTTTTTTAGTGGGTGAATGGAGCCTTTTGAGGTATGGGATGTTTGTTGCTCTCACTAATTGACCCCTGTGGTTTCCGCCAAGCATCTAATAGTCTCGGTGAGCAGCAGTTGTCACACTTTTGATCACCCAGAGGGAATATCTGTGTGCTCTTGTGTGATTCCATCAGACAGGCTCGGGACCATCCGAATCGTACATTCCGACAGGTATTCCTAATCATGTTTGTAAGAGGCTGAAGAGATTAACACCTTTGTCGATCTAGACTGAGACCGTCTGACCAGCCACATCCGAAGAAAGGCCCGCACAGAAAACAGGAGGAAAAGCAATGAGAGCAATCCTATGAATCCCCATGCTACCTTGCCAGCGAGCCAGCTAGAGTAACAACAGCATAACACTCCATGTGGCAGTCTGTCGTGCCAAGTCAAAAAGCAACATGACAATGAAGGCATACCTATGTACGGGGGACGTGTGCCCTCTTGACCAAGGAGCCTGAAGTTGATGCGATAACGAGTAAGACGGCGAGGATCCTTTCCGTGTCGCACCCCGTGATGGAAGAATGCCATTGGTGCGCACAGCAGGGAAGACAGTTACCTATTAGACTAAACCCTGCCGAACTGTCGTCCCGAGCAAACTCCCGCTTCGCCGTCACAAGGTGTTGAGAGGCTCTCGACCGGCCTGTATATCGAGTCAAAAGAAATTGAGTTTGAAAAGGCCATTCTCGTTCTTCCAAGCATGGAGTGGGGCCATCGTCAAGACCTTGCCGCGGTTGACCAACAGCACTGTTGAGATCCAGTTCGAGGAACTGCCGTCTTCGGACCCGCGTGCTGCCCCTCGAAGCCGGCCTTGGCGTCGGGCGGTGGTCCGAATTACCTTGACTCTGCTTCTATCCGGGCCGGTCTCATTCGGTCCCGCCATCGTGGACTTGTCTTCCCGATTTATCAAGGACGGCTCTGCATCTTGTAAGGTCCGCAACTGCAGCAGCTTTAGTGTAGATAGTCAATGAACCTAGACCATCTGAATATCTTCGCACGACGGCAGGACCGCTCGAGATCAGTGGTTCGTCGTACCCCATAAATGGGAGTCATGAAAGTGACAAATCGCAAGTGGCGTTGCCCTGTCATGCCTGCTCCCAGTCAGGAACGGCACTCGTCCCAGATGGGAATGGGTATGGGCGTGTTGTGTGGTAACACGACATTCGTAGGAAGGGGGGCGGCGTGCGTGAATGACCGGCAATGCTGGATCCCTAGTCGCAAGCCCACGGGTCTCGGTCCCAGAAGAGATCATCATCAAGCATCGCAAGTCCGGATTCTGTACCTGCCGTGCCTATCGACCCAGTACCGTGGCAGCGTGGCATAGGTATGCGGGTCGTGTGGGACAAAAGCAACGCAGACGGCCTCAAAGATTGTGTGCATAGGAGCGTTGGTTTCCTTGTGCGCAATGACACACAGGTGGTGCGGGCCGAAAATGGACGACAGCTGGTGTGGGTGGAATATAGGCACTAATTGTGGGCAGCTCTTCAACAACCATGGGTGCATGGTCTAGTGGTATGATTTCTGTTTTGCATTGAAATTTCTGTCTTGCTCTACAGACGGTCCCGCGTTCGATCCGCGGTGCATCCAATTCTTTTGCAATTTTTTTCCTTTCCAAAAGCTGCTCGTCTCTCTGTGACGACAATCTGATCGACATCTACGGTTTTCTTTCTTTCTTTTGCGTGGTTTTAACACTCCACCTTTTCTCGTCCCTTTCCTACATCAGCCATAAGCTCAGGACTTAGAATAAGGGACCAAAAGGCCAAACTGCTGGACTCAACTGAAGTTCCGCATGCCATTGGCAAAATTCTCAAGACTTTTTATGGCAGGAATATTCTCCGCCGATTCTACCGGACGTATATGGTATCTAGGTCCGTATGGCATTTGGGGATATGGGTGTTGAATGAAGCATTTGGTATGTAGTCCATTAGAGGCGGTTACTTGGGGGTGACGATGGAGCAGAACGAAAGACGCCTTCGAGAGGTGGGTGATTCAACAACGCGCATGAGATCGATACCGACATCGTATCCAAAGAATCAATGTCATTCTGTACAAAAAGCGGGTATCGCTTCAAAAAATGCCTAAATCTGTTCCGCTTCGCAGCCCGTTTATGACTGCCCTCAGTCCCGCTATTATATTGTACAGTGTGACCTTTTTATCATGGCACCAATCTGTGGTCCATATGCCCTTATTCAGAGTGGTGTGTTAATGCTGGAAATGCTCAAGGCGCCCGCTCCGTAGCCTGCCTCTCTATACATGTGCGACGTAGATCCCAAACTCCCAATGGCCCCCAAGCGACCAGATCCCAGTTTTGGTATGATACATGTATTTTTGGTTTGCCGCAATCGATGGTAGTGTAGTGAACATGAACAGGCGCTCGACGCCGAGGTGGTAATGTGGCAAAAGCGCGCTCCTTCACCTAGAAAAGACACGCTCGTTGAAATAACGCGGGCTTAGATGTAATCGCGTCCGCTCTTCTGCATCTCGATCAACCTCCAGCCCCTGGTCTCGGGGTTGTTGACATCGTCAGGAATACGAGTAATGCCAATGGCGTAAGTGACAAGCTGGACCTTGTCCTCCATACCAGCCGCCAGCTTTCCAGTCTTGGCGTTCTTGTAGACGTGAACCTCTTGAGTCCTGCAGGTGATGACGAAAACAGGAATGTCACCAGGGTCCAGCATCCGCGCCTTGAGGACATCAACACCACGAATGTCGAGAATGCGTCCGTCGGACTTGAGACCAGCGGTGAGATACTGCTTGGTCAAAGCCTCGTAGACGGAGTACTGGGCTTCCGAGAGCCAAAGCTTCAGCGTCTGAACATCACCCTTGACGTAAGCCTCGAGAACTTCGGGCAGGATGTACTCGCGCAACTCCATAAGGAAGTTCTCCATGTTGAAGCCGGGGTCCACTTCGCGAAGCTTCTTGATGACCTGGGCGGTTTCGTTCTCGGCGAAGAAACTGCCGATCTTGTCGGTGATACTCCTGGCAGTGGAGATGAGAGGGTTTTCGGACTCTTCGTAGACAGTCTTCAAACCGAAAATGTTCTGAACGACCTTGTTGGAGTCGCGGAAATCCCTCCATGCCTCCTTCCAGGCGGCATCCTTGTGGACGACGACGTTGGCTCCGGCACTGAAACAGTTAGCACATCGATCAGAGATCTAGCAGGGCTTGTTCTTACTTGGGATCTTCCTCAAAGATTTGAGGACCCTTGCCAGCTGACTCCTTCAGCCACTTCTCTCTGCGTTTCCTGCGCTCCTCCTTCTCAGCCCAGCCGCCATATCTGGAGCTGCTTCCGTCATCGATGACCTCCTTTACGCTCTTGTAAGCCTCGGTCTCGCGGATAGGCTTCGTCGCCTTGTCGAGAACCTCTCCGGTGACGTTGGCACCCTTGCGCACTCCCTTCATCACTGGCGTCTCCCAGGTCCACTGAGCACCCTTGCCAACGGCAGTCGCGGTGGTCTTGACGACCTTGCCCGCCGTAGAAGAAACAGCTTCCTGAGCCTGTCGTGCACGCCTAATCGCCTCGCTCTCAGCGATCTGGTTGGCGGAGGCGGCCAAAGCTTTGGTCGACTCGTTCCATTCCTGAGACTGCTTGAACTCGGTCTGCATGGTCTCCATGAAAACCTGCCAAGGAGTCTTGTCGCCATGGGGAGGTGGAGGCGGCGCATCCTCCTTCTTTTCCTTCTTGGGCTCGCCCTCCTGCTTCTCGCCCTCCTCCTTTGCTTCGTCGGACTTGGACTCCTTCTTTTCGGCGGACTCTTCTTGCGCCTTGGGTTCGGTCTCTGGCGTTTGGGGCTTCTCCTGCTGCTGCAGAGCGCGCGGCGAGGCGTGGAACGAGCGGGCTTGTATCGTGTTGGGAGTAAAAGGCGACTTTAGTAGAGGGATCTCCTGCGCGGAAATGGGCGTGGCGGGAGAGGTGCGAATTTCGGTGGTGTTGACACGGGAAGCGCGGCTGGACAACAGCCGGCTGGTCGCCGGTGACCTGACATGGGAGGTATGGGGAACGGCCGAGGCTCTCAACGGAGCACCCGGCGACGTCCTTAGGACATGCCTATATGCGTTCATGTTTGCTATCCCAGCTGGACCGTCCTGAGGGAAAACCTGGGAGACGGAGCCTTCAAGCTGATGCAGACAACAAGTTGAGGCACAGAAGTGGAGTGGGTATAAGTTGGCGGACGGGAGGGCTGTCGAGGGCCGAGGACGGGACTCGGAATTTGCGCGCAAGGGAAAATGGATCGGTGGAAATTCTGCCGCAACGCCAATGGCCCAATCGATCCATGCGCGCCGAACTGGTCGTCTGGGCACCGAGGGTCCCCCGAAATCTTTTGGCTTCTTTGCCCCCGCTCGGCCGCAAAACTGCTCCAAAACTGCCCCAAAACACTTCAGTCCCCCGCTGTCTGACTCTTGCTGCGAATGCCAAGACCTGTGCCTGCCCCACCAGCCGTTGCTGGCCGCCCGCCTTCTGCTGAAAGTAGCGCTGCCGCCCGCGTTGCCTGCCCCGTGGCCGTCCACTCAAAATTTCGTGGACCTTTTGAACTTCCGGTCGGCGAACGGCACGGGGAGCCACCTACTCAACGGCACTCGCGCACCGCGTACCACAGAGCCACGGCCTCTCCACTTCGACTCGTTTCCCCCAGGTCCGGCATTGTGTGCGCCAACCGCCTCTTCCACCGGCCCATCCAACATCGCCTTTTCCTCCGTCGTCCACCTCCACGTCGTGACAGCTCCGAGGAGCATTTGGCCCAACAAGATGAGCCGCTTCTCTACCGGCCGCCTTCTGGCGCAAAGCCTCTTCCAGACAATCAGCAAGCCCGCCGTCGTCCCAAGCGCTACGCCACTATGGACGCGGGCGTTCTCTCAGACCCCCATGCGGAAGGACGCCGACTCCGAAAGCTCATCCAAGTTGATGGAGTCTCTGACTCGGGGCATTGTCGGCATGGCCGCTGATCCCTCCGAGTTGACCGGCGACAAGCTTGCGACCAACATTGGATTGAGGGACACCGAGGACGAGCCATACCACTTTCACATCTACGCACACAAGCACAACTGTCACATTACCGTCACCAAGCCGAACCGCGACGCCATCATATCCCTTTCGTGCGGCAACCTCGGCTTCAAGAAGTCCAACCGCAAACACTACGACTCGGCATATCAGTTGGGCGCCTACGTAGTGGACAAGATGCATCAGATGAACCTGCACAACAAGATCAAGAAGATGGAGGTGGTCCTACGAGGTTTCGGCCCTGGAAGAGAGGCGGTCATCAAGGTGCTTCTCGGAAACGAAGGAAGGATGTTGCGCAACTCCATCGTGCGTGTGGCCGATGCCACGCGCCTTAAGTTCGGTGGTACAAGGAGCAAGAAGCCCAGACGTTTGGGTTAAGCGAGCGCAGCTGGGTTTGGGGAGACAGAACTGGATGGGGAGCCGTCACAGCCTGGCTGGCGTCAATGGGCTGGCGAGCGTGTACATGTCATGTATAATAAAGAATCTGTCATTGAATTGCATGTTAGGATACCCGGAAGGGGACCGCATGCCGATCCGCTTCCAGGTTCTGGTCTCTTCATCTGTTGTGGGTCAAAAGGATGCATTGAAACTCAGGAATTGTAGTCGCTGCCGTAACTTAGTACCTAAGGACGAGTTTCAGATATCCAATGCGTTGGACATCATGGTGAGGAACACCAAACCATCATTCGGCGCCTTTCCGATAGCGTCTTGGGAATCGGCACCGCGGGTGCCCGGCAACCGTACGGTTAGACCCACTTAAATTTTCAGTTGTCGGCATAGCTCCCGGCGAGCTAAACGTCAGACGTCAACCGATTCGGATGAGATTGAATTCCACTTTCCCTCACTCCCGTCGCTGACCTCACCCGGCCCGGCCCTTTCTCATTCCTCGCCGAACCGTTTCGGCCTTCTATATCTGTTCTGCAAAGCCATGTAGAATAGAGCACTTTCGCCCGCAATGCCGACCGATCCGCAAACCCCGCTTACAGCGGGATCAATTCTCAACCTTGATGTCCTCTTCAACAACCCCGTCTTCGCCGGTGGCATGGGCCTCGCCGGCCTTGGCGCCGCCGCCGCCTTTGGTCGCCGGGCTGCCATTCGTGGCGCCGGACTCCTGAAGCGTCAGATGCTGGTCAACGTCGAGATCAGCAAGCGTGATCCTTCCTACAACTGGGTCCTTGCCTGGCTGGCGCTGCCGCGAGACAACACCGGCTTCATCGCTCAGCGACTCACGCGGCTCCGTAACCTTTCCGTGTCTACCACCACTAAGTCTATCAACCCCGGCAAGGACGAAGGGAGCTCGCATGCCGATTTCCGTGTGCAACCCGGCTTTGGACGCCACATCATCCGCCACAAACCCGGCGTGTACATCGCCGTGAACCGGGAGAAGGCGAGCACGACCCAGACGGCAACGGGCGAGCCGCACGAGACGCTGACCCTCACCCTCTTGTGGCCGCACCGCCATGTGTTGGGCGAGATCTTCACCGAGGCGCACGATATGGCGCACCGCTTCCACGAAGGCAAGACGGTCGTCTACACGGCGAAGCGCATGGAGTGGATGCCGTTGGGCAAGCCCAGGCTTAAGCGGCCACTCGGTAGCGTCATTCTTGACAAGGGCGTCAAGGAGAGCATCGTAGACGATGTCAAGGAGTTTTTGGCGTCCCAGCAGTGGTACACCGACAGAGGCGTGCCATTCCGCCGTGGCTACCTCCTTTATGGCCCGCCCGGTACGGGTAAGACGTCCTTCATCCAGGCGCTTGCGGGCGAATTGGATTTTAGCGTTGCCATGATCAACCTCAGTGAGGTCGGCATCACGGACGATTTGCTGGCTCACCTGTTGACCCAGCAGCCAGAAAAGAGCATTCTGGTGCTGGAGGACGTCGACGCCGCGCTCGTCAACCGGCGACCGAGGGACTCTGACGGCTACAGCGGCGCCACAGTGACGTTTTCTGGTCTTTTGAACGCCCTGGACGGTTTGGCTGCCGGCGAAGACCGGATAGTTTTCATGACCACCAACCACATCGATCGCTTGGACCCGGCCCTGATCCGTCCGGGCCGTGTCGACATGATGATGCGCATTGGCGAGGCAACCAGACACCAGGCTGCCGAGATGTGGGATCGTTACTATGGTGACATTGATACGGACCATTCCGGTCGTGAGAGGTTCCTTAACAGGCTGGACGAGCTCGGACTCTTTGGCGAGAATAACCAGGACCCTGATGCGCCCAAGAGACATACTTCAACGGCGGCTATCCAAGGCTTGTTCCAGTTCAACAAAAATGATATGGAAGGCGCCATCAACATGGCCGAGGGCTTGATCCCCAGGACCTTTGTGGCCGAGAACCCTCCAAATGATGGCAGCATGAAGTCTCCGGCATAGATCGGGGTGGACAGTCTGGCACAACATAATGTACAATTATCTATATAACAAGGCACGGCCTGAAAATAGAATGATACCCGTTAGAGCAACTTGTTTTAGATGCTATGTTAACCATTCTGGCACTAGTGACTAGCCTGTGGATGATATTCTATGTCCAGTAAAGGAACAAGAAATATTAAACCCGCTTTACTATCATTGTCGTCATGTCATGGCTATAGATGATGTGTCGTTTGCTCGAACGTGAACATCAGTTCAGGAGAGCATCAAAGGCAGAGTTGGTTTGAAGAAGAGTAGAGTAGACAATACTTCCACTCATCAGTCTCGCTTGGAACCGTAGATCGACCGACGAACCCGGAACAGCCAACCTCATCCGAAGCCATCCTCCACCGTCTTGGCTCCTCTCCTTTCATCTCGACGTTGCGCCCTGGAGAATTTGCCTCTACCAGGCGACAGCATTCAGAGCGGCGATTACTTTCCGTCCGGACATATCCACACAGCCACTCCACGTCCCCCTGGCCTGGAAGCGGGCACACCGGAGCGGGAGAAGGCTCAACGGTCAACGTGCAGTGCCACAGAGTTTTGAGAGGCTTATCGGCTTAGACGCATGCTGAAGAGTAGCTCGGAGGTCATCGTGAGTCGAACGCGGCGTAATAGCCAGACCGGCGGAGCATTGTCCTGAAGATTCGGCGATGTCATTTGCCGGTGTTGAACTGGGTGTAATAATGGTTATCTTCGTTGTCCACTTTGCTGCTTCAAGTCGAGTCCTCCTTTGCTTCGGACGAAACCTTCGAAGTCTTCGGTTCCCCTTCAGAGTCAAAACCAAGGGCATCCAACTCCCGGATGAGCTCGTTGATCTTGATAACCTTGGCGATCTGTTCGGGTAACAACGACTCTCCGCCGTCCTTCTTGTCCTTCAAATCCTTGGCCTGGCGAAGCTTCTTCTTCAAATTGCGGGCCTTCTTCTCCTTCTCGGCTTCCGGGTCGACCTCCTCGGGCTTAGGTGCAGAAGGCGCTGCGGGAGCTGTCTTCTGGCCGTCGCCTTCTGTCTCGCCGGCAGCTTCCTTGGCCTTCTTGCGCGCTTCCCGACGTTTGGCGTTTTTGTTGGCCGCGGCGCCGGATTGCTGGTCCGACTTGTCCTCCTTCAATCCCTCTGCGCCCGGGACTGGGCCCTTGCCGCGCTGGCGGAAGCCCTCGGCGGTGCGGTTCTTGTACACTTCGACATCCTCAGGCGGGCGGTAGCCTGGGCGAACCTTGATGGCTTTTCTCGTGCTTCCGTCAGCTCTCTTAGACTCGGGGATAACACGCTCGCCATTTTTGTCGGTTATGATGCCGGAGTTTGTTGGTTGAGACATGGTTGAAGATGGTGGGAACGTTGGTGTTCAATGAGGGGTTCTGCTAGCGTAGGGTTACGGCGATGCCGTTCAACGAAGTAACGAATTTCGTATATGGTGAACAGTCGCGAAAAGGTCGAAGAAGTGAATGAGATGGTTGAATCGCCGAAGCTCGAAACTCGCGCGTCGAGATTGTTGCTTGCGCAATACGCACAAGTTGTCGCGGGCCCGTTGGACACGTCAATTGCTATACTGTGTGTTTTTGTAGAAGTAAGAGATTGGAAAGTGAGGACCACGACGTTGCGGTTTCGAGGTCGATTCCACCTGCAGCTTGGCACTCTTGAGCCAGGCGCCATCAGCCTTGGAGTCGTTTGGAGCAACTGGGTCATAGCTCTGACCAATCAGGGAAGCTGCATATGCTCCGGATGGTTCCGGCCGGCGCCATCTGCGATCTTTCCAGGTTCCGCTGGGTCGGTTTTGTCCATTGCAACGAAAAACATCGTGATTGCTCGCGACGCCCTCTCCCGCACAACGTCACCGTTAGAGACGCAGCTGAACCACCGTTTACAGCCTCGGTAAATCTGTCAAAATGGTGAGCATTTCTCCGTCATCACGCCAGTCGAGAACGTGGTCATGCTAATCGCGCACTCCCAATTCAGTCTACCTTCTACAAGCAAGTATCCCCGCAACGCCGAGCGCCGTACTCACCACGCCTCCTACCCCCCAAGCGGCCCGGCACCGGCCCCGGCCCCATCTCCCGGCCCAGACCGCACTGGAGCACCGATAGCTAACCTACACCCCAGCCTCCTCTTCCGCAAGAACACCGCCTTCCTCGGCGCTGTCTTCGCCGGTGCCTTCGCCTTCGAGGTGTACGTATCCACGACAGTCGGATGAACATATAACAGGGGATCATGTGTCGCTGAACAATCACACCATCTAGGGCCTATGACAACGGCATGGACAAGGTCTGGGACAAGATCAACAAGGGGGTACGAAACTACGACTGAATTCGAGATGGGTCTGGAACAATTGCTGACTAGGAGAACAGCGCCAATGGAAGGACATCCGCCACAAGTACGTCGAGGCTGAGGAATAAACGGGACAGCTTGAGAGAAACCTATCAAGACATGGAAACGCCGACTCGTTGGGGATCAGACGACAGCCTCTGGGGGAAAATGTGACGCGGTCAACGACCATTGATTGCTAGAGGAATGGACGACTTTTCTTGACGATTCTGCCTACCAAGCCCCTATCTCACCGTATTGTACCAAATCAGAACATTATTATGGCGAAAGACACCTAGACGAATGATCCATAGCCCGACTATAAGGCTCCGGATCAACAACATTTCCCAACCATCTATACCAGCTTTTGGAGCTGGGGAACATCAACATGAAGCAAGCCCGGCGGCTGGGCAACTCAGTCTGGATTCTGGACGCATGTGTGGGCAGTCTTGCTTTAAATGTCCCAGCGTTGCGTAGCAGGTTTAAGCGTACGATGAATTGCACATGTGGCTGGAGCTGGCCTTCGCAACATCTGACGTCTTTATGCAGCAGTCCGAGAGTCGGCCGGACGGCATGCATCTTTGCACACCAAGCGCCAGCCCCTGACAAGCTACCTTAGCTGGCCCTATGGCCTGTGGCATGCGGTATGTAGAGGTAGTAGAGTATAGAGGTACCTACCGGCTGGTGGTAGAAATGGTAACAATTTGGTGATGGACTTCTACTTGAGCATAACCTACTCACTTTTGCTCTATCCCTACTTCTACCGGTACAATGGGAGGAACACGGTAGAATGCAAAATAATGACTATCAAACGTACGGTGCAGACGACGTCAGGACAGGAGGTTGGTAAGAGGATGTTCGGTTACAGTGAAAGTACAAAGGTACTTGTGAGGCAAGCGTAGGCCAGTCGTAGTTTTTAGTTGCTCTTTACCATAAGCAGTACCATATACGTCAAGAACCGGGCTTCACTCTCCCCTTCTTACCCTTTACCTCTCTAAAAGAGGGCCGAACGCAACCCCGCCTGACGTACCTCTATACGGGCGTCAATGCACCTTTTCGTTGGGGAAATACCGTAGTCGCTGCAGGATCTGTTCTCGCAGATGTCGATAAGGATATGATGGGAAAGAGCTATGGCAAAAAGTGGCAGGGCTTCATGACCTGGATTGGAGCCTCAAGTGTGCGATCTCGACCTGCAAACATTCATCGCTCCGACGCGGACTCATTTACCCAAGTATACCAAGGTACTTGTATCGAATTGGCAAATGGCACCGACGGAACTCACAATGGACGAACAGCGGCCATAAAAGCCCGATCAAATCCCCCCACAGGATCTGCAATAAAGAAGGACTCAGAGGAACTGTGTTTGGTCAACCCCTTGGTCAACAGAAGCCAATCCATCGACGAGTCACAGAACGCCACCTTGACTTCACAAGCCAGCCCCACGAAAAAGGGAAAAACTGCCCTGTAACCGCTGTTCGGTACCAACAAGAAGCCAAGACCGCTGCGTCTTAGTCAACAGCCCAGCTCGCCCAGGTACAAGGCCCGATATTCAAAAAGTCCGACTGCCCGCTCTCCGCTGCCAACAATATACTGGACGGGAAGGGGAAGAAAGGAAACAGAATAATACACTTTACGACCCAACTCCCACATCGCAAACCGAAACGCTTTCTTTGCGCCGGCGCCAACCAAACCAAAGCCGACAAATACCAGGGTGCCTGTCTATCGCTGGCCCCGTCTACCCCGCGATCCCCTCTACCGCCGTGCTGGTCATCGCCCTCAGCTCAGGCCCTCTTTTCACCCATCTTCTTACCGGTCTGGAACCCTCCCCATATTTCGAACGCAAACAAGCGGTGGACGCTTCAGATAGGATCCTTGGGTACATACTCCTACAGACATCTCCCGTCAGTGATTCTCCTCTCTAGCGCAACATTATCATCATACCCTCAAGACATTCGACACCATCACACCCAACTCTCAAGCACCGACCCTTAGACGACTTGTTTAGGCACGACACTAACATCGACAAAGATTCCGCTTCCGAACCCGATAACGCCACCTGGATGTCTATCTCGAGCGCTACATAGACCCGACCACCGACGATTCTTCCATCATGGAAGCCCCGATGTCGACACAGGAGCAACAGCTCTGCCAGGCCTTGCTGGCGATGCCTGGCAAGTACCGATACCGCTATAGCGAAGAGGCATCGCGCGAACTTCTTCTCACCCTTTTCTGGTCCATGGCCGGTGGAAAAGATGAATACATGAAGCTCTTCTTTCCCGAAGGGGACCCACGAAACACCTCCCTCAAGCTCAGGGATGTGCAAGGTGCGGTTGAGGGCGCCGAATACACCGAAGCTGCCCGTGGCAAGGCCTGTGGTCACATTTTCAAACAAGGAGAGGCGTCATATGCGTGCAAGACTTGTAGCGCAGATGATACCTGCTGCCTGTGCAGCAAATGCTTTGAAGCCACCGATCATACAGGCCATATGGTCCGCATCAGCATCTCTCCCGGAAACAGCGGGTGTTGCGACTGCGGAGATTTGGAAGCGTGGAAGCGGCCCATGTTTTGCACAATACATTCCATGTGGGAGGGCGACCGCAACAAGGGCAAAGGGAAGGTGACAAGTCTCCCGGAGGATCTGGTCAGGAATATCAGGATGACCATCGGCCGCGTCTTCGACTACATGTGCGACGTCATCTCTTGTGCCCCCGAGCAGCTTCGCCAAACCAAAACCGTTGAGTCTATTCAGGAGGATGAGAGGCTTTCGAGGTTATCGTCGACCTACTGTGGTGGAGAAACCGACTCGCCGGGGGAGTATGCCGTTCTGCTGTGGAATGATGAGAAGCACACAGTGGTCGACGTGCGTGACCAAGTGGCTCGGGCTTGCAACACTACGCTTGCCAACGGCTTGAAAGCTGCTTACGAGACCGATGCCATTGGTAGGAGCATCCTGATGTACGACGAGAGTGTGAAAAACCTGCTCGACGTAGCTGAGATACTGGAGAGGATAAGGGTTACCGTCACCATTCGCTCTTCAAGGGATACCTTCAGAGAGCAAATGTGCGGCACGATAATTGAGTGGCTTAGAGATATCTCTGGCTGTCAAGTTGGCCATGATCATCAGATCTTGAGAAACATCGTGTGCGAGGAAATGCTTAAGCCTTGGAGGAAAGGCAGCCCTGCGGCTCATGCCATTGTCGGCAAGGATGGCATTGACGATGAAGATCGCATTGACCAAGAAGAGAACGTGCCGAGTGGTTTCTACGAACAGCAGGGCAGGCTTTTGCTTCAGGCACGCCAAGCTGCCCGTAGAATGGCAGAGGCTCGTGAGGCTGGTGATGACGAAGGGGACGAAGATGATGAAGACGGGGATGAGATCATTGTCTCTGGTGGAGAGATGGATGAGGACGAGGACGATGACGAAGATGTCATGATGCTTGACGAACAAGGCGACGCAGCCGGGGATGATGTTGCTATGACCGACTGGCGAGAAGTTCGGGTGGTGCAGGTAGTCCCCGCCACTGCTGCTGGCCATCCTCCTCCGCCACCTCCCCCTCCGGCACCGGCTACTGCTACGGCTCATCGGCGAACCATTCGGGAACGTGAGCATACTCCTGATGATTCCGATACCGCCGAACCGCTCATCGCGCCGAATATCTACACCAAGGCCCACCTCGACATCCCCAAAACCCCAGGCAGTCCCAAAGCCAAGACATCGCCTCCAAATCCTGGACGTTACTGGTTGCAGACTCCTGCCGGTTACGTAGAAGAGAAGGACATTCCGGTTGCCGAAGACCTCTTCGAACGTGTCCGTCTAGACTGGCTGATTTTATTCGATCTGCGGATGTGGAAGAAGGTTCGCTGTGATCTTCGGTCATTATACATTTCAACTGTCGTCACTATCCCCGAGTTCAAACGCGTACTTGGCTTGAGGTTTGCTGGCCTCTACACCACCCTGGCTCAGTTGTATCTCATTGGAGATCGTGAGCCAGATCACTCTATCATTAACATCTCCTTGCAGATGTTGACAACCCCTTCCATCACCGCCGAAATCGTTGAGCGGGGAAATTTCCTTACCAGTCTGATGGCCATTCTTTACACATTCCTGACTACTCGTCAAGTGGGGCACCCTTGGGACGTGGCAAGCAACGCCGTTCTGTCATTCGATTCAGGTTCGGTCACGAACCGGCGCATGTATCATTTCTTCTTAGATCTCAAGTATCTCTTTGGGTCTCCGCACGTTCAGGAACGCCTTCGGACAGAGGAGCGGTACATGATGCAGTTCCTCGATCTCGTCAAGCTTCATCAAGGCATTTGCCCGAATGTCAGGGCTGTCGGCGAACACGTCGAATATGAGACAGATAGCTGGATCAGCGCATCTCTTGTCACACGCGAGATCAACAGACTCTGCAGACAGTTCGCTCAATCCTTCCGGAACGTCAAGGAACATGGTTTGCAGTATGTCAATAATGCAATCAGACTGGCTGCAAAGGTTACTATCATCAACTCCCTTGGTGCTGAGCGTCACCGGTTCAACCAGTCGGAAATCAAGGAAGAGGTTTCGTTCAGAAACCTTATGGATTTCGAGTTTGAGCCACCAGGGCGAAGCTTCAAGGTCGTCCACTTTGTGGTGGAAGAACAGCCTATCAGTTTCCATCACGCGCTTCATTACACTTTGTCGTGGCTTATCGAGTGTGGCAAGTCGATGAGCATTGACGACCTGCGCAAGCTCCTTACTTTCGAAACCACAGACTTGCTGGCAAAGCCCCAGCCGATGGGTCGAAAGTCCATGCCCCGCGGTAACTTCACTCCGGAAGATTATCTCCTTGCCGCCTTTGATTTCCCCCTTAGGGTATGTACTTGGCTTGCGCAGATGAAGGCGGGCATGTGGGTCAGGAATGGTTTGAGCTTGCGTCACCAAGGAGGAACTTACCGCGGCGTGAGCCAAAGAGATGTATCCCACAACAGGGACGTATTTCTGTTGCAGACCGCTCTTGTTGTCTGTGACCCAAGCCGTGTTCTTGCCTCGATTGTCGACCGCTATGGCATGGAGAAGTGGATCAAAGGGTTCTTTGAACAAAAATCCAAGGCACAAGATGACAATCAACATCTGGATGTTGTGGAAGACATGCTTCATCTGCTCGTCGTCCTCGTCAGCGACCGTACATCCCTTACGCAAAATGAGGATGAAGCAAGCCCCTCCAACGCGGCCACGCGTCTCAAAGCCAGCCCCCTCATCGCGGCCATGCGTCGTGACCTCACGCACGTCCTCTGCTTCAAACCGTTGTCGTTCTCAGAGATCTGCAACAAACTGCCGGATAAGTTCCACGAGCACGAGGATTTCCACAAGCTGTTGGATGAGATGACCATTTACAAGGCACCTGAGGGGTTGACAGACGTTGGCACCTTTGAGCTCAAGCCGGAGTTCATTGAGGATGTAGATCCTTACATCGCGCACTATAACAAGAATCAACGCGAAGAGTCAGAAATGGCATGGCGCAAGTGCATGGCTAAGAAGACCGGCCACTCGATCGAGGATGTCGTGTATGAGCCCAACCTTCGTCCAATCACTTCTGGAGTCTTTGCTGGGCTGTCTGATTTCACTAGGACCGGCATGTTCGCCCAGATTATCTATTACTCCCTGCTCTATACTCTCACATCCTCCAAGTTCACGCCCCAGGTCCCCACGACTCGGGTCGAGACCTTCCTCCAGGTCGTCCTGCATCTGATCTTGATCGCCATCAAGGAAGATAAAACAAGTGAGCAGGATATTCAGCGACCGTCATTTGTCTATCGTTCTCTCGGTCACCAGGCACGCAGCAACTTCATGCCAGAGAACCCGACGGCAAAGACTATCGTTGCACTCTTGAATTTACTTAGTGCAGAGGATGCTTTCAAGACGGTTCATCCGAAGATCAACCTGATTCTGAAAAAGATGCGGAAACAGCGACCCCAGGACTTCGAGTGTGCTTACCATAACCTTGGTCTCTCAGTAGACCACATCGACGCTGGCATGCCTGACAGCCAGAACACTGATGAGGAGCGTGAGAAGAAGAAGAAGGCTGCACTCGCCCGTCAAGCTCGTGTTATGGCACAGTTTCAGGCCCAGCAAAAGAGTTTCATGGAGAAGCAAGGAGAAATCGACTGGGGTGATGTGGACGATATCGATGAGGACGAGGACATGCCAGCTGCCGAGGAACATAAGAACTTTTGGAAGTATCCATCAGGGACATGCATCTTATGCCAGGAAGATACAGATGATCGCCGTCTCTACGGATCCTTCGCCTTCTTCACCGAGAGTAACATTTATCGGCAGACTGATCTCCAGGATCCGGATTTTGTGAGGGAAGCGTTCAAGACCCCCGAAAACTTGGACAGGTCTGCCGAGAGTATCCGGCCCTTTGGAGTTGCCCATGAGAACCGCCAGGTTGTCCAAAAGGTTAACCAGGAGGGAGACATATTCGAAGACGAGCGCTCCGTCATCGGAAAAGGCTTCCCGTCGCACCTGTCTCGTTCCGGCCCTGTCTCGACCGGGTGCAGCCATATCATGCATTACGGTTGCTTCGAAGCATACTTTGATGCGACTGTACGCCGTCATAACCAGCAGATCGCAAGACACCCTCCCGAGGACACGAATAGACTGGAGTTTGTGTGCCCCTTGTGCAAAGCTCTGGGCAATGCGTTTCTCCCCATCGTCTGGAAAGGACAGGAAGAATCTTACCCTGGTCCATTGTCGCCAACCGAGTTGTTCAACCCGTGGCTGGACAAACAGCTGCATTCTGCATATTACGTCCTGGGAGCGGCAAGGCCTGCAGACGAAACCCAGCATTCCTTTGCATCATACACGGCGAAGACAATGGTCCACAATCTTGCCGAAGATTCGTCTCAGCTGTTTGGTGATGCGTGGGTAGACCTGGGGGGCTCGGTCAAGGTCAAGTGGGACGCCATTCAGCGACTCCTTTTCGATTATCTCAGCTACTGAGAATAGTAGCCGAGGGGCGACTCCCGCCGAGGGGAACAACATGATGAGAGAGCTGGTCTCTGCATACCGCCGTCTTCGTGACACCTTGCGGAAAAACGGCATCATCTCGCATCATGACCTTCCGGAGACTGTGCGAGATGACGAGCTGGCCTGCAGTGATGCTTTGGCTCGGTCGGTCGGCTTTTCTATTGCAGCAATTGAGATTCAGCAGCGCGGGGTGGAAGCGGACTATGGAATGACCTTACTCGAGAAGATTCCTGAACAAGTCCTCACGCACCTGCGCATCCTGACTGAGACCGTAACCACTTTCATTACTGTCGGTGGGCTTAGAGAGGCTGGCGATAACAGGATCGACACTGAGTTCCGGCGAGACAGCGAACGTCAACATTGCCAGTTGTTCATTGCGCAGTATAAGGGAGCCGAAACCGACAACGCCAGACAACCTTTTCAGGAGTATCCACCGCTTCTTAGCCAAGATCCTTTCGTGTTCTTGTGCGAATGTGTCTTTGGCGTTATCCCTGCACAGAAGTTTGAGATCGCCCACATCGTGAGGCTTTGCTACCTTGCCGAGATCATCAAAGTGGTTTACCACATGGGTCGCAACATGCCTGCCACCATGTGGCTGTCGAAGATCTTCAGCGACCGCAAAGACGAAATGTCGCCTGAACTGGCTAACTTCGCTTCCTTCTGCGAGACAGTCGTACGAATGGACCTGGGCTTCTCCGAGAGCTACAGGGTCCAAGGCTCTGATGGGGAAAACAAGGCGTTTGACCAACCTGGATTGGACAGCTGGGAGGGTTGGTACCGGTTCATCAGGAACTACGCACTCACTTTCCTTCGCAAGTGCGCCATCCTGCTTTACGCAAGGTACAACGTCGACTTCAACAGCCGCGTCTCGCCCAATCCCGAACAGAAGGAGCTCGAGCGCCTTACGGAGACACTGAAACTCCCCTCGTTTGACGCAATGCTGGCTTCTCTCACGCCGAACTCCGGAATCTCCCAGCTCGTATCTGGCTGGATAGAGCATCAGACGTCCTGGGATGCAGAACATCCAACCCTTGCCGCTGACAACAAGACCTTGTTGCCGCCTTCTGCAGTGCTGAGCCACCCCGGCATATTCGAGCTTGTCGGACTTCCCAAGAACTATGCTACGCTCATAGAAGAGTGTACGCGGAGGAAGTGTCCAACCAAGGGCAAAGACATTTCCGATCCCATGCTCTGTCTCTTCTGCGGGGATTTGTTTTGTGGCCAGAGCATCTGCTGCGCGGTGGAGGATAGGGAAGTCAGGGGCAAGACCATGCGGATTGGCGGATGCCAGCAACACATGAGAAAGTAGGTTCTACCGTCCATCATCTTTCACTCCCCTTTACTGTGCCTATGCTAACGGCTTGCTTCTTTCATCAGATGCCAAAAGAATGTAGGACTCTTCCTCAATATTCGTCGCTGCTGCATCTTCTACCTCCATCGCCTGTCAGGGTCCTTCAGCAACGCACCCTACATCGACAAGTACGGCGAGGTGGATCTGGGCCTCCGTCATGGACGGCTGCTCTACCTCCACCAGAAGCGGTATGACTCCATGTTGCGCAACCTGTGGCTCAGCCATGGTGTCCAGAGCTTTATTAGCCGTAAACTGGAGGGGGACATCAACAATGGCGGGTGGGAGACACTGTAAGAAGTCGAAGTTGAAATTGATATGGGATATCTGGGGAAGGAGAAACGGGCAGTTGTTGTGGGTACAGGGCGGTGTTTTGGCATCACTGTTGGCGTTATCGTTATCCTTTATGACAAACATGAGGGTGGATTGAGGCATGCTTACTTTGGCTCTTTTGTATTTTTATGGACAGCAAAAAAACTAGGAGGTAGTGCCTCCAACGACCTATTTTTTATTTTCACCCTGCTATCTTGGCTAGTCATTATCATCATGCATCGTTTCACGAAAAACATAACACGGAACAGCAGGCGAGCAGCGTTAAGTTGGAGAGTTTGAACCCGGTCAGTAAGATTGAATGATAGGCACGAGAACTCAGCTCAGCATTCTTCATTCAACTTAGATATAGCCCATATATCATGTCAATGCTGTCTCTATATCTTCCTTCCCTATATGTGTGGGAGATAATGGTATATACAACTTCTATATTCCTTATGCAATAACCAATAACCAAAACATGCAAACTGTAAAGGGGTATTATAGACTTCATGAAACGCAACACATCCCTGCCTTCCCTCTCAAGATCCCCTTTAGTTTGAATCCGAGATCCCGAAACATTAGATATAACCAACCCTGTTCCGTTTTTCCGTTTCCCCTTTTATATGCAAAACCTCGTAGCCAAACGCTTGCTCCATGCATCATCATTATTTTTAAAACAGAAACATCCAGTTCATGAATCAAGGCTTAGAACCAGGAGACTGGTCCTCCTTCCTTGGATCAACCAACTCATAAGGAGGCAGGCTAACTCCCAGCGGCTTCGACCCCGTCCCCGGAGATCCACCAGACGTGCTACCGCCCTCAAAGTTCTCTTGACTCTGCGACATGGGCGTCGGCGTAGCAACAGGCTCAACGCCCTTAATCGAAGACGCAGTACCAGTGAACTCCACCCTAGCCTCCACGTTGGCAATCGCGCTCTGCAGCGCGCTCGTCAAGTCGACGTGGAACAGCGGCCTGTTGATACCGTGCACGGCCACGGTGCGGCCGCCACCATTGCCGATAGAACCGAACCGCGAGTGAGTCGCAGCATCACCGGGTACCCTTTCTGAACCGGAGGCAGTGGCCTTGAGCGTGCCTACGGCTTCGGTATCATCGGTGGCAGAACCAGATTCGATGTCCATCGAGTTACCGCCTCCTCGTTGTTGCTGTTGCTGAGCAACACGACCGCGAGCGGACAGGGTAGGGCCGAATTCCTTCTCGTTGACTTCCTGCTCGGCAGTGGCGGCAGCGCTCTGCTCGCCGCCGATCTCGGCCACACTGAAGATGGACTTCCACCTCCTGATCTGGCCGTCGGGCATGTTGGCAGAGGGGTAGCCGAAGCCGGCAGAGACGAGGGCGCGCTTGGTCCAGCGGTTGCTGATGCAGGCGACGTGCCAGTCGACGACATCGGGCGAGGCGTACCGGTCGAGCTGGTTGCGCACATCGATGAGCTGTTGGACCGACGTGATATCTATGTTGTTTACCGAGGAAAAGTCGAGGATGATGGCCTTGAGCGTGGGGAGGTGCATGTTGACCCCGATTTCGTTCGAGTCGATGCCCGCGCGCGCGGCCACCTTGAGCTTGCGCCTGGACGGGCCGGGGTCGTTCCAGGGCCGGTCGCCGAGCCGGTCAAATTGCGCGAGCGTGGTGCGGCGCGTGTTCTTGTGGATGTACCGCACCATGTATTCGAGCGTGTGGCTGGCGTTGGGGTAGTTGAAGCCTTCGGAGAAGCGGTAGATGAAGATGCCCGGGTAGGGGTTGTCGAGTTCGATTTCCGGGTTGGAGCCGTCCGCGTGCGTGATGGGGAGGAAGATGTTGCGATAGGGGGCGTCTTGCGAGGAGCCGCCGACGAAGGTGCCGTAGCCTTCGTCCACGGGCTTCCGGGGATCATCGCCGATGACGTGGTCGCCGAGGACAGAGTGGACCTTGACACGGCCGAGGAAGCGGCCCTGAGCCTTGAGAATGCGGAAGAGGAGGACGGCGAATGACAGGCAGACTGTGCAGTAGATACCGTTCTCGATGGTGGAGAAGACGGTGACGAAAACGCCGACGAAGAAGATGATGACTTCGAGAGGCGAGACGAGCCAGAACTGGTAGATGGTGTTGGGAGGGGTGATCAGATCACCGACAGCATGGATAATGACGGCTGCGAGTGAGGCGTTCGGGATGTAGTAGAAGACGGCAGGCAAGGCGTAAATAGCCAGCAATACCACGATAGCAGTGATGACACCGGCGAAGGGAGTGCGCACGCCAGCCTTAGACTTGACGGCGGTACGGCTGAACGAGCCTGTAGCAGCATAGCCACCAAGGAAGGGGCCCAGCATGTTAGTAACACCAATAGCCACCATCTCCTGCGAGGGATCAATGCTGTAGTTGTTGATGCGGCCGAATGACTTGGCGATGGCGATGTGCTCGATCAACAAAACAATGACGGTGGCGGGAAGGGTGCCAGCAAGCTTGCTTGCGAGTTCCTTGTCAAGGACGGGAACAGCTGCGTTCTTGAAACCTCTGGGAACGTCGAAGAGAATCTTGAACTTGGAAGTTCCTCTAGGGAGGTCCTTGTTCGCCAACCAACTGATCATGGTGTACAACAGAATCACAAAGACTGTTCTCAGCGTTGAAAGGAAGAAGGCCACTCGCTGGTGTTGCGGCCAACGTCTGGCAACATAGTTGCAAAGCGACCGGATGCCGTAAAGCATGAAAAGTGCTGTCAAGCCCATGGCAGCATCCAGCTTGGTACGAGGCAAGCCTTGCAAGGTGTGGATGAAGACCAAGTACGCCGGATCTCTGGTAGAAAAGCCCTTGATACCCATCAAGGTAGGGATCTGTCCGACGGCAATGTTGAGTGCCGAACCGGTCATGAAGGCCGAAAGGGCAGTGAGCGAGATGATATCGACGATCCAGCCGCACCGGATCAAGCCAATAAATAACACAATGGCGCCGGAGAGGATAGAAAGGGCAGACGCGATAACATGGCCCGGAACACCAGGAAGCTCCTCCATGACGTTAGCAACCACACCGCCTGTCAGCGAGGAAAGGACGGCAACTGGGCCAATTGTGATATCTTTTGAAGTGGCAAAGAACCAGTAGATCAAGACGCCCATGAAGGAAGAGTAGAGACCAAACTGCGGCTCAAGGTTGGCAAGCTGGGCATATGCCATGCCTTGTGGAATAACAATGGCACCGATAGTGATACCTGGGAGAGATGTAAGCGATACTGGACTTGGACAGCACATGGACGAAAGTGTGTATGAGCTTACCGGCTACAAGATCGCCCACGAGCCATTGTAGGTTATAGTGACCAATCCAGGACGTGAAGGGAAAGAGGGAAATAGCGTAGTCACCCAACTGCTTTCCAGAAGGGACAAGTTCCCTCAAGAACTCGGATGTATGGGGTGGCTCTTCCACGAAGGAACTGGTTGTATGGTTGGATATGATGGACTCGCCCCGAGTAACCTCATCGTACGGGTCTTTATCTTGAAGCTTGATACCAAGTGCTTTGGCTGTGAAGCGCCCGGCCTTCCCCCAGGCCGTAGACATGTTGACGGCTTGATCCTTCAGTTATGAAAATGGGAGTAGTTGTTGACAAGAGGAATATGATGTATGACACTGTAGGTTACTTTGAGATATGGTCCGTGCCGGTTCCGGCTGTATCAAGGAGATCCTAGCTTGCGGTTTGCATGGACCAAGGTGGGAGGCTGCTCTGATCCGGGGAAATATGCAATGAGGAAAATAACGTGGACTATGTATGTAGTACCGATGTAAGGGCCTGTAATCGCGTTCCAAACTCGTTGAGAGAGGAAGTGGAACTAGTGTAAGGTCGAAATCGAAGTCGAAGACGAGCCGGTCGAAGTCTAGGTCGATGTTGAAGATCGCTTTATATCGTGTGCCTAAAGGCTGGATGTGGCAACAAAGAGCCAGATGGGATGATGGAAACCGCCGCCGTTAAACCTGAGATGGTTCAGGTAAGGAAAAGCAGAAGCAGGGACATGGAAAAGTATAAAAGGGCAAGCAAAGCTGTACTAGGGAAAAGCCGACACAGGCGGCATTGCGGCGCCGCTCGAAGGAACCAGGGTGTGGGGGGCCGGGGTGAGGATGTGAGGAAGTGCACGGAATCTGTTTACTGACGTCCACTGATGCAGAAGAGGCAGAAAGTACAGAGAAGCGGAGTTCAGGAGGCGTGGTAGAGCGCAGAAAGGTGGGCACTCCCATGATGACGTGATCGGCCTTTGCCCTTTCAACTCTAGTATCGAAAAGCTTATACACACTTTGCTCGCGGTTCCGCTGCCGATTTCCACTCCAGCCACTGTACGAGTGGTTGTAACTGATGCCAACCTCAGGAGAGACCGGCTCTCCATCTGCCATGTCTCCGCGGTCGGTATTCGGGGGCAGGGGACGCCGGTAGTTGAGAGGTTAGGCTGGCTGAAGAGGGTCATCTCAACTCTGACCGCGCTGGGTTCGCCGGGAGGACTGCTGCTTGTGGGAGCTCCCGCTCTCCCGTACATGGGACGGTCTCCTTGGAGTTTCATGTAAGCGGTCATCGATATCTCCCTCTCACGGAGACAGCAGTCTCTCATCACACCAGTGCCTGCTTTAGCGCAACAAACAGTAGACGATCATGCTTGGTTATGGAAACCTCTTCCCACTACCGTGGGATGGGAGCTTGATATGCAACTGGGCGTACGCACGTGTATAATTATGTAGCCCCGGTCACCGGATGCCATTGCTACACGGCGGGATGATGCAAAGAAGGACGGGAAAGACACTTGCACTGCACCCCACGGAAGCCATCAGCAACAACCATGCAGGATATGACTCCCCCCAAGTGGGAAAATGGTTTAAAACATGGGGATGTGCGGTCGTGGAGGTGTGATGGATCATGGGAGTTTGTCAGAGCTGGGGGTTCTGGAGGGTAGACGAGGGCAAGGGTGTGGTGTGAAGGAGGGGGCGGCTGCAAGAGGCGAAGACGCAACTTTGACCATCGATGGTGCAATTGCAGCCTCAAAGCTTGTCGATCGAGTGTAAGCTTCCCGTTGGACGTCTCGGTGCCAGTGACAAGTGCCTAGCCCCCGATCGTCCACATGCAACGCTACCCTGCACTTGCTTACAAAAGCATCCGAGAGGTGTTTTTCCAGATGTGTCGCAACCAGCAGTGTACACTATTGACACTCATTGGAAACACCATCTCACAACCTTTGAGTGTCAAGTTCGACATTCTCTGGTAAAGCCAGCTGGCCTGGAGTTCTTCACAGCCCAGGCCTCTGGAGGGGTAATAAGAAGTGCGATTCTGTTGCCACTCGGCTGGTTCCGACCTCGGGGGGGGATATGGGGGCCACAACGGCCGTCCAGCCCTCACCACCTAGCTTCACCACAAAACCCCACTGCGCTGGAAGATGGCTCATACAAACCTAACGTGCAGAGGAAGATCAGGGGATGAGATCCATCATGTGAGAGAAACATGAAGGCGTCCTTCTAGAGAAAAGGTCAAGGTGAAGGGTTAGTCCTGACTCGTGTTGTGCGGCGATATGAACGGCCAGACCTCCCTCACAACCAGCCTCCGTGGCCGGACTTCGGCTCTCCACGAGGGCACCGTACTTGGCAGCACCGCACAGTGAGCTGTATTGGGCCAAAAATCAAAGGGAGCCGAGGGTTTTCAGTCAGAAATTCCGGACAGAATTAATCCGCGGCCTCACTCACATCCGCTGCCTCTCGAGATGACGTTATCGGATCAAGAACGGACCGCTGTGAGCTGACCAATAGCATGTAAGCAACCATCCGGTTCAGGAAGTCGTGCTCAAATGTGTGCGATAAGCCGATAAGGTGACTCGTCAACGCTGCACATGAAAATGCCTGGAAAAAATATACAGCCCAGGGTTAGGGGTATAGCCATAACGGTGACAACCTTTTTGATTGCACTGTTCAAGCTGCGGAGCTGACAAAACGGGACTCTAAAAGAGTGGTAACAAAATGACAAAAGGTAAAAGATCACAACAAGTGATGGCTCCAATTGTCAACACGCAGTGAGGGAACGCAAAGCAGCTGAAGTGCCCGCATTCCCGAGACGAATACATACACACTGAATCCCCCGCCAGTCAACATAATAGGAATCCATACCATCAACCAGGAACGACAGTACTGCGTTTCAGCAGCATACATTAGACAGATGATAGATAAATGTATCTATTAATAAACACCAATCCGCGGATCGTACCCCACTCGGTCTTGGTCTGCTATGGACTACACTATTGCAGACATGAAGGTCATCCATGTCCAAGCTTTCCATGCCGACTATCAACAGACATTGTAGGTCTGACTCCCGTCTTCCAGAGAAAGTCATATAGCTAGGTGGGAGAGATCTCGCAGCCCCAGACTTCACTCAACGTCCCAATTTCAAGGTAATGGGTTGGTGACACCAAACCGGCGAACCACCCCGCAGTTCAGCTGGGAACTTTCCGTCGGGTTGGGTACCTTGCGGCACAGGACATGCTTCGTGCGTACGTCCTGACCTCGTACCTGTAGCTGCTTCTTCCTGCCCGTTTCAGGTCGCCAATGAGGAGGTGCGCTTCCCACATCAACTTGTCAACTCTGCGAACTGCAACACCCAACCACATCCCAACCTCACTGACACACCCGACAATAATCTTGGAACACACCTTGGCTACTTACCTAGGAAAGACGCGCAACCTGGCATGGCGACAACAAACAACGTCCGCCCTTCCTCTTCACATTTTCCACGCTGCGCCGGACAGCAAGCTTGAGCACCCATACGTAATCGTCTCGCTTTACCATCTGCAACTTGACACCATGAACCTAACGGCAAAGAACACCAGCTCGGGCAGCGCTAGAGATCCAGGCACAGACGCGATGCCGTTGTTGTCGACGGCGCCCGGCGCTCCAATGACAGGGCCTCCACAACCCGCTCCCTCGGCGACGACGACGGGTGTGCTCCAACTCCACCCGCTTCCACACCTTCCACCCCCATCCCCTGCTGCTGGCAATGGTACCGCGACTTTGTCAGTTGGTGGTACCCTCAACGGCCAAAGGTCGCTCAGGAGATTGCAATCGGCTCACAGCCTCGGCGCAAAGGCCTCGCCTCAGCCGTCCCTAATTTCCCAGCAGAGGTTGCAGTTGCAACAGCAGCAGCAGCAACAACACCAGCAACCGTCGCAGCACCAACCGCTTTCCCAACCGCGTCTTCAACCGCAGCAACACCTCCAACACCAGCATCGCCTACTCCCAGGCCCTCCTTCGCCTCCTACTAGACATGCAAGTCTCAACTATCGATCGACACCACAAAGAGGTCGCGCCAACAGTGACGCCCCGCCAGTTCCGATTCCATTAGGCCAGCAATACAACACCATGGCAGCCGCAAATAGGCGCGCCGGCCGCGGCACTAACTCGTCCACCGCGAGCGCCATGTCCCTCGAAAAGTTGTTGCGGGAGGGCCCTCCAAACGGTGATGTCGAGGCCGCGCTCGAAAGCACACGACTCAAGATCCTCGATCAAGGTGTCAAGTCCGACAGCGATGGCATGGTAAGAGACACAGATCCACTTCATCAATGCGCTCTGCTTTGCGCTCGCGATCGCGCTAACCAGCAATCCCAAACAGTCCTCCCTTCGCATTTACGTATGGCTGATCTTACTCAACGCCCCAATTATCGAGACCGACACCTACCTTGCGCTCATCCATCGCGGCGCATCTCCTGCCTACTCGAAAATCCGTAATGATACTTTCCGCACCCTCACGACCGATCCTCTCTTTCGGCGCCGTGTTAGCGAGGCCAGCTTAATCCGATTGCTTAATGCCGTGGCCTGGAGATTACATGATGCCCGCGGGGAACGAACCAGAGACCATAGCATTGCCAGTCTTTCGCGACGCTCAGCACCATCAGAATCAGGGAGTCGCCCGGGAACAAGTGGCCACGACAGTATCACTGGGTCGCCCGCATCGAAAAGTCGAGCCCGTGCTCTGACCTTGACGACTGAAGGCTCCGAGGCCAGTGGTGTCGCCTCCGAACCGGGCACATACGTACAAGGGATGAACGTGCTGGCCGCGCCGTTCTTGTATGCTGCGCGTAGCGAGGCCGAAGCATTCGTCGCCTTCCACCAGCTTCTCACACAAGAGTTACCGGGCTACATTCGCGGCGCGATGGACGGAGTACACAAAGGGCTGGCGCTGGTCGACAAGGTGCTGTCGATCGTGGATCCAAAACTCAGTCTTTACCTGATGTCCAAGAACCTCTCTGCCGAGATCTATGCATTCCCCTCCGTTCTGACGCTGTGTGCCTGTACGCCGCCTCTGCCCGAGGTTCTACGTCTGTGGGACTTTCTCTTTGCATACGGTCCGCATCTTAACATTTTGTGCATCGTTGCGCAGCTTATCATGATACGCACCAAGATCATGGAATCGCCCAGGTATGAATATCCTTGTCCCTGATCGACACCACGTTTCTCGAATGAAGTCTCAATTGCTAACTCATCGGCTTTTAACCAGTCCTAACAAACTCCTCCGATCTTTCCCTGCCCTTCAGGCCGATTTGATCAAGCGGACCACTTTGACTGTGATACGCATGATACCCGACGATGTCTACGCCGAAATCGTTGCTCATGCCAAGTGATGCGAATTCCTGAATTCGATGTGCTTGCAGCTTATTTTGAAAGCAAAGAAATCCGGAGAGCGAAAAACGGAGGAGCCTCCTGAAAGGCACCAAGCGTGGTAGACCTGCACTCCAAGCTGGCTTGCCCATATATAACAGGTCGTGCCATCATACTCTGACGACTATGGCCTGCCTGGAGAACAGTGGGAAAAGCGGCTGTGTCCGTCCCGCACTCGAATATTGTGCCTTGAACTTGCGGGTTGCAGCGTGCTAACACAGGCAGTAAATGCCGCGCCGAGGATAGTTAGGCGCACCCGGGGTTGGCTCGTGAATGCAATCGGCTTGCGGATGAAGAGGAATGGGATTGGAATCCGAAGGGCAAATTTCACCCGCGGAAATACAGCAAGGATATGGATTGGGCGCTTCCTCTTCGAGTCGCGAACACCTCGACGCTGATGTTGTTCATACCATTCGAAGTCGTTCCATGCGTGGGTACCCGCGTATCTTTCTCTCAGAGTTGTGATCTAGAAAGAGATCTTTAGACTACATGGTTTGCAGAGGGGAGGTTGATACATCGGCTAGCTAGAAGTATCCAACCCAGAACGGGCTCTTACTTGCTTCGAGGGGATGCTATAGCCTTGATATGGCCTTGAGAGGTAATTAACAAGGCGACGGGTTCTTCATACCGAGGGTCCCAGGGAGAAAGGGACTGGGGGGCAACGGGACAGGAAATAAGGGAGATAACGACTTCTTCTTCAGACCCTACTAGTATATAAAGGTTCAATGCAAAAGTTGGCTATGTGACTTTAGCTAGAGAGTTGGTATAGTGTAATAAACCAAAACTACATATCTGCAATGGCATATACTAAGCATTGTCTGGACCTTGGTTCTTTCATCTCACCTTGACCTATCGTTGCATATAAGAAGCCGTACCCATACCGTCCGATATGGACCAGCTTCCACATGGTTCTTCATATTGAGTAATCCACTACCTTCGTCTGACATATTTTAAACATTTTATTGGAGCGTCAGCGCGTATTTTTCTACGTGCTACAACATCACACTCCTTCCGTTTCATACGCTTTGATATGTACACCTTGATTCATATACTATGTAAGCCCGTTAAATAAAAATAATAATGTACCGCTGCGCCCCCAATGCTGTTATTATGCACGAATTTGATCCCTATTATTCCGTTTCCCTTCGACTTCATTACTTTACTCTTTTACGTACATGCTTTCGACGCTTAGTACAGAGTTACCCTACACACGACTAGACTTCCTTCATTTACTAATGCTTCGCCTCCTAGCCAATAAAGTCACACCATCCTAACTCAGAAATGAGGCGGTGGCGACGGTAGCGTATCGAGAACCCTGGTCTCTACGCCGGACGGGATGCTTCAAGTACATGCGTGACGGGCAGTCCAGCACTGACCGTGGGGCGTTCGTGGCGTGATGACAGCTAGGCTAGGGGACCTTGGTCACTATTTCGATGAGTGATCAGGTGACCGAAGGGGAAGCCTCGTATCGGGACAGTCGTGCTGGTGTGGACGCTGGCGAATGGGTCTATTGCCTGGCCCTCTTCTCGATCGCTGGCTCTATATGTTTCTGAGCTTGACGTTGGTTGTATAGCGATAGAATTCAGTGGCGTAGCAATAGGTAGCTGAAAATCTCCCCGGTCTCATTCCAAAACGGAAAAGAACTGAACTCCAAAATCGCCCCAAACGGGGCCACCAATCTCTAGCCTAATACATAGGGCAAGAGTCCTGGGCGCGCCTGAAGGCAGTCGAGAAGAAATCCTGCATGGCGTTGTAGTGGAACAGGATGCCGCCGAGGACAGCAATGTGCCAGAGGTTGTGGCTGCCGCCGACGTAATCGAACATGCCGGGGCACCACCTCTCAGGGACCTTGCTGGCGTAGACGAGAGCGCCGAGGAAGTAGACAAAGACCGATTCGAGTATGGGCGAGTAGTGCTCCCACACCGACAGGCCGCCGCGGGTGAGCCAAATCTGGAAGATGGGCAGGAAACCGCTGGCAGAAAGACCGGCATAGAAAGCCACTCTCACCCAGGCCATATCCTGCCCGTTAAAGCGAGGGTGCCACGGGAGGATGACACCGCCGACGCCAAGGATAGCTGTGGCAATCATGTAGACCCACCGGCTAACGGGCTCGCAGTAGAAGGCCGTGTATTCGGTGGTGATGATGGAAGCAGCGATGAGAAGCGAGATGCCGGTGTAGTCGACGCAGGCGAACATGGAGATCAGGTTGACATCGGCGACGGAGTTCATGGTATGCCAGATGACACTGCAGGCCAGGCATTGGCAGGCCGCGAAGAAGAAGATGGCGGCGATGGCGATATCGGTCTTGGTGCTCTGCGAGAAGTTGATGCTGGTGGGGTAGAAGTAAAAAGCAACGGCCAGGACGAGGATGAGACCCAGGGCGTGGGACCAGATGTTGATCAGCTCGTTGGAGAATGTGAAAGCGGACCTGATGCAAGCCAGCTTGTTCTCGGAAAACCGATAGCCCTTTTGGATGTGAGGATTGATCCTCCACGGGATTGGTAGTTCCTCGTAGCTGATCAAGCCCTTCTCTCTCGCCTGGGTAATGGCGCGCTGGATATGATCTTCGAGACTCTCAGCAGCACGCATGGCCCTCCCAATACCCTCCTCCATGACTCTCTTGCCCTCGCCCATTAGGCTCTCGGCAGCGTTGGCCAATCCCTTTTCACGAAGCTTGTTGGCCTGGACCTCCAAGTCTTCCAGCATGCCGTCAAGCAGATCGATGCCGACCTTGGCCTTTTCGTTTAGCGACCCGGCGGCGGCCATGGCCTCGTGATAGCTCGTCTCCAGAGTCTCGACGAGAACATGGAGACGTCTGCGACCGGCACCCATCACTTCCTCTGACACTTGGGAGCATCTTGTTTGTACGGCCTGCAGCGTAGACAGGGCCGCCTCAATGGAAGAGTCGAGAGTCAGCTCTCCATAGTTCTCCCAGTACTCCAACCGGTTCTCTAGCTCGGCGAGGAAGGCATCCATCTTGAGAAGCAGGGCTTCTTCGCCATCCGCAATACTGTTGACAAACGACTTCCGCCGGGCATTGAGCTGGGATTTCCGGCGATTCCGGAGGGCTGGCCTTTCGGGGGCATTGGCCGCTCCAGAGGCCCGGGCCTCGGGGTTGTCGTCGTGGGCGGCGAAGGAAAAAGGGGAAGCACACTCCATGGTTGTGCGGTTGTTCGGTCGGTAACTCGAGGTTTGGCAAGAGGCGAGTGCCGTGCGTGGTCTGGTCGTTACCCGAGAAGCAGTGTGATCCAGGCCTGTAATCCGAACAATGATGGCGTCAACCGGTGAGCCCGCCTTTCATGTGGTGTACAGCAAGAAGGATGTCAAGACACGGTATCGGAAGTGGAAGCGGGAGTGGTGACACAGGGACGGCGAGGTTTAAAGTCTGCCACAGAGGTGGGAGGATGTCGGGATGGGAGGGGCTCTGGGTTCCGACGGAAGCTTGGCCGTACCGATTGACCACTGGTTTCGCGCGTTTCAGGGGATTTCGATTCGTTCGGAGGAAACAAAACAACGGATTCCAGAGGGTAAAAATTTGCGTGGGTCCGCACTGCAGTTGCTCCAACCTGGTCGGTAAATCGGTTTGACTTGCAAATATCTCGACGCCGGATGCTTGTTTGTAAATACTGGCCGTAACAAGTAACAGCGCAACTTCAAAAAGATTATATAGACGAGGTAGAAAAAAGTTCGAGAACAATGGAAAACTTATGAAAGGAGACCAGGGTGAAGATCAAGATGGGAAAGCGGTAAGAAACCACAGACACAGGAGATACCGAATGGAAAGGGTGAAGGGAGACAGCCCAGACTCCCAAAAGTTCCAAAGAGAAGTGGAAGACTTCCACTTTTATTCTCTCACCCTATTAGTCGCCCGCATTGCGCGCCGAGCGTGCCCAGCCGCCGGCCACTTTTCTTTGCTGGGCGTTGCTGTTTCGATGGGCTAATGGGCCACAACCGCTCCCACCTTCCGCTTCTTTTTCTTTGCAGCTAGAGTCCCTCCTGCCGGCACAGGGCAAAACGGGGCATGACGGGTGGGAGGCAAAGAAACCGGGCATTTTGGTAAGCTGCTATTCACAGTTGCATTGTGCCGCTATCATTGCGGTCCGTTTGGCGGTCATCAGGAACCATTCTTTTCCTGAAAGGGGAACGCCTAGAATCGCCTAAACCGCACATGGTTCTAGCGCAAGCAGGGACGAAAAACCTGGAAAGGGGTTCTTCGTCCCTCCCCTGACCAATGACGTCGCGGAATTGCGGCCCTACCGCGCTCACACCCCCACTTCTCTGGAGCCCCAAACTGCGCTGTTTCGAGCCTGTGACGCTGATCCACCGAGGTAACGAACGAAGTGTCCGCCAAGCCTGTCTTTGTGCATGCCTGCCCTGGGCGAAAATCCCCCAGATCAATACGGCTTCATCCAGAAACCACAAGCGACACACCTTCCCCGCGAAATCAGAAGGATTGACAGCGGCTGATCGATCACACTGCGACCTCATAACCTCCGCCCGTTAAACCACTCTGGGAAATTGCATTCACCCCTCTCTCGTATATTGTCGTCATTCGGACCTGGGCTATTCAAAATCGACCTTGGCTTACATACCTCCACGGCAGGTGGCCCTGTTAAGTCCTGTTCTTTATCGAGATTCGTGTCATTCACAGCTTTGGCAACTTTGGCCTTGCCGTCACAACCGACCGACACCAACCACCACATCGACGATTACCATGGCTGCCGACGGACCCATCACCGATCCCTTGCTCGTTACGGTTCTTGACACGTCGAGAGCCGCGCGCGAGCAAGCCGTGGTTCTCATTGATCGCATCCAAGAAGCTCTTGATGCTGCAGGAAGCGGGCCTCTGCCTTTGGAAGCCCAGGCGGAAATCTCAAAGCAACAGAAACTGCTGAACACCAACATCGCCCAGCTACGCGGTCTACACCGGTCCGCCCATTTCAAGGCACGTGAGACCAAGGGCCAGACAGCAGAGGCGCGTCACGAGGTCGACGTGCTCCATCTTCAACTTCAAAACCTCTACTACGAACAAAGACATCTGGAAGGAGAAATTGCAGCCTGCGAGTCCTTCGAGTTGGTGCCCTCTCACTGTTGTTGGTTGTCTTTCTGCAGAGTTATATGCTAACAAAGGTTTCTTTTAGGCATACCTACCAAAAGCTTCCACTGATCCCTGTCGAGGAATTCCTGGCTCTGCATCCCGAGCACGCTGATGACGATGAGAATGACCTCATGGTGGCGCGTATTAATCATGAGAGAACCGAGAGAGAGGCCCTTGAGCAGCAGAGGGTCGAGTTGCAGAAGCGCAAACAGAAACTGATTGCCGACAACAAAAAGCGACGCGACGATCTGGCTAATCTGGACAAGGATTTGGAGAAATTCATCGATGTGAGTTGCTCGAATTCGGTCCCTTTTGTGGAATCATGATGTGAACGCCTGACTAACCCAAGACTAGGCCGCAAAACCCATCCAAAAGCTGTTCGAGAAGGTTGTATGAGGCGGCAATCCTTCATGCATCTACCTCACAGTTGTGTACCGCCAAGCGTGAAAACAACTACGGGCAACATAGACTTGTGGCTCATTCACTCGACGTGTTCTAATGAGTCATATGATGTGCGTGCCACGCCGAGGTTTACATCGGCGCTGATGCCTCCAAGCAGCTAAAGACCACCATAAAGCGCCTATACTACTACGGCTATCCGGTATTGCACGACCTGCGAGCTCTGATGCTCAAGATATGAACCACATAACCTCAGGGCCACCGGTCTTGCTATGCGTTGCTCATTGCCAACCGGCTATGAAGTGGACACATTAGCTAAGGGTTTGGGAACGGGCACGCCTTTGGTCCTAAATTAAGGACGAACTTATCCATAAGATGGAGCTTGCCCGCTTAGTAGGCTGTTCTCTTGTTGTCAAAGATGCATGTCGGCTGGAAAGCTACGTCGATGCCGGAACCGTACCGACACAAAATAATGAAGCTCAATATCAGTCAACTCTGGTCGGCATGGGGAAAATGCAGTTGGGCCAAGGCAGGCATCACGCACGTGCCTTGTTAGCCTTGTGAAGTTGGGAGGATATAACAGGAAGCATGCTCACTCTTATAAGCATGCCTGTTCGAGTGTCGTCAAAATTCCAACAGCCAGGAAATGGCTCGGTACAGTGGAATACAACATCTTTGGGTGATGTCTGCACCGTGGTGGGCTGTGTTTTAGCCTGGTACGCGGAATCAGGAGGACGCGATCAGAGGCCGACTGAAACTCTTCATATGAACCTCACGGATTACAACATGACGCTTGACCCCTATGGGAGATTTGTTCTCGAACTCCCAAGTTTTATCCCCTTCAATCTTCCAGGGGTCTTCACTCTATCAGTACCTGCATATGGTTTGACAACCATTTTACGCGGTGTGACATGGTTACTGCAAGCTCGCGATTTCTCCGTGATACATGTGGAGTGGAGATTACTACTCCTTGGGACATGTGTAAGAGTAATCCTACCCGCACCCCATTAAAACCTAGAGGCACCCCATAGATTTCAGATAAAGTATATTATGGCCACAACCGCAAACTAAAAGGGAAAAGGAATTATATATCCCAACTACGAAGACATTAACCTAACGTGGCCGAGGGTAAGTTTTATTCATGTTTTATTGTAGCTGGCCGGGCTCACCTAATTGCATTTACAGCGACAATCTTTGCAATTTACCCCGTAGATCGCTATTGAACACCTCCGGGATTAAAGCAAAAGTTCGAATAGAAGGATATTGGCCAAATAACTTACCCAAACTTGATTTGTTAAAGAATTGGATTGAGTAAGGTAAAGAAAATCGAAGTGTCTGAAATCCATGGGGTGCCTCTAGGTCTTGATGGGGTGCGGGTAGGATTTCTCATGTGTAATGACAATCATTATGTATCAAGCACCGGGCTTTCAGAGAAATTCTCAGGCCCGCAGGACTGACCTGGAATATTCTGCGCTTCTTTATGACAAGGCGTCCAGTTCAAGGCAACAACGACTTACGAACAGCGCACCTTCCTCATTGAAAGTCGATGGATGTGATGGGCCTCCGTTGGTAATCTTGACTGTTGTCTTTGACACAGACCAACCTTCAAGCGCCAAGTCTCGAAGGGCCTGTCATCAAAGGGCAGCGGCCCACGTGCGTCCAAAAGCCACTATCGCCAAGCAGGAACAAGCGTACAGATGGGGCCTGCCTGATCCTGTGGTTACAGTATTGCGCACCTGTGATTGATTCCGACTATAATCGGGATCGGAGTTGGGGTTCGGGAGATGTCAAAGTCCCGACGAGTATGATGATGGAGTCTATATCGTGAGAAACGACGGTGGTATCGGTCTACCACAACTGACGGCGAGAGGCATATCCGGTGCATATCAGGGCCACGATGCATTCTTCTCATCATCTACCCTGTGTTCTCTTTCTCTAATTAATTCCCCATCTGATCACGAACAGCAAAGCCATAATGAAATCCAGGATTAAGAAGCACTAGCAAAGAAACCCTGAAATGAAGACCGTTCGGCCAAGTCCCTTGTGTAAGGGATGCCCAGCCCGCAAAGAAACAACCTGCGAGGGAATGTCTTAGAGGTTACGCCTTTTCCGAAGCCCTACATACAATCGATTAGCAGGAATCATGTACTGTGTAGATGTGAGTTTGTGGTACTCAACAAACTTGGGCACAAGCATGGCCAGGGTCTGGTGGAGAAAGAGGGTTATCACGGATCCTATCGTGGTCTTCAGCCGCACGATAGGGACATTACCATGAACTCAATTACGCCAGTTACAGAAAACGTTGACGGAGCTAACTAAAGGTTGCGGCGAAGGAAGGTCGACTAATGTAAATGTATCAAGAGACATGTCAGTTGGCTCGGAAAATTCGCCGACATCAAGAAAAATGATCAAGCGGCATGACACCGGACGGGGGAGCACGCCGTCCCGAGCGAGAGATAGCTGATCCTTACCCGCATCTGATATTTACGCATCCGAACCGAGCTGACAGACGGGATACCGGAATGCCAGAAGATCTAGACCGCCAGGGCTTTTCGCAAGGACCAAAAAAGAGGGTTTCAAAGAAACCTAATGCGGAAGGATCAACACCAAGGGTCAATGAGATCTCAAGGGTCCACGAGCAGAAAACATTCAGATACTTGAA